TCTAAACTGAATTGATATGGACGTGTAACATTCAAAGGGATGTCGACTTCTGCAATGAAATGAGAAAACGGTATGTTTTTTAAAGGCAATTTTTGACTTAGAAGTGTCTATGCCTTATCCAAATCGAACGGCAACAGTGAGGGAACCATTGAAATTTTAGAAACGTACTTTGTTGGTTGATCTTTAAAGGGTGGTTTTGGTGATGACATTTTTGGGAATTGCGCATTTGAAAGAATAGGAGTAAGACTTCGTGAAGGAATTTCCGTACCGTCAATTACCTGGATATTATTATTTAGTGATGTGTCAAACGATAAGTTCACTGAATTGACATAAGGATCAAAATTATCGTCATCACAGCATGAAACATTAGAGGAATCGGACTTACCATTGTCATTGGATGGAGGGTGTCTTGGCACACTACAGTTATTTACCTTTTCACTAATTACTTGGCGATTATTTATTAATTCCTGTGTGATAAATTTAATATTAGGTACCTACGTTCTTATGCCATGTTGAATATAAATACTGCTTAAATTTTGCGTTGCAAATAAACCTTAAACTTTGACTTATGTGTACCAACAAATTTTGATTTAAGTAAAAATTGACATCATCGATAGTTTCCACAATTTCTGCAATTAAAACTGCAATTAAGTCACTATCGATATGCATGATTCAACAAAAAAGGCAAGCAAGTATAGTTATGACAGCAGAGGTTACACGAGCACCCACTGTTTGTGTCGCTACCGGTCGCTACAATGGGCAGGCGATGCATACTATGTGACCTTGCAGGTCTTAATGGCATGACCACATTCTTTCCTTTGTTATGAAGGCTCCTCTGTAGTCAATCCGCTATATTGGAAAAATAGCTAAACTTTCTTATGAAATGCTACTTTTGTAGTTGAAGTCTAACAAATTCTCGATAGTGGATATTCTTTGTAATGATGAAAAGAACGGCGGTAGGTACTTAAAAAAAGTTGAAATATTGGTCTTAGTTTTTTAGGAAGATCGATGAATAGAAAAATCGTTTTTCGTAAATAACAGCCGTTGTAATGGGAGTAGAAAAACCTACAGCACCAATTTGGAAATCCGACAGTATTTCCTACGGCGGTACTTAAAGATATTATTTCCACCTATTATGATAATGCTACTTTTTACAAAAAAAATTTTTTGCAAAAATGCGCTAAAAATCAAAACGCTAACGTAAGGATATGCAACTCATATTGCACTATAACTCCTGAGGCGACACCTCATTACTTGAAAGGAAAAACAAAAGAAACTACCAGGCATTATCCTGCACATTGTTACGCCGTTCCTAATGATATGGATTAGATAAATTACTATATAATTAGCTAATGTTCATGAATGCTGTTGATTTGTCAATCATAATGTCACATATTCCCAAAACGAAAAGTGTACCAAATGCATATTGTAGGTACATTGGAAATAATTTTTGATTTCTAAAACCTTTTTCATTCTATCAGGATGCTTCAAGAAATTTGTTTAGGAAGGTATCAAATAGTAGCCCAATTTTTAGCTAAACCCCTAGGCGGAATACGACTGTACCAGTAATTAGAAACATTTTTGCCGCATATTTGTTCTTGTGTAGAAATGTGGCACCGTTTTGATTTTTTGGACTAACGCATGACCACCACACAAGCGGGTAGCACAGTATCACAATTCGCAAACACTACTACTGAGTCGAGACTTAGAGAGGCAAGTGCTACTTATTTTTTCAATATGATCAGATATCAGGAATATCCGCTTATCAAAAAATAAAGGAACGACAAATTTCGATTTTTACAAATAAATTGGCGAGAAAGTTGCGCCCAATAGTTTTCACATTCTGAGCCTACCATTTCAAAGAAATTCGATTGCACTTGTTCATTTTAACTGTTACAAAAAATGTTCCAATTCTCCTTTTTAGCTAAATTTCTAAGCGGGATACGATAACTAATAGGCGACACTGACAAATTTATTTTAAAAAAGTGTCATTGTTTTGCTCATGTCAAGTTAAGGTAGTGAGACATCACGAAAATGAATATTTGAACATGGGTGAAATTTTGGGTTTTCCCTGTAATTAGTGGTGGGTAAAAATATTCTCCCACTTTTTCTTCTCAATGTCAAATTCGCTAATTTGACTGGACTAACATTCCAAGTCCAATAAATAAAAATTCGAGGCAAAGGGGCCTATTGATTTGTTATCTCGAATATGTGCCCTTTCGAATAGCCACTGGCAAGGGATGTAAATACCAATAGGTCACTGTACCACCACTTTGGTAGACTATTAAAAAAAAGCGAATGTAACTTCAGCCCGGTGTTAGGGATTTTTTACTTTCCAATGTAAGTTGGTACTATCCCCAAAGCGAATGTCCTTGAAAAAAAAAGCGAATGTAACTTCAGCTACAGTGACTTTATAAGGACAGTGGCGACAACTTATCATAATCCGCCATATTGGAGCTAAAAAATTGATTGTAAGATCAATATACCTTGTCATGTCAAATTGTGAGCGTAGAATAATAAATGTCAGTTTCATTTAAGTAAAGATTCTTGTTCAAAACGAACGGCGCAGAAATGATCGTTTAAAGCTTTGCAGAACAACCTATGGGAAAACAAATGCCTCCCAAATTCAAAAAGGTATGGGTATATGGAAAACGGTATAATAAGTATGAAATATGGTGCAATATCCAAAATGTACATATAAATAATCATTAAATTGTGTTTGACATTTCAGTGTCTTCTGTCACTTCTTGTCCCCTGTCGCGTGTTGCTCCTTCCGGACTTAAAAGTATTTCTTTAGTCTCTTAAATGGAAGACAAAACACGTTGATCTAGTCCACGGAGTACAAGAGATCAATATTCCATGTGCTCCAGCAAACATGAAACCAATTCAAGCGTATTTACGATCACAATTGAATTTGCTGCTAAATTTCGGATAAGCTGCTTCTCTAACCAGTTTTCTATCTAAACTCATTAGGTATTTAGGGCTCTGAAAAAAATTTTACATCAATTACCAGTCGTAAGGTTAGGCACAGTTTTACATCTAAAAACACTAAGCGGATTACATACCTTATAATATCGTAATAAATCCAAACTATATGCGTCTTTAAAAATCGAGTTTATATAAAACTGGAGACGGAAAACGTAAAATAAAGCAAATACAAGAAGCAAAGTGTAAACTAGTAACATGAAGCCGTGACAATTACAGGTGACACTGTCAAAACAGTATAATTAATAATTATAGCACGGAGTGTACCGCGTCGTTTTGAAGGTTTTCTATTGGCCAGTTTGGAATTTAGCTCCAATATGGCGACCGGAACCAACGACCAATCAAAAACGAGATACCCTGTTGTCGCCACTGTCTCTATAAAGTCACTGTAACTTCAGCGAGGTAAATAACCTACAGTGACTTTATAGAGACAGTGGCGACAACAGGGTATCTCGTTTTTGATTGGTCGTTGGTTCCGGTCGCCATATTGGAGCTAAATTCCAAACTGGCCAATAGAAAACCTTCAAAACGACGCGGTGCACTCCGTGCTATAATTATTAATTATACTGTTTTGACAGTGTCACCTGTAATTGTCACGGCTTCATGTTACTAGTTTACACTTTGCTTCTTGTATTTGCTTTATTTTACGTTTTCCGTCTCCAGTTTTATATAAACTCGATTTTTAAAGACGCATATAGTTTGGATTTATTACGATATTATAAGGTATGTAATCCGCTTAGTGTTTTTAGATGTAAAACTGTGCCTAACCTTACGACTGGTAATTGATGTAAAATTTTTTTCAGAAGCCCTAAATACCTAATGAGTTTAGATAGAAAACTGGTTAGAGAAGCAGCTTATCCGAAATTTAGCAGCAAATTCAATTGTGATCGTAAATACGCTTGAATTGGTTTCATGTTTGCTGGAGCACATGGAATATTGATCTCTTGTACTCCGTGGACTAGATCAACGTGTTTTGTCTTCCATTTAAGAGACTAAAGAAATACTTTTAAGTCTGGAAGGAGCAACACCCGACAGGGGACAAGAAGTGACAGAAGACACTGAAATGTCAAACACAATTTAATGATTATTTATATGTACATTTTGGATATTGCACCATATGTCATACTTATTATACCGTTTTCCATATACCCATACCATTTTGAATTTGGGAGGCATTTGTTTTCCCATAGGTTGTTCTGCAAAGCTTTAAACGATCATTTCTGCGCCGTTCGTTTTGAACAAGAATCTTTACTTAAATGAAACTGACATTTATAATTCTACGCTCACAATTTGACATGACAAGGTATATTGATCTTACAATCAATTTTTTAGCTCCAATATGGCGGATTATGATAAGTTGTCGCCACTGTCCTTATAAAGTCACTGTAAAATAACCTAACCTATCACACCACGTACACTTGCGATAGGAGGGGGCATTTTTAATACTTGTAAACAACCCTTAACACTATCGAATGGATACATAATGGCGGATGTCACTTGCCAGCAGATGTAGAAATGTGATGCGCATGCGAGGAACAGCATGCGTGGCACTGCAAACGATAAATTTCACACGGAAATTATTTAAAAAAACGTGCCTCATATAACACTAGCTCGCATTTGACTGTTATTTTCACCTGCACTCTCAATGCGCGAAATTGAACATCACGCTCTTGTCATATAAATAATTATTTTTCACTGATGACCTTTTCGCGTACCGTTAACTATTAGGGCCGACGCGAACATACGCGCGGCGGGGCGTCTTTCCCGCTCCCATTGATTTCATACGCTGCGCTTCGCTTAAATGAGCGTCTGTCTATTTAAATTAATGCAAGGACAGACCTTCCTATCTGGAGACACATGATTTTAGCCAAGCATTTACTGCGAAAAGGCAAACTGACTTGTGGTAACCATGTCTTATGGTTCTATTTGAAAACACAAATGTAATGTAATTTTTTGACAAAATTGAATATTCTTTACGTATTTAAGCAAAGACTGAACACCCATAAAACAACTCATAAAAATTTAACAGGTAAAAGAAAATATATTGATGGACTATCTTAAAAATATTACTTCACAATATATTTACAACTGCAATTACGAGTAGAGGTAAGATCACAATTAAAACAAATTTCTGCATATAGGGCAAGTGCTCTTGTTACTGGTGCTAAACCATTTGTACTGAAAACAATTAACGTCATAATCCATAGAACATGATTTTAGAGAAGTTACATACCAAGCATGCAGAATGGAATTTTTTCTTACAGGTGTGGCAGGAGAGCTTTGGCAATTGGTAAGTTCCTTGATGTAAAACAGCAAAGCAGATATAACATTCTTCAACCCCGTCGAACTTTTTATCTAAGTTATTATTCCACAGAGAAAGTGCATCCCAAATCCTACCGTTCTACAATACAGTTATTCGTTTGTGATTTTATACTTAGATATTCTGTTCTAATACATCCACCATATACGTTTGTTTTAATTTCCCAATTCTAGTGAGATTTGGTTTTAGAGATCTACTGACATCCCGCTAAGTAGGTCATCATTTTAGTAATATAAATACAGAGTCAGTACTCGATTTTAAAAATTCATACTAATTGGAGCCCGTAAGGTTTTAAACTTGCAGTTAAAATAGAAACGGTCATAATCGACTATTGTGAATCCAAATAAAATAATTTCAAGATGGCGCCGTTTCCGTAAATACTGGAAGTTGGTGTCATCATGGTTTTTTTAAATAGAAACATACTATTTTCTATTTTTTTCTAAATTTACCATTTTATTCTGAATTCAACGCATTTAAAATACTTTCTTCCATTTTTATGGTAAGCAAGCACATGGTGAAATTCAAAACAGAGTAGGTAATGTATGAGCAGTTAATAATACCTGATGAAGAACACACATTTTCAGCTGCATTAACCATTGCCTATGGGATGTACCACCTATCTGTCTATTACACTGAACTTCCGGACTACTAAGTGGATAATTATTTTTTAGTGTTATTACAAGTTCCATTTGAGCCTCATCAACAGTATACACTGCAACAACCTCTCGTACACTTGGATGCACCTTAATCACCATATTTTTAAATTTGGTCTCATTCTTGCTTATTTCGCTAAATTCTCTACTGCAAAGTTGTGGAGATATATAAGTTGATGTGACCTTTTCAACAATTTGAGAAATGCGAGGTTCTTTTTGTGACCACCATTGTCTAACTAGCGCAGGTAATTGCGACAAAGCCGAAAAATAGCACCAACAAACCATATGCTCTATAACTCTACTGGTACAAGCACCTACAAACAATTTTAATTAAACATTTTTATTTACAGTTCATACCAATACCTGATAACTTGGTGGAAAATTTACCAGAAAAAAGGTCAACGGATTGCTTACTTTTTCCTTCAGACTGATGCATCACTTCGATAGGCATTAGTTTGTAAATGTTATCCAAAAGACTATTTAATAAATTTTCATTCCTTAAATATAAAAAATTAGTTCAGCAAGTAGAATATGTATTTAGCTATTTACTTAAGCCAATCAGCATATTGATATCGTAGTTCTGTGGACGAAAATTCACAAAGAGATAATAAAATATCCCATAGCAAAAAATAAGCAGATGTGTAAGTATACGAATCTGTGTACGGCTCAATTCTACAGCTATCATCCCCTAACCTGTAAATTTAACCATTAAAATAATTAAAACAATAACCGGGCGATACACACTTAAACTCATTTAGCAAAGGGTCCACTACATCCCGAATGTTGCTTAATGTATCACTGAACTGGTTAAATATCAGCCCTTTCTCGTGAGGAGTGTTTGTTGTAACTGCCGCCAAATCAAGTTCAACTAATCCTGGAATTAACACCTGCAGCATGTGATAGCCCCACATCTGTAGAACGTTTACAGAATGTGTAAGAAGTAGGCAACTTTGAGTAACTAGCTTCGACCATTTTGGTAGCTTCGGGTTTGGATTGTTAAATAATAGTTTGCAATCTAAATGGTCAATAATGGCTCCAAATTTTTCTAGGAAGGGCAATTCTACTATTGGTATTTCACTAGAATTTTCCATATAAGACGCTACAAAAAATGCATATTAGGTTAAGTGTTCACGATTTTGAAACAAACACGAGCTTTAAGAATTGCTCCATACGTGGTATAAATATCTCAAGGTTGAAAACAATAGCATAAACTAAAAAGAATTTTCATTAGCGCCTCCTATTGCGCACGGCCTGGCTACCTCAAAAACCGCTGCCACATAACAACCACAAAATTCCATTTGGAAAACTATTGAAAGGCCAGTTTATCAGAGGGGACAAAATAGTTATTAGCACAAACAAAATTTTTGTTTAAGTTCGAAAAAACACATTAACAACCCCCTTAATCCGACTATTATGACAGCAAAACAAATATTCCTCAAAAATACCTAAACCTCTCGGCAGGATCTACAATCTATGTTTTTCTAAAGATGTGAGCGACTTCCGGGATAGTATCGTGTCAATGTTGAACAAAAAGACTTTTCGTTCAACATTGGCACGATCCTTTTCCGGAAGTCGCTCGCATCTTAAGATAAACATAGGACAAAGGTGTGCTGTGACCAGCAATCTTGCCTGGCGAGAGTTATAGTAAGCTGCCAGCTTAGTAACCAGATTGTTTAATATAAACACAAGAAACTGTTAGTTTTTTTCGCACAACATGAATCCGGGTAGTACTAAAAAACACAAAAAAAATACATACAATCTGATGGAGATTGTAAACATTGCTTTTGTCTTGGAATGTCGAAAATTACAGATCGATGTTGACTATAATTCTTGTAGTGTGATTGGTCTCTTGAACTGTATTTTGTTTGGGAAACTCTTGTGGAGATTAGTTGATTTATATGTCTCTTCAGCACTCGACCACAATCCAATTTGACCATATAATGACACGATCCTAATTTCTGGATAATAACTTCAAACTGCCAAATCTCGCGGTTTTGCGTATAACCACGGGACTGGACTCTCTCCAATATTGATATTTACGTCCGTTGTAAGCACTTTAAAATCAAGAGTCGGCGCGAAGCAAGAAAACGTACTTGTGCGCAAGACAGCTATAATTTTTATTTAAACTTTTTTCTAAATTCTGATTCGTCTAAGAGCAATGGCCTTATAAACCATATTTTAAAAAGTTACATTTTGCAAAACACTGTTTAAGCGAATGGCTAACGATTATGTGTGCGTTCTTGCCGTATATACAATGTAAAATGCGCGGAGAAAAATCCTTATATTTTAATTACCATTAGAGATAACGACAAACAAAACGCACCGTTGTAAAGATAATTAAAAATAGGGACTTTTTGAAAAATTCCATTTTTTTCTTTTTTGGGCCGTTTGGACATCGATATCAACAGACGAATTTAGGGGGGTAATTAGTAGTTCAAACTCTACGGAAAAACATCATATCATTAGCTGCTTGTTACCTTTAAAAGCTTGACGGGGTTGATTTCTAAATTACTTTTGAGCGCGCGGGAACTCTACTATATTATAAATTCCGCTGTAAGCTTGACCAAATTGAGATTAATTAAATTATATACATTCTTAAAAAGTAAGTAACTCGCACATTTAACATTAATATAGACCAATAAAATATCTTCATTTGAAAGTTCATAAATTCAGCTACAATGCATATAATAGACCGTGCAATAAACAAAATAATTGAATCATTTCTATAACCATAAGAATATAAGAATATTAAGTATATTCACTCACCACTAATATAAAACCACATTCCAAGAAAAGCTTTATTAATTTCCTGTGCAAAAACCTCAGTCCATTCGTTTTTAACACTTTCTTTATCACAGCTTTTTACATATTCACATACACATACAAATAATTCACATAAGGCACCAATAAGCGATTTAATCTAAAACACAGATAATTAAACCAGATGATTAATTTACAAAAGCGGTACCTGTAATCGTCTAAACTTGTACTTCAAATTTGCTATATTATTTGTCCATGTTACAAAAGTAACAATCATAAAATCCCATTGGTTACTGTTTATACCGTGCGGTTGATTTTGTAAAGTTTTAGAAAACAGCCGCATGCATTCAATGATCAACTCTACCTCACTCCAAGTAATACTATTTGCAATATTACTGAAAGACAAAGATATGATTAATAAAAACATTACAAAAACGAGAGATTTGTCCATTACACAAGATAAATAGGTACAAAGTTTAATCAAGTCTACTTGTGGTAAGTCCATTTCATCGTTAACATATACAAGATAGAACAATTAAGTACAGTTCGCCCGTTATAAGTTTGTCTCGTGTCGCGCATGTGAATCGTGACGTCGGGGATGTTCGGATGTTTAATAGCCACAAAAGTTACTGACTAGTGACGTGGAAAATTTTATCGTCATAGTAGTCATAGTGGTTTAATAAGGCCGCTTTTACACGGGGATACTGTATCGGAGATACAGTCTGCCGTCAGAATTTATGTCAAATACACTTCGCAGACTTTGGGCATTGTAAACTTCTCTTTTGCAGGAAGTACTTTTCCGGCGATGCAGTTGAAGGCTAATGAAAAAGGCTCCTTGTGTAAACAGTTCCAATGAACCAATAGCCCATCACTCCCTCAAAATCATGTAAAATCGTCGGGCGACTGAGACTAGCGAGCGATTGAAATTTAGTCGCCGATACTGTATGTGGGAAGTATATGCTGTGTGAACGGCTCCATAAGACGCAATGTTTCAGGTGTATCCGAGATGCCGGTTTTCGGGCGACTGAATCACAGTGTAAAAGCAGGCTTAGTGTGAATTTTTTTGAGACGATGACTGTTTGTGCTTGCGTAATTTTACTTTTGCATTTTGTTTCAAATAAATAATATTTAACAGTCGTCTGTCGAAGTTCCACAGACTGTTATGTTGGCGTCCCAACTAGTGATCATTTGTTTAATTCGAAAAGTGCAAGTGTGTGCAATTACTAACAAAGAAAAACGTTCCCGACGACCTAATGATTTGTATAACGTTTAATATGTTTGTATTGCATAGACTGAAGCTCATTTTATATATCCAAGAGACTTAGGATTCGCATTTGGAACTTTTATTATGTCATACTACACTAGAGACGACCTTGATGATGTTAACAGGGGAAACATTTTTACTCATGAAAAATAATCCCTGAAGTAGACCTACCTCTCATACAAGAAGTGAGATTTCGATTCTTGATTAATATTAGCAATCCTCTTAAAAATCTCTGCACTTGGTATTTCAAGTTGATCTAGATGCATTAATGTTCTCAAATAAATAATACGTTCAGTATCACTTGAGCAGTCATATACCTGCTCATATTTTGCATATTTTGCAAATGCTTGCGTTAAATGTAAACGGATCAATTGATCATCACACTCCTCCAATAATTTTCTATATTCTTCACTTAGATTTTTCGAAACAATTTTTGAAAGGTACAAGTGAAGGACGTTTACCGACACTCCGCTATTTCTAATTAAATTCTCTCGAATGCGGTTTTCTACTTGTACCACAGATTGTGTGTCCATGTTATTAAATATAGTTTTAAGTTTTAACTGCATTGAATTCTTACGTGATGAGACAATTTCACTGTGCCTTGTCTAAAAATATTGCATGACAAGCAATGGAAATATTTCTCAAACTACTTACGCATGCATAATGTGTTGTAAACATTGTGGCTATAGTTAGTGATTCCAACATTTCCATGAGTAACTCCAAAATGTCAGACACACAAACTGAATTAAACACTGTTTGAACAGTCGTTGTCACATTATCATCCTCTTCATCAGTCTCTTCAGTTAAAGTTGCAGTAGGTGTTACAAGAACATCAGCAACTAAATCCATCCAAATAAAATATTTACTTATAAGTGATTCATCAAAGCTGCTGTCGAAAGAAATAGGCTCAAATGGTGCGCACAGATGACCCACGGCATATTCGGCGGAATGGCAAACATTTACCAGTGTACGTTTCCAAGGCTGGACAAAATCGCGAAATAGGAATAAATTCAAAATATCCCATATTCGCATGGGATTCCCGTTAATACATTTGATAAAATTCACTATGACTTTGATCATGTGATTTATATTATAATCGCTGGTATCATCAAATACTGCATTTGTTACAACATCGGCACACTTTGATGACAATGTTTCAAATTCAACCCAACTTAATTCTTGAGCTAATACTGTAATAGCATCTTGCCACGCAGTGTTTACTTCCCATATTGTATCCACTGAAATAATATCAGGGTCTAAAGTCGAAGAGCAACATAAATTGAACATAGCGAGTAAAAGATCATCGCCGAATTGTAATTTATAATTTTGCGAGTATAAGATAGCCGATATATGTGCAGCAAAACTCGCACACATATCAATGGTAGCAGAATACTCCTCGTGACGCAGTAAACATTTATTTAAGACCATTACTATGTCAGAAATTGCAGGCAAACTTAGATACAAGTCTGGAAACACAAACTATAAAACGTAAACACCAATTTAGTCTCCTTACCTCCATTTTGTTTTTCCATAAAAGCTTTTTTCAAAATTAACTTTAACTCGGGAGTAGATGTATCATTTAATTCTTTTTCCATTATAGATGTTAAGAAATGGCTAACCTCATCCTTGTGTAGCCATTTCTGAATTGTACCATCCTCATTATATGGATGTGACAACGACTGAGCAATACACCAACCGAAGCAATCGGTACCTTGAAACTGCAATAGCAAACATAACTCACACAATTGACAAAAATGAATACTCACCAAAACGAAACTATTTAAAACTTCCATTTTCGACTCGTCGCTCAAATATTTAAACAACAAAAAGATTAACTCAACAACGGAATTTGAGCATATGGATTCATTGCTCAACCATTTGTGCAACAATTTCCAGTAAACGTTTACTAAATTTTCCTTCACATTTTCACCTTCAAACTCTGCGTTTAAACGTCTGAAGAAGAATTCGCTGTCAAAATCTTGCACCAAAGATCCCAAGCACTCAATCAGTTCCTTAGAATGTTTTTCATTTATGAATTTAACATAACTCGCACAAGTTTTATACACAACAGTATTTAACAGGTCCATATAAGACTTGTCCACAAGTAACGAAACCATAGTGTGACTTTCACCAGTAATGTTTTCAGGGGATTGGTTAGCACAAAATGACACTTTCAATTGTTTGTGTGCAACGATGTGCTTAAGTGACTGCAACAGTTCTATTTGCCTTGAAGAAAACTGTGATAGCAGCTCTTTATCGTATGAAATTTCTAAATTTAACAGTAAACCTTGACACAACGAATTTAAATTGTTCCAGAAAAATTGAGAATATTTAATATAGTGAGGAAAGCTTTCACTGCTGCTATTTTTACTCCAGTATTGAATCATTTTCGAAATCTGATTGAAAAAACCTTTGTAGGATGCTTGTGGATCCGTAAGACTCCATTCCAGAACTGGAAACAGGTGACTTCGAATTAATTTTTCGCAGAAACCGATATCCGAATGGTTCTTCATGATCACGTATTGCAAACACTCAACGTATGTTGTTGATATAGCTAATGATTCATGTCGACTTCTTGTGGATGACTGATGTTTCATTCTACAAATTATGACTATTTTAGTACCACCTCGTAAAGGCTCGTATTCATATAGCAAACGAATGGATTTGTCCGAATTCTCCCAAATTTGTTCGACGTTAATATTTCTGCCCACATGCTTCCGAACGACTGCTTTCGCGGGTGTATATAAGCAGTATACAGCCCTTGCGAATACTGTGGGAAACTGTAAGTAAAGTCCGTGAAGTTGGCGCCGCCCATTGTTCATATTATTTGTATGCACATCGTTTGTTTATCGTTTGTTTACGTTTGTTTAACTATTTTCATCATTTGTTTACATTTCCGTATGTCTTTTTTAAAAATTCAAAATCATAATTTTGTTTGTTTATCGATGCAGGTCGTATGTTTATCGTTTGTTTAACTATTTTCATCGTTTGTTTACATTTCAGTATGTCTTTTTTAAAAATTCAAAATGGGCGAGCTAACTTTACGGTGGCTCGCCCAAAATCATAATTTTGTTTGTTTATCGATGCAGGTCGTTTGTTTATCGTTTGTTTACGTTTGTTTAACTATTTTCATCGTTTGTTTGCATTTCCGTATGTCTTTTTAAAAAATTCCAAATGGGCGAACTAACTTCACGGTGGCTGACCCAAAATCATAATGTTGTTAAGTTTGCAAGTCATTTCGTCTGTGGGCGCGTAAACTTTACTGTCATTATATTATTTTTCATCGCAATATGCATCTTTTTAAAAAATGTTAAATGAACAATTAACTTAACAGTGGTGGGGCTAAAATTCACTTATGAACCACTCTACAATTGTAGCAGTAACATACATGCAGTGGTTAGGTAAACGTAAAAGGCGCTAATAAATTACGGTCTATTCAGTATATCTTCCGTTGCACGTCATTACCTGAAGAAAACGACGTACCAACGTAAACTTACTTTCGTTTATTAGGCAACACATTAAGCATGTAGTTTATTTTAGCCGCAACAATTGGTAGCATTTCGCTATGTTGTCGCGTTTAAATTTGTAAATTTGATAGGTTGCTTTTGGTTTACTTTTCGTTTGATTTGATTTTGATTATTTTCTACGTCTTTCGCTGTGCATTGGTTTGAAGAGAAATTACTGAAGAATTTAGATAACCCGTCAGTAATTGTGTTCGATAACGGGAAAAACAGACAACATTAAAGTGTGGTTAGGTGATCATAATGTGCAGTTCTCCGAAAATGATTTTACAGCCGAACTGTTGAAAAGGTTGCACAGTAAGTACGTTCGCAAATTATTTGATGTTATATAAATCTTGTTGATACTTTTAGGAATAAATCAGCTAAAATGTACCGCATAAGGCATTGACCACTTAGCCGAGTAATACGGTTACTTCGTTTTACGTTTACCACCCTAGCATCGCGTTTTTAATCCTATCGAACATATTTGGGGCATAGCGAAAAATTACTACAATCGACACATTGGTAGAGATGGACGAAGCATTGAAAATTGCATAAACATGTGATAAGAATCACTACAATCGATAACTTCCGAAACGTGGCGCAATTCAGTTAAGGATACGGAAACTGTAATACACGAGTGGTACGAAAGAGAAAAGCAATTAGATCTTGAAAACGTTGCTACTATTATTATAAACTTTGAACACGAAAGCAGTTTCGATGATTCCGATTAATTTGAATATCATCCATCACATCACATAACCTGTAAAATTTTATATTTAGTACTTTCTCTGTAAAAGAGATGCTACATTTGTACAGTTCATAAGTTATTAAAGTATATTGTATGTATATTGTGGTTCCAATTAACGAAATGAATAATAAAAATTATTTTTATTTTATTTAAGGTGTGGATTGTTCACAAAAAGAATGCACTGTCTTGTTGACAAGTGACATAACCTAAATCGCTCAAAACTAGATTTGGCATTATTGCATAGTAATTACGTCACAGAAAATGATGTAGTCACTGTTCTTCAAACAATTCTCTAATTTTCATATTAAAATGTATGATGGTACTTAGAACTGCCTACCGTTTTAATATTAGTTGAGACAGAAATATATCTTGACCTATTTGCCGGACGTGATATGGTATTTTTTAGAATGGATCGAGTCATCTATGAAACACTATAAGCCAGTTGTACGTGTTCAGTTGATTGACATAATTGAAATACTTAATTGAGCAGTGTTTGAATTGTGACCAATGAAGTTATCTACAATGGAAATGCTACTATTGTCAATATTGTACCACATTCTTACATCTAATTTAATGCGTTTTTCAATATTTATTATAATTCTTTAGAGTTGCCCTCGGAAATAGTCTGCAGTACTTTCGATAAACATGCTGGGTACTTGTTTCAGTACGCAGTATACGTTATAAAATGGCCTGTTTCTGGACTTATCTTCCGACTTATAATAATAGTTCACTTTTGGTACAAATGAAACGCCCTCGAGCACTTTTCGGAGCGGCCGCTTGGTGCTCGATACTCGAGCGTTTACTTAAAATGTTCGGTGCTCGTGCTCATGAGCATTTTCCTTCGCTTGTGAGCGCTTTTAACCGCCCTCAAGCTCTGAAGGATTAAGCGCCGCTCGCGAGCGTTTTTTCCGTTTCCGAGCGCTTTTTCCACTCTTGAGCGTTTTTTTTGCTCACGAGCACTTTTCCCAAGCGCTCGCGATAAACCACTCGAGCATTTTTAGCAGTGCTCGGAACCCGTAAGCGGTTTCGCTTGGCAAAACAGCTCGATGCTTGCGAGCATTTTTGAGACAATTAGAACCGAGATTAGGACGCTCGTCGCTCGAGCGGTTTTTTAGAACACTCGATCCAGCTCTGTCTCAACTAATATTAAAACGGTAGGCAGTTCTAAGTACCATCGTACATTTTAATATGAAAATTAGAGAATTGTTTGAAGAACAGTGACTAATTTATTAGAGCCTTTTACGTTTACCTAATCACTGCATGTATGTTACTGCTACAATTGTAGAGTGGTTCATAAGCGAATGTTAGCCCCACCACTGTTAAGTTAATTGTTCATTTAACATTTTTTAAAAAGATGCATATTGCGATGAAAAATAATATAATGACAATAAAGTTTACACGCCCACAGACGATAAATAAACGACTTGCAAACTTAGCAACATTATGATTTTGGGCGAGCCACAGTGAAGTTAGTTCGCCCATTTTGAGTTTTTAAAAAAGACATACGGAAACGTAAACAAACGATGAAAATAGTTAAACAAACGTAAACAACCGACCTGCATCGATAAACAAGCAAAATTATGATTTTGGGCGAGCCACCGTGAAGTTAGCTCGCCCATTTTGAATTTTTAAAAAATACATACGGAAATGTAAAAAAACGATGAAAATAGTTAAACAAACGTAAACAAACGATAAACAAACGATGTGCATATAAATAATATTAATATGAACATCTGTAAGTACACACTAGAAAATATACCACACGACTTCTTCGCGAATTTTCTTTGATGTGCCATCTGGTGAGCGAAAACTAGAGAATGCAACATATTCGTACGCTTGTGATTGCTTGTACCTACACATGAGTCAAATTCGTTCGCTATATGAATACGCGACTTTAGTGAAGACCTACTTCAAGTTTCACAGTTTGCGTATTACAGTTTGTCTATTAGTAAATGATACTTTACTTAAACATTCTTTTTCTACAATCGATATCCAAAAGAGACATTTGCGCTCGTATTTGACAACGCAAACGTCATATTTTTCGAGGAATGTCACTTTGTCACAAGCGACAAAATAAAAAAACCGCTCGCTCTTCCAATTATTAACTATAAATTAAATATGCATTGCTCAGTGTCCAATGACAACTACGAGTAAAAAATAAAAGGAGAGAACCTTGCATTAAAAGGGGACGGAAATGGACCAAATGGAAGTTATAAAAGTGCGAAAAGGGTGGGGAGAAACGCGTCATTATTGGCAGTGGTGTAACAAAACAAAACTGACATCGTCTCTTCTGTTTTATGATGTCAAGTCGACATAACTGACCAGCGCAAAGGGAGTGATATGATGACAACTTCCGTCGCATGTTATGCTATTTCCCACCACCGTTATATTCTCTCCTCCTATTTTTTACTCGTAGAATTCAACATAAAGAAAGACCAAATTACTAAAAACGGTTTCCTAATATAACAATTTACAATAAATGTTCGAATAAGTCACGATTAACTGCAAGACAGTAACCAAGTCGATCATAAAATCCATTTCGAACTGCTGCTAATTGATCACTGGATATCTTTTTGTTTTAGAAAATTCCATGGCATCGCAGATTATTGAAAAAAATGCGGGTTTAATTTTTCCAATTTTTCGTCTTTATATGAAAAAAATTGAAAACTAATACGGTTGATTGGCGTAAAATATTTTTTCTACAAAAAACTTTAATACATTTTTGCTCTAAAATAATTTGGGGAGCCAATAATCGCATGTTACGAATTTTACATTGAAATCCCTATGGTGCATTACGCAAGTCACCACCCTGTATACCATTTTGCGCTCTTAATACACAAATAGCTATTGTCCACAAGGAAAATGCTTCATAAAATATTACCTGAGCAGAACAAGAAATAATTATGAGACAGGTCTCAAAGCAATCAAAGTAAGTACATAAAAGGAAAGGGCTAAGCGCAAATTGAGACACATAGAGGACGTGTGAGGTGACGTGACGCGGTGATCCACTGAGATGCAGTATTTCATTCTCTATTCGCAACCGCCAAATTGGAAAATGATTGATAAATAAACAAAACAATTGTTATTATTAACCTTAAGTTCTGACTCAGAATCAGATGATGCTAAAGACGAAATTTTGTTTTATTTTTTGAAAAAAAAAATAAATTTAAATCACTCGATAACGTACATCAGAGAGAAAAATGATGTGAGAAGTTTAAAATTTCAAGTGTGAATCGCCGCCAGTTTTCTGAAGTTCATTCGATGATTCAATAAGACATTAATTCATATGGATGTAATGCTCGAAGGCCGCTAGCCTGAAGCAAAGCTTGCAGTCTCCATATAGTTAGCACTTTTTGTGTCGTAAACCTCCTTGTGTACCCTTATTGCTTCTGACGTTACATGAAACTATTTGAAATCATGACCCTGAGAGTGAAATTTAGTAACTTGGTGATTATTGTTTTCTGATACATTAAATTGATTGTTACCAACAATATAAATGTTTAGTTTTGTGGGAAATTCAAACTGATCACCCGGTATATCAACCATATGCATATTTTATGTTATCATACAACAAATGGATTGCTCTTTTCAAATATCTTAAAATAACATATGCGTTGCATTTGAAAAACAAAAGTTGCATAAATTTCAGATTTAACCGGGTGTGATACTGTAAGTTCCAATATGCGATCAGATAGATTGTATTGTCACATATAAAATTATATTTGTCAAATTATTCGCCAAATAAAAAATAAAATGCACTGTATATTTTGCATTACTGCCTATCTTTCCTGAGAAGCAGCACTAACGCAGTTGAATGACCAATATTTTTGACCTTAAGAACAGATTTTCCGCGAGAGACATATAGATAAGTAAATATCAATGAAAAGCGCAAATTGTTTCATTATGAATTATTCTGCAGTAAAAAGAATTTTAATCGCTGATGCAAACTACGAAATAATTCGTAGCATAATTTTTTCAAAAATGTGTTTTGAGAACATATTTGGATACCTACTATTTTTACATTAGTTAGTCGTAATTCTACCCAAAAAATGGTGATAATACGTTTTTTAAAATAATTTTACGGAAATATTCAGACAGTGAACGTATAAAATAACTGCATTGGTTTTTAACGGTTTTTCTTGAATAAATGATGATTTTGAAATTGTTTGGTAAGTGAGGCGCAAAAAACACTGCCCTAATAAATTTCAAAATTCATGGACGAAAACAAGATAATAATTATTAAAGGTATTTTCAAATTATATTGACCTCAATTGTATATAAAAAAGGGCACTGTGAAAATTATTTGACATCCTGAACAAACAAGATTACTAAAAAAAATGTAGAAAAATATAAGAGAATACACACTACAAAAAGGAAGCATACAAAGACTAACAACGCTAACTATTATCACGATTTGGTTATTGATTTTTTTCACTATGTCTTTATTGCCCAATTTGAAAACAGACAAATACATTAAAATTAATGATGAACAAAAACAAAATGTTGGCTTAATGCAAACCTTCGGTTTATGTTTACCACTTATTATTGTTTATAAAGGATTTGTATTGCAACTGTGAAGTGAAGTCACACTAAAAGATTGTTCATGTAGTGCAAACAAAGCAAAAAAGTTGATGTGCAAACAATGTTTTATATTTCAATCGCTGACATGGAGTAATATTAAGCCTACTCCATGCAAGGGGGAGCGCCTAATGTTAAAACTTTTCTGTCATTCCATGTGATAGCTGATGTCGTGTTCATGGTCTGTTGCTGAATAAACCCAATTAATTCATCTTTAATGGCAATTGAAAAGCCAGGTGAGTGCTTGTTGTTGCTGACCTATAACATTTTGACGTCGTCTGACCTATCAGTGTAAGTATTCCAATAAGTTTGTTCAAGATTTTCGCCTGACCAAATTATTACCACTCCAACGAAGACAATACTGAGACATGCTAAATTTACACAAGCTTCGACCGTCCCAGGAAATTCAGGACATAGGAAGGTGGTTAAAATAATTCAATACCTAATAATATTCAATTGAGTTGAGGACAATAATATGAAAGAGGTACGCACTCCAAAAACCGATAACTTGTTTTCATGAACAATAACAATCTGTGTAGGATTAGTTTCCCCGCCATCCAAGGGTATCGGCCAAATTGGGACCTGAACTACGATCTTTTCTCCATTGGATTTATGGGCTCCTGTGTTTGTATTAAATATGTGACTTCAATTCACAATGAAAATACAAATCCTTTGCGTGCATTACTAAATTTTATACGTAATACTTTACCCTTTAAACATATTTTCGAAGAATAAGGAAAAAGTGGAATTCTGGTCAATACTTGGAGGCAGATGTGAAATCAGAGGTAGTAAATTAGGAAAAATCACATAAGCATTTCCAAATCCACCTTCTTTTAACAACTTCCACAACTTTGGAAAAACCAGCTTGTCAATATTAACATACTGCCACCATTCCTGCAGAGATAATTTGTTCATACAAATATTTGATGTGCGTTAAAATACCTCAATTGTGGATAAAACAGAAAGAATTGCTTCCCATAAGGATTGGACAACTATGGGTTCGCTCTCGTCTAAATCAGAAAAAACAGCTCCAACAATATGCGCGTACTCTTTTTTCAAAAATGTGGGCGATTTTTGACATATTGACGATATCACGCAATACCAGGCAGATTTAATTGGAAGTACTTTATTTTTGGCAAACTTCCAAAACTTACTGTCTGAAATAATTTTCATATTTAATTCTTCTTGCTTCTCAATCTCATCTGTGCATAGTTGTTGCAAGTACAAGGTGTATCCGTGAAGACTCGATATTAAAACTCGTTGGTATTTAGCCTCCGCATCTTCGGGAGATGTGATCTTTGGGTTACTTAAGGTGCTTGAAGTATGAATTGTAAGATTTTCACCAATGTAAGATAAGATTTCCTCTTGACAATACGCAATAGCTTCCTTGATTTTATTTTTTGGAAACGCATCCTAAAAATGTAGAGCATTATTTAATGTATTCATTTATTTGTGTTTAATTTTTTGACGCAATAGCATTTGATTCCCGATGGTACTGTTAAATCCAATCCAATCATAAAAAATATCACAAATAGTGCAACTAATTTTATTCGGATCATTTTCTACGAAAACTTTTGATTTTAGATATGTGGATGTAATTGTTCCTATTTTTTAGTGGAAACAGTGAACACAAAAAAAGGGGATTTCTATTTAATAAAATTAATTTTTTATTTCACGACAAAGGACCTAGCAGCGGAGCGTCCCCTTTGACGGCGCGTTTCATCGCGGCCACAAATTTTTAATTAACACACGTTACATCTTCTAATATTTCTCACAACACTTGAACTCTTCTACAATTTTGATTTTTTGTCCGGCATCCTCTGAATATGTTTATTTTTGGTTTGCAATCCCTTCATAGTGTAGCAAACATTCCAGAAATCCCGATAGATATCAAGGCATCATCCAAGATTAGTCATCGGCGATAAAGAACGAAGGCAGATGTGACGTAATCTTTCCGAGAAATATGACTTGTTTGTTCGAGACCATTCTACAATAGTCAGATGCCTGCGAAAGCGCTTGAGATCTTTCAAGGGAGGCGTTTGCTATATAAGCATTGCATTGCAGCGCAGTTCTAATTTCGATGCCGAAGTAATAAATAGGTCGCGCTGTTATAAATGGTGTATTCGTGAGTGATAAACAATATTTTTATTGTTATAAATTAATCAATTTCAAGACTGTTATAAATTTGTTAATTGTTATAAATAAACAACGTAATTAAATTTACATTACAATAGCAATATTTGAGCATGTCGCGTCTTCAACAGGCTGGTAAATGCATGCACAAGCGAAAACGGCTTCATAAATAGAACCCGAGACAGAACTGCTAACTAAGGCTGGAAAATATTTCGAAGTTCTAAAATTGACCAACAAAGGGCGTAACTGCCATTTTAAATTTTAAAATTAGATTTTCTTTAAATTTCGCATAATAATCTACAAATTGTTTTCACATTTTTAAAGAGAACCAGTTTATCTATCATTTTCGTAAAAACAAAAACTCAGTTACCTATTTCAAAAACAAAGATGGTGTGGGGCGTTCAATTGTTTTTGTAATAACCTGCTTTAACTTCTTAACCGTTTCACCGATTTGAACAAATTTAGTATGGTTGAAAAGAGCATTCCTTGGGCAATGAGAATTAACCAAAATATAGTTAATTTAGTTGAATTCTTCTCCGCCAGGGGGCTAGTTTTAACACTATGACTCAAAATTCTAAGAGGCCAGTGAAAACCGTTTTTCAAAATCTCGAACCTCAAATATTGGGAAAATGAGATTAATTAATTAATTAATTAATAAAAATGCTTGTATTTCCGGTATTTGTCGATGGCGCGAAAGATTGTTTGGAAAAGCACCCTACACTTTTAAGTAGGCATTGGAAAATTAAACAAATGAAACACGATGCATTATAAAATAATAACAGCCGTAAATTATTCTGCTGTGTTTACATTCAGAAAGTGCAGTTTTTTGAATTTGTAATCTTTTCTAAAATGCCGCTTTCTAACCAAGAAGCATTTAATATGCTGGCGGCAATGGTTCGTGGTCAATTCGGATAACGCAAGTTGAAGATGTGGGCACCGATGGTCGCATTTTGAAAATACTCAAAATATATCGCCAGCATATTAAATTAGGTTCTGCCGTCCCAATCGTTTCCATAGAAACACAATTGTCATATGAACGACAGATGTCATCAGAATGCATAATCATTTGTTTCACTTTATTTACCCTTACGGTTAAAGTGATCACTTTATCTATAGGTTAAAGAACGGCTTAGCCTACTCATTCAAACCTATTAAAACGGGGATTTACAATAATTCAACCGATTAAACCGGGTTGGTAGATTTTGCTATGGTTACAATTATTGCCACAATTGTTTCTATGATGATTTCTACCAATCCGGTTAAAACGGTTGAATTATCGTAAATCCCCAATGTCATTTTAACATATGCTATAAAATAAAGAAAAATAATGATGTGTCACACTCAATAATTTTACATAAATTTATTCCTTCTTTGTTTCTCAGATATTGCACGCGAATTCCTTTGGGAAATGTCACAAAAATTTAAAATACAGACATATACGTTTCTAACAATTCATTACTAATACGTGTATGGTTTCGGACATTTTTGTAGTTATGTTTTGTTAGCATTATAATAGCATTCTTAATTTATTTTTTTGTTGTACCTACAGGCTACAGACCTCAAAAAACAGGAAAAAAACCATGTTTTGTAAAAATTACAAAAAAATTTAGTCCCTCGGAGCCCCCCCCACACACCTCGGATACTCATTCCATTACGCCTCCGCCCTTGGTTAAAACAACACCTGCATACACCCCTATCGTAATTTACCAATACACCACTGGTTGTGGTCGATACTGTACTCTTGATTGTTGCTTCATTCATTATTACCACTGATTCCCTCTCCTTCATAAGGCAATCACCTAACTACCAACAAATTAGTTTGAATTACCATGACCTGTGGCAAACGTCAGTTTTGCCATTGCGTCGCTACAGCTTTTGATAAAGATTACATTCTACCTACCTGAAATGATTTTGTAGCAGCACTAGCTGCAGGTGCATATGTGTCATATTGTGATGTAAACCATGGACCTGCAAACTGCTTCAAATATGGCGCCAAATTTCGTTTACTTTTAAGTACGACTTGATGATGAGCTATATGCGTGCCTTCTCGTACTTTATGGTCAGTATCTGTAGCCAAAACACAATACAATCTTGGCCAAAATGGCAAAACAGCTATCACTGCTTCAATATCTGATGTTTTAATAAGTTCAGTGAATTCTTGAAGTGCCTACACAATTAGGAATAAATGAATTGCCTATTCTTGTTTATTTTAAAACCTTTGATTTGGTGGTGGCATCCTTTTTGCTCATCTTCTTTAAAACTAGCTGAAAATTTGGATCTATAGAGGCATCCATGTCATCGGTGGCAAGAGAAAATCCAGACATTGCTGTGGATTCTTTCATAGCCGAAAAACCCACAAATTGTGGTACGGTTGTCCCTAAAAGCTCGGCACTTCTACAGCTGCTGGAGGGCTACATGAAAAAGGAATAGTAAAGGTTTCATTACAATTTCTAACACAAACCCTAGCATTGTTCTTCGTTCTTTGTGCTTGTTTATGTTTTCCACCCATTTCCTATTGCAATGTAGTAAAGATATATAACACAATTACTTTGAACATGAAACTTAATTATATTTTTCGTGGCCAGTACAAATTACACAATTACACTTTGTAGGTTAGGTTTGAGTGACAGACTGACATATATATAAGAGAACTGAGAAGTATATGGCACAAAATAAAGGTGGGTTCATAGCTCTCCGTTCATACGTTTCCGTTTATCCGTTATCCAATCAGAACACAGTAAATTTTTAAACCGTACGTCGTCCATTAACTACGGAAAAGTTGGTTGAAGTTGAAGATTTACGTTTCCGTTGGTCCGTTTTTTAACAAGAGTAAGGTTATGTTTGTTATGTTGTTGACTTTTAAGAGCAAATTTAACAGTGTTCGTCTATTACGTTCTTCGAGGTGATAATCTGATAGCAAAGACTAACTCTGATAGTAGTTTCTACGTACTGAAGATCACGGTGGGTACAGTACAAAATAAAATTTAGGTTATGGTTATACCTACCTTGGAAACGTACGATATGGACGGATTGCTATGAACCTTAACAAATTGCACTATCCGTTTGAGGGATCAACGCAACGGATGAACGGAGAGCTATGAACCCACCTTAAGACCTTCACAGAACAGAAACATAAATGGCGCTAAATTGTCACTGATTACAGCGTTTCCCGTGGTTGTACGGAGAACTATTTATCGCAGACTCAAATATTTTTTTTGCAAAACCTGTAATTTTGCTCGTTACAGGAAATATTTTTACCATCGATTTTATACGTACATGTCAATTTTGACTTTTGAAAGATTTAAAATATGAACAAGTTATGTGACCGTAAAAAGTGTTGTGTGGCGGATTGTAACGATAAAATATCAAAAAGGCATCGTTTCCCATATTTTGAAACAGATTGTTTTGTGCTTGAAACGCGAAGAGGATTGAAATGTGCTGTTATTTCTCTCCTATTTATGCAAGGTATGGAATTTATAAATTACCAACGGTATAGGCGCTAAAGGGTGTAGACTTGAGTTTTATATTTATATAGACGTAGATACTTACATTGAATTTATTATAAATTCAATGATACTTATATTGTAATTCCTTTTAGATAATGAATACAAAATACGTTTTACATAATTCAACAACTTCCACCCTCGCTTCTCAAGTAACAAGTAAGCACCAGAATCAAGTTAACATTTGTTGTCAAAAACTTGTGTGACAATTTGCTGAAACGGTTTTATTACCTCTTGGAACAAACAATTTAGTTCAAACGATATTTTTTAACAAAAATATGTAGTCCAAACAGTAATTAAAACCAAATATTTCGTACGACAAATCGTTATGTAAGGATTTTTCTTCAAAGTGTTAACATCTACAAACCGTAAGTTCCACTCACTTCTGAGTTTTATATGTAGTTTGTAAACATGTAATTTAAGTTCTCTGTGTTAAATAATGTAATGTGATTGTATCTAAATACACTTTAATTTAACAACTGTGTATTCTTTATCGATATTTATGATTTATATCGAATTTGGGAAATTACTTCATGACTTTAGAAGCTGGTCACCAGATGGCGCTTCTCTGATTTCGATGCTTTAGTTCACAGTACACCCACCAGGCTCCGCCAAAATACCATACAAACAGTAAAGTCACTAGATATAGAAAGTACCGCAATCATCCGCCATTTTTGGGCAAATTTGCTGCCAACTTCAAAAAATTGACAAATAAAATCTGAATAGCCGTCATTTTTTATAACCTAACTTCATAGTACTGTCATGTTTTATAAAAATATATACAGATACCTCCAAACAGGTGAACAATTCCTAACATTAAAGTTACTAGAATCTGGTAACTTCCGCCATTTTTGGGCAAAAATCATGCGTTCTCTCTCTAACACACGAGCCCAATGGATTGCGGTACTTTCTATATTTAGTGACTTTATGTCACACGTACGCAAATGCAAATAGTAGCGAGTTTCCTGTATTAATATATTAAGGTATTTGCTTACATTTACAATTAAATTAAGTATAAATCACTTTCAACTCAAACGGAAGCTGACGGAACGGGAAGAACTGTTGGACTCGAACGCCACCAAGGGATGCGAAGGAACTGAAAGCAGAATTACGGTACACGGATACAGCAGCGACTAACGGGAATGCAAGCACGAATTAATTAACAATTAACAGTGTCTACGAGAAATCAAATGCAGGAAAGTGAAACGATATCCCCCTTTATAATAATAGAAGGAAGCGTAGCTTACGAGGATGCAAAAGATCCTTTCTAAACAACACTTTACCTTTTAAAAAATTCGGCTATTTCATGAAGGGATCGACAGTTCACCAGCCGACACACAGCGTATTCGGTTATCTACATCTAAAAATTAAAACTTCCTTAATTCATTGTGGAGCCTGCTTACGTCCGATTTAAATTAATTAAAAGCGCTTCTTTTAAGATCCATCACGACCTAATCGGATGCTGTTTACTGCATCTCATTTAATTAGCTACCGATAATAAATTACACTTAACTTGCCGGATAATATTTCTAAATTCATCATTCTAATATGAACACCTATTGTCTCTTGGAATTTCCCAGGTCAGCCCAAAAGACCCTTTATCAACTGATGCGTGCATAAAACTGCATGGCCTTGCAGTTTTAATGCGCGTTTTTAAATTAGCATAGGGAAACTAAATCATCTAATAATATTATTTAACTGAAATTCTAAAATATGAATTTGCTCTCGTCTTCTAAATGACAAGAGCTTTAGGCCGCAACAAAGATAATTGAAATATGTTGACGTGAACGGTTGCAAACGACGAATTAATTACAGCTTTTGTTTACGATAACGGCGGCTGAAGCACAACTCTAGACATTAAATCAATTACGTTTACGTTATCTCTTCGACTCCTAAAACCAACATAAATACTTTCGCACGACACTTTTCGTCAAGAATCGCGGATAACGGAAAACGTTCCCTACCTCCTTCTTGCAGACGGGGAGAGAGATTTTTGTCGAGTGTTGATAAAGCCGCTACCTTTTGTAGCATTACTGTGCGAACATCTCGCGTCTGGTGGCTACAACATCAAAAGTGGCCTTTGTTTTCGGATTATAAGTATCGGTACTCCAATAGGTACTTGGTTCGGTGCGGGAGGTATTTCTAGCCTAATAATGGTATTCCAATGCTGCAACAGCGGGGTGAACTGCAAAACTTGATTCAGTGGTCTCAAGAGACACAAAACGTTGTCACCTAACTGATCTCTGTCGGCCGAATATTCCCATTGTTATTACGTGGTACGGTTACTGTGGTACGGTACTGCACAAACCAACAACCATCTTTATTGTTACAGATATGGACTATTAGGTTCGAGTGGCTGCGGCAAAACAACACTTCTGAATTGCATTTTAGGCCTCAAAAAAGTTGATTCTGGGACAATACTAGTCTTCGGCGCCATATCCGGTTCGAAGGAAACTGGAATACCGGGACCCAGAGTTGGTTACATGCCACAAGCAAGTCTTTTGCGCCTACCTATTGAGAAAACAAACCTATAGCACTGTGTAATTATAGGAACTTGGATTAATGCCGTTTTTTACAATCGAAGAAGCAATAAGGTATTTTGGTTGGTTAAATGGATTAGAACAGGACAGGATAGTATCGAGAATCCAGTTTCTAAGTACCCTATTGGCTTTACCTGATTACAAAATGGTGATAAACAATCTTAGCGGTGGTCAGCAGCGGAGAGTCTCATTGGCGTGTGCCTTGGTACATGAACCAGAACTGTTAGTCCTCGATGAACCTACAGTTGGTTTGGATTCCATTTTACGTAAAGAGATTTGGGATCATTTATTAAAAATACGTAGGAAATCGACAATTATAATCACAACCCATTATATAGAAGAAACTTCTCAGGCAGATGTAGTAAGTTAATGTGAAAGGACTCTAATATGGTAATGTTTTTCAAGATCACGACTTTTCTTACATTTTTTGAAGAAACTACTTACGCTCCCTCCCGAGTCATTATCCTTTACGCACGTTATTCCAAGTCTATACATTTTGATATCTTCTGTCTCCTTCACAGGTAGGATTCCTTCGAAAGGGATGTTTGCTTGGTGAAGATTCCCCACGTGATTTGATGTTACGTTTTAATGTTGATTCTCTTGAACAAGTGTTTCTTAAAGTGAGTCTAAAACAGAATACAGACGATACACATGACCCTGAAGAAGATGATTTTATTGTAAATGATGTTCAGCCTGCTTTGAATAAAGTGCACGATAGTAGTACTACGGGGAACCTTGTTTACACAGTAGGCACTAAAAAAAATTTAAGCAAACAGCGCGTGAATGCACTTTTATGGAAACATTTCACATGGATGAGACGAAACTGGGACACTGTTTTCATATTCTTTTCGGTAACTATTGTGCAAATTGCTACATTTTGTTTGGCGATTGGACATAATCCCAAAGATATACCCGTGGGTCTTTTGAATTACGAAGTCAAGCAATCGGATTGCAATTACACTTTAACCTGCAACGCTACACATTTAAGCTGCATCTATTTGCAATACCTCAAAGAAAACGGACTAACATTGGTAATCTTCCGGATGCTTCAATTTGTGAAATAAGTGCATTTGTAGATTGATTATTTCTCCGAAGAGGCGATTACTACATCGGTTAATAAAGGCAAACTGTATGCTGCAATAATAATAAAAGCGAATTATTCGACAGGATTAAGACACCGAATTAAGCAGTGGAATTTTGCAAGCTCGTGGGATTTTGAGCAGGGCGAAATTGTAGTCGTATGGGACACCACAAGTAATAACCACAAGTTGCACCGTACCATATTTTAACAAAAACTATTGTAGATGCAGCCATTTCCAACTTCATTAAAATGTATTTATACAACTGGTATCAATTGTTTGTTCAAAATTTTTTGGAAAAATGTGGTATAAAGAAAAAGGTTCTGACTCTACCTGTGCGGGTATGTTTTTCGGGCATGTTATAGGTATATTCTCGGGTATATTTGAGTTGGAAATCACTCATATTTATTTATTCTCTCGCATGAACTGTGAATAAAAACGCTTATTCATTCAGAAATTTTGCAGGTAGAACAACCAGTGCATGGTTCAGCCCAATTAAATTTTACAGAGTTTTATATACCCGGAGTTACAATCACGTACGTACTTATAAATTAAAAAAAAAACGTTCTGAACGACTAATTTCAGCGTATTATTTTTTATGTCCATAACGTTGACCTCTTTATATCTAATAATTGACCGCAAGGGCGGAGATATGGACCGAGTGTTACTTTCTGGAGCTACTTTAACCGAACTCACAGTATCATACCTAATTACGCAATTGACATGCATGCTCATCGAAGTATTTATTGTTTTTGGAATTCCATATATCGCATTTGGGATCACACAAAATGGATCTTCTCTTCTTATAATCAACTTAGGAATTTTGGTGGGCTTATGCGGAATGGCTTACGGTAATACATGTGACGTTTGTGTTACTTTGCATACGATTTATTTGTATAGGATTAACCATTGCCTCGGTCTGCATAAAGGAATTTTCAGCGACGACAATGGCGCTGGGATCGATAGTGCCTTGTCTATTTATTAGTGGAACGATTTGGCCAACTCAGTGTATAAGTCCCGTATTACAAGGGGTTTCTTCAATTATACCATTAACTAGCGCAATTGAAAGCCTACGGTGTATAATGATTAAAGGATGGGGACTGAATCGTCCAGCTGTTTATAAAGGATTTATATCACTAGTGATTTGGATTACATTATTATTGATAACTTCAATGATTTTGATGAGGGTTCGCAATCGGGCTTAAAGTGTCAGAGGGTTTAGCTTAGTAGTAAATGTGTTGACGCAAAGTCTAGGTGCAAAAATGCCATAACAGTTCCTGAATTATCGCAAATAACACAGTGTTAAACTTAGAGGTACCTAAACATTATAGAAGTTGTTTCACCCAATAAAGTGTATTTATTCCGTATTTATCCCTAAAAATCATTCGGATACATCTAGTGTGACGGTATATTTACTATTTCAAAAGATTTTGCATTTTACCTCTACGCCACTAGTAAAATAATAGTTATTTACCTGAAACCGCAACATGTATATAGAAAACTTTTCCAAATTAAATTATTCATATGTGTGAAATTTTGATACCTAATCACGCATGCTAAAATCACTTTATTTAATTGTTCCCATAGAGACTTCAAAATAATTAAAACAATCAGTGTCATTTTTAAGGCAGTTTGCAGTTTATGCTTTGTACTTTTCAACTATACAGTCATTGAATAACTTATTCAATGAACGATCTAATTGTTATTTTGCATGTACTAGCACTGTAATGGGAGTCAGGCAAAAATATTACAGTACTAGCAAAGAGTAACCATCTCTTTGGTACCTACCTACTTAGTCAGGTAAAGATCAACTTTCTAATGTCAAAATAGCCCTGAAATTTAAATTTTCTTGACGGTTTCAGGTAATAGTATTTTACTATTAGGCTATTAGGTGTAGAATTGGATTTTTACTCCAAGCTAACGTGATCTATATTTTTGTTTTGTTCTTTTTTTTTGTATTAGTGTACTTACATGACGTAATATACTCGATTGCCCATCACGCACGAGCCTTGGCTTATGTGATTGTTGCTAATTTTTTCATTATATCAATAAATAATTATATTATGCTAAATAAATACAAATACAATATATTAGCCAGAGGTAAGTGAGTTTTTACTGGCGATAGGAGAAGTTGACTGGCGAGCCGATCTCAAGGAGATCATTACAGGTTCCTTGTCAGTTCTTTTCCTGTAAATAGAGCAATCGTGAACTGACTTTTGTAATGACCTTTGGCGGCATTGCTTGACTTACCCTATACTTCCTTACAGTTGGCAACACTAAACTTTCAACTCGAAACTACGGACGTTTCGCGGCACCTTTGAATCTCGGTATACTATCACAATACTATGAATCACGTATTCTTGAGTATGACTCAAGGATCTAGTAACGCTGCCCGCGTTAAGTTATATCCCCACCCTAATGTGACGTCATCAACGGACCTGGGTGTCAGAATTGAATGTTATAGTTTGCTAAGTTGTAAACCCTGGTGTGTTGTTCAAGTGTAGGTGAACGTGATCAGGTGGTTGTCGTAGGTTTTTACCGTAGTAAAGATCAAACCTGACACGGGAACGGCAGCGGGACGGACGCGGGATACATTTGTACAGCGAGATTATGCAAGTATAACGTATGCGAACTGCTGCATCGGTATGCATACGTGCATATGCCGCTGTACAAATATATCCCGCGTCAGTCCCACTCCCGTTCCCGCATTCCCGCGTCGTTTTGAGTGGACTTTAAGGCCAAGGGTGTCTGGAGAGTAGGTATCGCGTGTGGTTTCTCGGAACTTGGCAAGATTATCCAGTGATTTTCCCAAACGGTTATATCGTGTATATGTGTTTTCTGCGGAGACCGAAGAGTGTACAACTCATTTTGGCGTTTTTTTCTGGTTGTGGAGGATGTAGAGTAGGGTGTGAGAAGTGAACATTAGGGAGGTGTGAAGGGATCGGAATGTTGACCAGAACTTTTAAGTCCGGAAGAGTGCCAGACTGAATCGAATGCTTGTCTGATTTGGAGAAAGGCCGCGAGAGTGCAGTTGCCGTTGATCTGGTAATTTTCTTTTTCTCTTAACTTTGGTGCACCTGAGGGATGTAAAATCAATATGGTAGGGAGGTAAGAGATTGATAGTATTGTAATTTAAATTTATTACGTGATTTATTTACTTATGTGCATTTGCATTTATAACAGTCCTTAAATAGATTGATTTATAGCAGTTAATAGTTATTTGTTTCATAAGTACAAAAAATGTCAGTTTTCGGGACGAGGAAGATAGTTGCTGGACGACGCGTTAGCGGAGTCCAGCAACCTTCCGAGTCCCGAAAACGCATTTTTTTGTACGAATAAAACATAAAATTTTTTCTCCAACCCCCTTTACTTCAAATTATATTCGAATTTAGATTCAGTCACAGTTTCACTACTAGTATAAAAACTTCTGCTTTCTTGTCCTCACGTGTCATGCCACTCTAGTTTTTTGGTTTAACTTATAACCTATTCGTTCTTACTTCTTACTTCTCACCTCTCGCGACTTTGTAGGGAGCAATCTAAGGTAGCATGTTCTGCCGTTTCTATAATCTCTGGCGGAGTGCAATCCATGTCGCTATCAGTTTCAGTCATTTCTATTGTATACACAATTAATATTGTTATATTTTGTATTGAAATAAAAAACTTACCATACAGTTTTTTAATTAAAATTAAATGCAATTAACTTTTTCAAATTTTGAATTCAAAATGACAGATAATAGTGCAATGGGTCTGAAGTAGATGGCGTTACGCGCGACGGCGGGTTGTATACGTATTAAAATTACGTTCACGGAATATGTAAATTACGTTACACATGGTTTAAATAAAAATAGCGAGCGTAAATCATTTTCAATACATGTACATATGTATAGGTAACATCATTATTTGCATTGAATATGCAAAAATATTTGATTTGTATGTATAGAAATATCTTACAACCTGCAATGTAAAACGATGTCAATGTGACATATCTCCGTGATTGTAATTTTTCAATTGGCCAACTTTCAAGGTCAATTTCTTTTTGGTACTAGGACCAAAAGTATCCACTTTTTGTACAGTTGCCATGGTGAAAGCGATTAATCCGCAAAACGTCAATTTTAGGTACCGAACACTGTCACAAAATAGCGTCTTATTCAGGTGGTTGGAGAAAAATATTATTTGTTACTAAAATTTATGACATGTAGATTTAAAACGCACGAGCGCCAATGTCAGTACTTACCACTTCGGCATCGATGTTTTTTTTTTATGGCTTGATGCAAAGCATATTCAGCCAGCTTCAATATATATGTAATAATTTATTTGGAGAAAAAGGATAATGAACGAGGTCACACGCTTCTCGTCAAGGGACCCTTCAAGACATTTTTTTTGTTACAAACAAGAACAGGCCACGGTAAGGCTTACCACAAGTAGGATAGTAACAGAGGTACAAGACTAAGGGAACTCACAGGAATACTTTCGTTTCACAAATAAATTCAAACAGGCATTCATAAACACATTTTCTATTTAGCGCTAATAAGGAGCATATATTATGAGGAGGGAAGAGATTTTCTTTAATTAATTTTTCGATTAAGTTTTCGGATTGTTGCAGTCTATATTTTGTACAGTTAAAAAAGATATGGTTTAGATCACTTGTTTCTCTACAAAGTTGACACAGACTGGAATCCAGGACATGTATTTTGTGTAAGTGGGCTGGGTAGCACGCATGCCCAAACCTCATTCTAATATTAGTCGTTATATACTTCCGTGGAACCTATATATTTTTGAACCAGTACTCGTTTGGGACATCAGGAATATTCCATAATACAACCTGGCATCGATGTTGGAACTAACTTAAACACGATTCAATTTGCTGTAATAGCAAACAAACACTTCTATACTCTATTCATTTTAAGAAGGTAGTGGTAGAAATCATAGGGAAGCTTTGACCTTCACTGTGATTGGTTAAACCACGAGTCTGTATTACGCCGAAAAATAAAATGTGTGACCAATCTTGTTATGTTAGTAGTTTCGGTTACGAACTAAACTGTCGAACTGACATTAGATGACAATTTCAATGATCCAAACGTGAAATCTTTTGATTTATATTCATATTTTTCAAATTTGGTGCGGTTTTATATTTATCCTGTGTGCGTCTATCTTTAAACACAGCGCCATCTACTACCTTCTTATAATGAATGCAGTATAGAACTTTCTCGAATAAACAAATCCTATTTCGCGGAAAGGATGCGACGCAGCTTAGGAGAGAAATAGGTCGGTAGGAAAATAGTCTAATGAGATTGCGGCGTTGGTTTTGCGATCAAAGTTACTGTAAAGAATTTCCACAGCGTTCAGAGGTATGGGAGTTGTATGTAACGGTTGTAAATGTTGGATAATATAATATAATGTGATTGCGCAGGAGTAAGGTAGTGTAGTATCCAACACAGAACAGTAATATTACTGTTTTGTGGTATCCAATCTGTTGATGTCCATTCGGGATGCTGTAATGCGTCCACTTTTTATGGTGACCATAATCGTTTAGGGGAGATGTAGAAGGCTTCAAAAAAGGAATTGAAGGCATTTGTTTTGTATGCTATAATAAATTTGTCAGAGCTTTGGGAGTAAGAAACATTTTTCTACCAATCAGAAACACTGGTTGCAACCACCCTCTGCAACTCAAATTTCGCGCCAAAAGTGCAGTGATATTCGGTGGATCCACCAGGGCGCCCAATAAGAATAAAGGATCACAAAATTACCAAAAAAAAATAATAATAGGACGGGATTTCTCGTTCTGTCACTTTTACTTCATAAATGATCCAAATTTAATTGCTACAAATATTCAAATAATAATGGCGAACGAGTTAAAACTGTTAAAAGTTTGTAAAAACGGATTTGCTCAGGTATGGTTAGAATTCTTACATAACAATGTACTTAAAGGTATTTGAATTTCCGATAACATATTGCAATGCCTTTTAGATACGCAACTTTCATCGCACCGCTCCAATTTTCGCCGATAAACCTAAAAATAAGAAATTTTCAATTTACCGCTGGGATCCGGAACATAGCGGTCAGAAACCCTACCAAAAAGAGTATGTCGTCGATTTAAATAAGTGTGGTCCCATGGTGTTGGATGCCCTCATTAAGGTCAAGAATGAAATGGATCCAACTTTAACCTTCCGCCGGTCCTGTCGCGAAGGGATTTGTGGATCGTGTGCGATGAACATGGATGGGCTTAATGGCCTCGCATGTATTACGTAATACATGTTGCAGTTTCCTTGGTTATTATGATAGTGCAACTTTTTAGGAAAATTGACTCCAATTTAAGTAAACCCATGAAAATATATCCTCTACCTCATATGTATGTAGTGAAAGATTTAGTGCCTGATATGACACACTTTTATAATCAGTATAAATCGATTCAGCCATGGCTACAACGTCAGTAAGTGCACTTGTAGTTGTTCGAATTGATTCAAATTAGACACATTTCAGTGATGAGGTAGAAGTTGGTAAGCATCAGTATTTACAAAGCACGAAGGATCGTGATAAGTTAGATGGTTTGTACGAGTGCATTTTGTGTGCTTGTTGTTCTACCTCCTGTCCAAGTTATTGGTGGAATGGTCAAAAGTATTTAGGACCTGCTGTTTTAATGCAGGTATGTATACCTACCTGCCATTGGGTGGTTCGCACGAACTACAACCAGTTTAAATTAATCGGCAAAAATGGGTAAGTGTAGTTAAACAATTCTTTTGTGTTTAAGGCGTACAGATGGATTATTGACTCGAGAGATACTTCAACCACCGAAAGATTGGAACGTTTGAAAGATAGTTATGCAGTATTTCGCTGTCACACTATTATGAATTGCACTAGTGTCTGTCCCAAGGTATATCATTCAACAATATCAGCTGGATATTAATTATTAAATCTTTAGGGATTAAACCCTGGTCTGGCAATTGCACACCTTAAGCGACTAGTCGTTGGACTGGAGAAAAAGCCTAATCCAGAAATGGACCCGGTTGCTCTTCATAATAAGTAAATAAATTGTAACATTTTGTTTTCATTTTTTATAGTGAATACTGGAGGAGATTATATGGTGTCTTAATTAAATTATGAATATTATTTGAAAGGCATTGAGTGTACACACTTTTTGAGTTTTATTTCATGTTGAATAAAAAAACAACAAAATTGTTGAAATGCATTTGATTGTAATATAACCCCCCCTAAACTAGAGAGGCTCTTGTGGGTCGATTATGGTAATTTTGAATCCTACGTTACTACAGGCATTGAATTTATAACTAAATTCAATGCTACAGGTTATTTTCCGCTGTAATGTATTTCAGTACTTCCCAAAAAGGCTCTAGGAATAAGAATGTGTAAGCGAAAATATGTAAATTAAACAAGTATTTTTATTTATTATTATGCGCATTATCTGTGTGCTCCTGAATTTGAGTTTCAACAATGGACACTCAAGTTCATTGCAAATGGTAGAAAATCTCAAAATGGGATGTTATAATGCAAAAGTCAGCAAGGAAGTGATCAAAACGTTACTTATAAACTAATGTGTTAATAATGTAATAAAGTGTATGGGGAGGTTGTGAGTTTTGATCGCTACTAACTTTTGAATGGTTGCCCAGTTTGTTTTTATTAGAAGCACCTGAGGGACGCCTCTGTGGGTAGATATCTTAGGAAATCGTCATAAATGGGAAAGGTAACCCTGCATTTCAACATGGGGGCTAAGTTTCCTTGAATGAATTAGTTTTAGACTTAGAACCAAAGAATACTTCTTTGCTTAGAACATAGATATATATTGATGTGAAATCTAAGAAGTTGACCATGTCGAGTCCGCGCATGCGCAGCGAGTTACTCCAATTCTTTGCCGCACTACATACCAACAACAACGGATCATAACAACCTCCAAAACCCTTCTCACCAACGGTATCTCTACGGGTCTGGAATCCAAACCATTGTCCTTACAGGTTTTAAGCTTCGTGGAACCGAATCCACGCCCCTTTCGCGGTTCTGCTGTAGCTTGCTCGGTGGAAATGGTATGCAAGGCCGCTCCCCTGTCTCCGGAATCAGCAAGGCGGTGTGAAACTACTCCCTCTTAAGAGTTCATCATTCCGATGAGAATCCAAGTCTTAATGCGCCTTCTCGGGAAGCATAACATTCGTGTTTTGATGAATGCACATCCTCAACTTGCGAGGTGCCGGCGCCATAGTAGTGATCTGGTGAACTGGTCTACGAAGCCTTATTTATTGCTTGCTTCCATTGGTTGTTTTATGAGCCACGAGCAACGCTATTTGACGTTGGCTTATCGTCCCATAGATCATTTGCCACCTGGTTAACCCCTCAGGTACCAGTTTCTTAATACTATCACATCGTAAGTTGTAATTGCCAACTCGGACATCATCCACGAACATTTATGATCACCCGGTATATCAATTATTATTCACCTACTAGCTAAAGAGTACATTTTTCGCCTGTAAATTGGCGACCTCTAGGATAAATGAAATGCAACACATCGTACGGATGCACCTTTAAAACAGTAGACTGTATTAATTTATTATTTCCGTGATAATACGCAGGCAAATTTCGTTTCACATTCACATTCACACATTTTCTTATTGGAAGTCGGTATGTGAAGATGCCTGGTGAGTGTGAATGAATTTTTTTTTAAAGTTGCTTTGTTTTAGTGAGACATCCAGAAAAGAAACTGGAGGCATTAAGGATATCCACATTTTTCTAGGACGGATTATCTGTATTTACAGTACAGTAAGTATTATTTGAAAGGGTAAATTAAATTGCATGTGCATGCTGGATTATATATGTATATGTGACACGTCGACTGCCTTGTGGGCAAATTTATCATCTCCATTTATTTGTAAATTTATTCCTAATTAATGCAATGACTACCTATCACTGATTTTCATTTTCACTTTTGCAATAAATTTTTTGGTTATAAATGAAAATGTCTTTTGAGTCCATATGTTCAAAGTTCCTGTTTGCACTTTGCCACTGTTATCAAGATTTGTGCAACTCCACATTCTCGAAACTTTTTTAGTGTTGCTGTAACGACTTGGCGCGACAAAGGACAATTCAAAAATGCAGCAACCAGTGATCGAAGAGGGTGCGGCCTATGAGCCTTCCAACTGCAGGTATGATGATCTTTTTCCGGCACTACCAGAATCGGCCCCCGCAGTGCAAAATGTTAACAACGCTATGGGCCAGTGGAATAACGTCAAAATGCGAGTATCTTCGACTGTCGTCACGCAAGTTTTTAGGTAATTGTCGAGATTCTGAGTGAAAAGCAACGTTCTAACCTTAAATCTTAGAGTACCTTTTGAAGAACGCAAGCTTGATCACAGTGAGAAATTCGGAGAGGGCGAATCCATGTCTGCCTGTCTTAACATCATGAAAGATACGGGCGCACATATTGAAATATCATCCAGCAAAGATCAATCGCTTACTTTTCTTGTAACAGGAAAGCAAAACGAGGTGTTAGAAGCTCGTCGAAAGATCCTAATCCACTTCCAAACACAGGTACGATAAATTAAGCCACAGAGATAAATCCACTACAGATAGCTCATGACAGAGAAATCAGGAAATTTGTATCTAACCCATCTTACATTGAATTGATCATAATTATCTTTCATTACACGGTTTAGGTTTGTGGCTGGCTTATTTTAAAAGATGCGATCTACATCATGAAAGTAAAGAAGACGCATAATATTCGAGCGCCATTAAACAGAATATAAAAGAACGAACAAGGCATCTAGCTATACAGGGTGTACAATTAAAATTTACAACCTCGCATAAATCCTGTTCTAGAGAAATAAACCAAAATGGTGAAAGAAGTCACTTCTACTAAAGGAGAACTTAACCTCACTTTTGGGTTTTATATGGACTTGTGGTGGAGACTACAGGCTTGGGCAAAATACTTTTTAAAAGTATTTAAATACTTAAAAGTAAAAACTTCAATTAGTTCCTAGCTCTGTTTCTTCACTAATACCAACCTAAAAAAAATATAGGTTAGATCGATGCTTTTCATAACTTTCCTCTCTTTTATTTCCATGCAGTGGTTATTAAGTGTTCGGAGACGGAAAAATAAGTTATGCCACAGCAGTAATTGCTGCTACAGTTATTGCTGTTCAATCCTAGAGTTGGCAGCCCTACAATTGCAGCTGAAAGTGAAACAATTTCCCATCCACTGAATGCAGGTTCTTTACAGTATTTAACATATAATATGTAATCAAAATATGATTTTACTTTACTTACTGGCACTCCGTTCTCATTCAAGTAAACTGGAAGATTTGAAACCCAGAATCTCCATTATAAAAGTGTAATAAAGCAGTTTAAGTTAAATGCAAATATAAATGAAAGCATTGCAGTAGCCTTAATGGGCCTTAAGTTTAAATTGAATTGGATAATTCAAAATTTGGAATACTTATGCAAAGAAAAGGATTCTAAGCTTGTGCAATAGAAGGTGTTAATGCAAATGAAACTTTGTTTGCAATTCCACCAGCAATAACAGTGATGTAGATGAGAATTTTTTTGTATTTTATGTAATTTCTGTATTCTATATTTACAGTATTTTTTCTGATGTCTTGAATATGCAAATCAAAGTATTTTGAGATAATCGTGGATGATCCCTCCACCAACAGGAAAAAAATCTGACATATTCAGAAAATTAGTGCTAATAATGTGCTAATTTGTTGCTAAACTAAAAAATTACTTCTGATTAGGAACAACCGAGGGGATCTCACTGGTAAAACTTTTGTACACGTACTCCCAGTAATTTTGTCTACATACTGGCGGGTACTGCTACGTCCTGCCGATGTACTGTGATGCTACCCGGTCCTGCATGTGTGCTGCTAGATACTACCAGACTGTTTGCGTACTGCCATGGCCCCCGAAACGAATTCGATATTATCAAAATTTTTTTATTAATGGCATCAGAATGTTGCAATGATCAGTACTTTATTTACAATGCTAAAAGGTACTATATAATTAACGGAACATCTAATTGCCTTGTAGGTATTTCTTATTTATATATGTATTAGGTGATTTATTTACCTTGAAATGATTTAATAACTTGTTGGGATGATATTTTTTGGAAAAAAGTTTCATACAAAAGTTGTACAATTGTAAGGGAGCTTGAAGATGACCTTGACATTGACCTCCAAGCCAATTTCAACTCCAAAATTTTTAATGAGACCCCTAAATTTGAACTCTGTAATGGGTGAAACGTTGGAGGATTTTGGGTCTACAATGGTAGATATAATCAGATATGTCTCAAATTTTACATACTTACGGGCCTTTAACAAATCATATGTAAAACTTTTATTTTTTACTTTATTAGTATTATATTTTTGGCTTTTATTTTTGAGTGGGCGGGGTTTCAGCCAACGCAACCCACTGTACATTTGCAAATATCGAAGCCTGAACCCGGATTCGAACCAGGCACTCTTAGTACCGCAGTCAAGCGACAACTTAACTGTGCCACATGGGCTCAACTCCTTACGACCACGTATAAGGGTACTTTTATAAGAGTGTGGAGGTTAGAAATTTTTATTTATAAAAAAGGGCGGCGTCATAATTGTGATATTTTGTACACGCGTGCAAAATGACATTAACAATTATGAAGTCGCCCTTTTTTCTAAACAAAAAATGTTTATCCTCCACCCTTATACGTGGTCGTAGGGGGTTGAAATTTTGTTGTTAAGATAGTAGTGTTTAGATAGTACATTTGCATTCGTACCAGTTTTGAGTTCCTGCACAATCATCTTTTAGTTTTGGAACGAAACTTTAGCGCATTTTCCATGAATTGATCATTACTTCCCGAAAGGTCATGTAACAGACTATTTATGTGTACAAAGTGCAGTGCAGTGTAGGTGGTAAAATATGCGATATGTTTGCCTTTACTAGAAGAATCATTGGTTAAAATTTTAAAAAAATATTTCCATAAATAAGAAAGATGACATTGCGCACATCTGATTTTTACAATCTGCCATATGGTTGTGTTTACTAAATTTCAAAAACAAAACATCTAAATAAGGAAGTTGATATTGCCAGCTATTGCATGCGCAAATTAATCGTCAAGGTTTTTCTTGGCTCGAGTACCAGAGCTATAAAGCCGCCGAATGCAAAAAGGATGAACTAAACATATTGAAAACTGTCGGAGTAGTTAAGGCTTCGAACGGACGGATGGAGAAAGTTGCTGTAATAGCCCCTTCCAACAAAAGTTGGAAAATGCCCTAAAAAGAATGTCGAATAAGCATTTTTACAAACCTATATGATGTGATTGACTAAAAAAGAGATTATTGATATATTGGTGCTTTTTTGAGCCGAATCTTTTCTCTTTTTTCGTATTTTAGAAATTCCCAACGTTACCTAAAAACAACGCAAGCTACATTCTCACAACAATTAAGAACAAAAAAAGAAATTCTATATGGCAAAACAATAACAAACGGTGTTTGCTAACAAAACTGCGGTCTATCTCGTTGTGCAATCGAAATACTTCTGATGAAAGTGAATCCAGTACTCCTATGAAATGGAGTAACGCATGTGTAGAACCAACTTTCTTATTTGTGGAACGATTTTTATGAAATTCTGATATTTTATCCTTCTGATAAAAGCAATGTCGATTCGGTACATACGTCTGAAAGATACTTCATCTCTAACCTACAATGGGCTATCCTAAATGGGGGCGCGAAAAAAATATATAGCAACGACGTCTTTTTCAAGCGTGTATATTTATGTTTATTTTTTATTTTTAATAATTTAATTAGATTATTAAGTTACGCGTCGCATGTCAAAGGATTTTGTTTTGATTTATGCTTATGTTACAATTTTACTGGAAGAGTGGAAAATCGCCCATGTGGACCTCTGTTCCATTTGTGAAAATTTTCTTTGTTTTTCAGAATAAATTATTATTATTATTAAGATGTTGTTATGGTACAGGATCCGTAACTGAGATCATAATATTTCTGTATGCGGATGTACAGTGCGTTCGAGGTAATAGGGGCACCTCAATATCTCTTTTATTTGGCGAGATACGAAAAATTTTTCAAATATAATTTTGTATGTGACATTCTGATCGCATATTGCATCGCAATGTTGTTTTTTAAATGCAATGCTTACGTTTTTTTAAGGTATTTGAAAATAGCAACCAATTTTCTTTATGACAACATAAAATATGGTTCATATTAAAAAAATTGAGAAATCCGTGATAAAATATATTTGGAAAATTTATGAAATCTAGCATGCTATGTGCCATATCACACAGAAAACATGTATAATAACTTGTTCAATTTTTCGTTTTGAAGATTTACTTTTGCACAGCAGAATCTCCCCGTACAATGCAACACGCACCACGCATCCTGACAGCACACAGCATGCTAGATTTCATAAATTTTAAATATTGAATTTCTCCATTTTTTTGTATATCAATCATATGCATATTTTATGTTGTTATACAGCAAATTCAATGCTCTTTTCAAATATCTTTAAAAAATACACAGGCATTGCATTTTAAAAACAAAAGTTGCACCGATTTTGCGTGAAACCGTAAGTGATATCGGAAGTTTGAATAAAATAATAAAATTATATTTGACAAATTTGCTGTACCTCGCCAATTAAAATATTCTGAGGTGACCCTCTTATCTTGAACACACTGTATAGCGGGTTTCAAAAAGGAAATCAGTTCTCTTAACATCAACCTTGTGTTAACTTAGCAGATGGTTAATCCATCCTGCTTTAGTTTGCCAATTGATAGTATGTGGTATGAGCTATCTGTAATATACTTACATTTTTGATTAAACGTTTATTTATTTTTAAATGTAACTCCTAGGCTAACAAGCAAATATCGATACCAAAAGAACATCACCGATGGATCTTGGGAAAGAAGGGAGAACGATTGAAAGAACTTGAAAAGGTAACTGCGACGAAAATTAGCGTACCTTCCATGAATGACAATTCCGAAATCATAACCATAATGGGCACAAAAGAAGGCATTGAAAAAGCCGAACACCAAATACGTATTACTTCAGATGAGCAATCGAAAAAAGCGTTCGAACGCATAACGGTTCCCAAAATCTACCATCCCTTTATCGTCGGTGCTTACAATGAAAATCTAACGGCCATGATTAACGAAACGGGTGCAAGAATTAACGTTCCACCTCCGTCCGTGATGCAAGACGAAATTACGATCGCAGGCGAGAAGGACGGCGTCCTAGCAGCTAAGGCGAAAATTGATGCCATTCACAAGGAAATGGAGAAACGCTGCACGACCGTCTCGGTTGAGGTACCGAAATCTCAACACAAATACGTTATCGGACCAAGAGGATCACATATCGCCGAAATTTTACAACAGACCGGTATCAGTGTGGAAATGCCTCCGTCGGATTCGGCAACAGGAACGATTACTCTTCGAGGTCCCCATGATAAATTAGGAATCGGTGAGTTTCAATTTGGTCTTTATCAAGTGCACCTCATGATTTCTAGGATGTCATTTAAAATTTTTTAAATCTGAACACAAATATTTTTTTATTAAAGCCTTTTTTATTAAATGCCTCTTTTTAGATAGGTATTTGTCAATTTTTAAAAAAATGCGAGTTTTCAAAAATTCTTATAAATGTTGGAAGTTTTGCAAAGAGATTATGCAGCATGTTTTCGCACATTTTTAAAAGCTTCATTTGGAAAAATGCAGTGGTAACTTTAGAAAATGTTCAAGAAATGGAAATGACAGAATCCGAAAATTGATGTTGATTTTTGGAACATTAAAAAAATGTATGTCTTAAAGACTATTGGAAGATTGTTATCATCAATCAATGAAATTTTCAAAAATATCCTGTTAAATTTTTAACAAATTTGAATTTTGAAATTGTCATTAATCATGGGACACTTGATACAAAATAAGAAAAATTAAAACTGCCCTCATTACACCGAAATCTAACTCTTATTATTTTCAGCTTTAAGTAAGGTATGCGAGAAGGCCAATTCCGTATGTACCACCGACGTGGAAGCACCTTCTTGGATTCACAAGTACATAATCGGTCGCAAGGGTGCTAACATAAAGGAAATAACGCAACATTTGCCCAAAGTTCACATCGAATTCACTGAAAAGGAAAACAAAATAAAAATCGAAGGTCCACCCGAGGAAGTCGAAAAGGCGAAGGAGCAAATCGAAATGAAGGCTCGCGAGTTGATATCGAAATTGGTGTTCGAAGAGATCAATGTCGATCCCCGTTTTTACAAACACATCATCGGGAAAAGTGGTGCTAACGGTAGGTGTTCTACAAACTTGGACCGATGTTTCTGATTCGTCGTTTTAGTAAACCGTCTCAAGGACGAAACCGGCGTGCAAATTAACATCGATGAGAGCGGATTAATTCGTTTGGAGGGCAATCAGCCGGAGGTGCAGAAGGTCAGGCAGGAATTGGAGGAGATGGTTTTTAAGTTGGAAAATGAGAAAGAAAAGGAAATAATCATCGATCAGCGCCATTATAAGAATATTATCGGTACAAAGGGTGACAAAATTCGAGAAATTCGCGAGCAGTTCAACCAAGTACAGATCAATTTTCCGGGTGCAGGTAATATTTTTTTTTTTCAATTACTTCCAGATTATTGCCAAAACTTTTTTAATTCCTTTTGGTTGCAAAAATTTGGTTGCATGTATCATTGGTTACTGAGCCGCATTTTGGTACTTTTTGGTATGTAGTTTTCCAGGGAATCATTTTGAACCCTCCATTTATTTAATTCTGAAAAGGTTTATTTGGACCCCTTCCACCATCCAACTTTTTTACGTACTCTCATGTTAGCCCTAACAAAGAAACCAATATGCACATCAGATTAGCTAAAAAAAGATGGAAAGTAACAGTTGAGATGCAGTTCAGCAGATCTAGATATTACGAACTTCACAAAATATCAAAAAAGAAATTTTGAATAACATAAATTTATATCTGAGGATCTAAAAAGGCGCACAGTTAATAAAATAAGATTTTTGTTAATGTTAGTTTTAAACCAGGTTTGCAAAATTGTTATCTTCGCTGTTTTGTGGTGTGTCACTAAGGAAATGAATGTGGTATTAAATTTAATTTTCTTTATCATCAATTTCACCAGACCACAAAGATACCTCAACTATTGTTGGTGTCCACAACTTTACTAACAACAGCTTTGAACATTGTTGCGCATTCTGACGATCAAACAAACTTACCGGTGAAGTTCCTCCCAGCCAGCTAGTAAGTTGAGTGTTCCCCCACTGAGACCATTCTCATTCAAGCCAGTGTTTTCATAACCCAAAGTTGCGCTTTTCCTTTTTTGAAGCTTGCTTATATATTTTCTCTTGAGAATTTTATGATGCCTGTAGGTAATTTATCTGTAGGATGGTGGTGGCAAACTCTTTCGCAGCGTACTGTAGATAGTTATGACTGTAGAGAAGGAAAGAGAGAGGAGGGGTAGCAAATTTAATGCTTTGTACACCAGTAACATGGCCGCCTATAGCTCACTGGCGTCAGGTTAATGCAGCAACCATAGGTACATATCGTAAATACAAACATATTTAAACCGATCCGTTATAAATTTAGGCATATCTTTTCTGTTCATTATAATATTGTGCTGCGACGAACTTGGAGTAGTTCATTACTGGTCACATTTTAAATTCTTGGAAATCTTCTGTGACAATAGATTCAGATGACCTGTTTATTGTTGGTTGAGTAATCGCACTGGATGCATTTAAAAATAAATTCCAGGAAACAGAGAAGATAAACGTACCACTTACTATACTTATTTCTGAAATTTAATCAGCCTTTTAAGTTTTTTTATTGCCGCTAGAGGTCTTGTCCTTATTTGGAAGCACGAATATAATTTTTACTTACATATTTTTATTGTAACTTTAAATATTTGTGTTGACAACGTGATACTTTTTAAGTTTAATGTGAGAAACTTGACGCAGTTGACATAACAAATCGTATTACATCCGTAAAGGGGATCCACTTTTATTAACTGGTAGGACTACATAAACCCCATTACTTTATTGAGTGGTAGAGCCAAGTTATCCCAATGACGTCACGAGCACATTCGCATAGGCCTACCTTGTCTTCTTATTGTACCATGGCAAAACTGATCCAAAATAGGCAGGTTCGAAATTTTTTAATTTTTACTGAATTCCTGAGATTTTGTTATTAAATAACGATCAATAAAAATTTGAGGGCAAAATATTGATATTGACGCCCGCTGTAAGCATTTGAAAATCAAGTGTCAGCGCGAAGAGAAAAAATGTACCTATGCCCGAGACTAGACCGCGTGCCGCCAGTAGCCAACACATTTGCCGCTGCATTGGCAGATTATACGAATTCACGTAAACTGGAACCGTTGTGTTAATGTGCTGTGTGCACATAGCTGCCAGGGTATAAAAAAAGATGAATGGCGAAATTTACCCAATGCTAATGTGGAAATGGAGTTTTTGGCTAATGCAAATTTAAATGAACCTCAGAACAGTCCAGTAGTGGAATTATACAACTCTTACATCATTTCCACACTCACATTTGGTAACTAAATTTCGCGAATCAGCTTTTTGATATCTTTGCAGCATTGTGCACAAATAAATACAATAAATAAATCGGTCCCATTCGTATACTGTGCTAGCGCGGCGGCAAATGGGTTGGCTACTGACGTCACGCGGTCTAGTCTCGGGCATAGGTACGTTTCACGCTGACCCTTGATTTTCAAATGCTTACAGCGGGCGTCAATATCAATATTTTGTCCTCAAATTTTTTTTGATCGTTTTTTAATAACAAAATCTCTCAATTTTATGTAGTTAGAATAAAATAAATACAAAAAATGTTGAACCACTCTATTTGAACAAAATCAGTCGCGTCGTTACCTAGGAAAATTGCAATATTCAAATTAATTAATATGACAACCAGATTTTTATTCTTTTCAAGAAGTTGCATAAAATTAGGCTTTCTTCGAAAGAGATTTTGTAATTTAAAATTAGAGAGAGTAAAAGCAATACATGTAAAACCCTATGTTTACTTCTTAATAAATATTACTGCATGGTATAGTAAGAGTGCAAAGTATGTACTTATCCCTTACTTGACATAACTTTATCTAAAAAAGTACACTGACATAATAGACTGGGAGGCAGCGTACATAGTAACTAAACCATAAGCGACAAAAAATTTGACAATACAGGCTGAAAGTACGTTGAAAACTAATAATAAAATCACTCGTCTGCCAGTCGTAAGTGGCAGCATTAACTTGGGGCGGCGCTGAATAGGTCACTTCTTTAGGTGATCAAGTAAATTACCAAACTATAAGGGTCACGGAAAAGATTTGTATCAAGAAATCCCATTTTTTCCAAAGTTTTCAAATATGCTATGGCAGACGATTTCAAGTGCAGCGTTGGTAGCGAAAGACGCCCTCCAATGTAGGGAAAACACCCCTGAACTAAACCATGAGGACGGTATAAAAATTATACATAAAAAATTCCTCTTTTTGTCACTACTTTAAAATATATCCTGGCAGACGATATTAAGTGTAGCTTTAATAGTGGAAGACGTCTTAGAAGTTAAAAAAATTTAGGTATAGTAAATCCCAGCGAGTGCGAGCGTGTGAGAGATAAGCGCGCGAGAGCATAACCAACAGAGATAGCGATAGGATACTGACTACTGAGATATTCCAAACCATTTGATTCTAAACTTCAGATTCACATAGTTCCATCCACTTCATTAAAACGGATTATAGAAACTCAGACATTTTTCGGTGGCATTCGCCCAAATTGCGATGAACTAAACCATGAGGACCATACACAAGTCATACATCCGGTAAATTCGTGGGAACCCGGTAACGCGTTACCCTGCGCGTTACACACATCAACACCCAAATTCACGAACACCTCTCGAAGATTTATGAATTTCTGCGTGTTATTGAAAGAGAGATCTACTTCCATCTATACCTTGATGGTAGCGTCAATTTCCCAAAGCAATAACAGCAATATCCATATCAGAACCTCTAATAATGACTTTGCTACTTGTTGGTAGTTTACCAAGATGGTAAATTATTCGAGAATCTGCCTCTTAGTGGTTGCAGCACAATTCAGTTTTTACCACATCATCTTCCCTTGTCACAAATTTATAGCACTTATCTTCATATGTGGCAAACACAACTTTCCTTCCAAGTAAAGCGCAACAGGTCTTTTTTGCCTATGAACGGTATCAGTAATCTATAAGAGAGGCTTTGAGCTTTCATTGCGAAGTGGTTTTATGAAATTCGCAGGCTGTTTCTGAGTGGAAACAGAAATTGAGTAGGATTGTAATCTTTCCTTATTTTGATCCCAACGATCATGTTCTGCGTCCTTCATGGAAGGGGTAACTATCTGTCAAAAGTAAGATGTACTTCTCTCGCTGACAGCACAAATCTTGCCGAGGATGTGTTCAGAAAATCGCTCAAAGGTTTACCGGAGATCTTTTAAAAGATGCAAAAAAAATAATCCATCGATTAAAACAACATCTACAACTGGCGATGGACTAGGAGCACTTGGAGAATCATACTTCCGAAAAAGTTTCAGCAAAACAAACTTGTCGATTTTAATCATCGATCCATCAATGTTACATAGAGACAACGGAACTGGAGTCAGAGGATAGTAGTTTAGAACGAGTTGAAGATCTATCTTCTTTTCTCTTCAAGTTTTCTGTTTCTCAGTCTGAGAAGAATTCAAGAAATACCGACAATCTTATCGCGAAATAAACAATTTATTATTTTCCGTAATTTAATTCATTTGGTAACTCCAAGCGGTGCGTAAATCTATAGCTATCTCTGTTTGTTGTGCTCTCGCGCGCTTATCTCTCACACGCTCACACTCGCTGGGATTTGCTATACCTAAATTTTTTAACTTCTAAGACGTCTGCCACTATTAAAGCTACACTTAATATCGTCTGCCAGGATATATTTTAAAGTAGTGACAAAAAGGGGAATTTTTTATGTATAATTTTTATACGGTCCTCATGGTTTAGTTCAGGGGTGTTTTTCCCTACATTGGAGGGCGTCTTTCGCTACCAACGCTGCACTTGAAATCGTCTGCCATAGCATATTTGAAAACTATGGAAAAAATGGGATTTCTTGATAGAAATCTTTTCCGTGACCCTTATAGTTTGGTAATTTAGTTGATCACCTAAAGAAGTCACCTATTCTGCGCCGCCCCAAGTTAATGCTGCCACTTACGACTGGCAGACGAGTGATTTTATTATTAGTTTTTAACGTACTTTCAGCCTGTATTGTCGAATTTTTTGTCGCTTATGGTTTAGTTACTATGTACGCTGCCTCCCGGTCTATAATTGTCATCAAATCTTCTCAAATCTCTAAAGCACAGACAAGCTTAGCTCGAAATAATTGAACGTATTCATTATCAATAACGTCACACTTATGGTTGAATTACGACATTCATTTGTTGGTAAACATTAAGCGCATTTTTGCAACCATTGGGATTGTAAATTATTGTTTTTTTTAAGTGTCACTAACCGAAAAAATGTTGTAGGTGATAAACGTGATGTTGTTAAAATTCGTGGTCCAAAAGAAGACGTAGATAAGTGTCATAAGTATTTAGTTAAGCTTGTAAAAGAACTATGCGACAATTCGTATCAAGTCGATGTGCCAATATTTAAGAAGTTCCATAAGTTTATAATCGGTAAGGGCGGCGCCAACATTCGCAAGATCAGAGAGGAGACGCAGACGAAAATCGATTTGCCCGCCGAGGGCGACAAGAACGACGTCATCACCATAACCGGCAAGAAGGAGAACGTCGAAGAGGCGAGGGAGAAAATCCGCAAAATCGAGGACGAACTTGAGAACATCGTTACGGACGAAATCACCATACCGCCACAGTTTTATAATTCCATTATTGGTGCCGGTGGGAAGTTGATACGTTCCATTATGGAGGATTGCGGCGGTGTCGCTATTAAGTTTCCCAGCGCGGAAAGTAAGAGCGATAAGGTTACCATCCGCGGGCCGAAGGAAGACGTCGAGCGTGCCAAACAACAGCTGTCTGAACTGACAAATGAACGACAATTGTCTAGTTACACTTTGGAAGTATGTTTTCTTATCATGCTTTGCATTGTTTTGTTAACCTGTTTTTTATAGGTACGTGCCAAAGCGCAACAGCATAAGTTTTTGATCGGTAAAAACGGGGCGAACATTAAGAAAATTCGCGATTCTACCGGAGCTAGAATTGTCTTTCCCAACAGTTCTGATGAAGATCGTGAACTGATTACAATCATAGGAAAGAAAAATGCTGTAGAACAAGCGAAGGCAATCTTGGAAGACGCCATTAAAGATATTGTATGTATTGTCCCCATCCCACTTGATAAATTTAATCGGTGGTTGTTTACAGGATAACATTATTGAAAGTGAAATGACTGTAAATCCTCGACATCACAAACATTTCGTCGCCAGACGTGGAGAAGTTCTGCATCGTATCAGTGAAGATTGCGGTGGTGTCATGATATCATTTCCTCGTTCTGGTGTTCAAAGTGATAAGGTCATTCTGAAGGGCGCTAAAGATTGCATCGATGCAGCTAAAAATCGTATCACGGAGATTATCAGCGATTTAGAGTCGATGGTGACCATTGAATGTATTATTCCGCAAAGACATCATCGTACCGTGATGGGTGCTAAAGGTCATAAGGTGCAAGGGATTACGAGCGAGTTCGATGTTCAAATTAAATTCCCCGATCGTGACAATATGGGTAAGTTGTATCCCACTGTTATTTTGACATTCACCCCATTGATTTGCCCTTTAGGCGTGACAAGTGCTAAAGATTCTACCAACTGTATTTCAGCTGTTTTATTATATATCTCCTTCAAAGTACTCTCCATCACACTTGATACATTGTTCCCTCAGGGGTTTTCACTGCTTGAAACATGTTTTGTATTTTTCTTCAGTAATGGTGACAGCTCCTTCCTTGTTTGTTTTTCGTAACAAACCATTGTTCACTTTGATTTACTTACTATTAAGAGAGGGTATCTTCGCGTCATGGTTAGTAGAAAGAGTAGGTAGCCTCGTAACTTTAGAGAGAGACGCGTCAACGAGGATCTGGAAGTCCCATTTGATTGGTGTTTAATTTTCGTTGACTTTGACAGTTATTTGAACTGTGTAAGTACTTAATTGTCAGGTAGTGCTGAAGACTCTATTACGTGTACTTATTATAATTTGATTGAATACCTACTTACTGTTGGATACTTAAGTATCAATTAAAAGTATTAGATGCCGGATGGAACTCTTTGTAACGTTGCTATATGTAATAGCAACTCCAACGGTTAAATCGAAAGAAAATGGATCTCAGATTCAGTTTTTCGCTTTTCCAAAAGGTAAGTACTGTATTACAAAAAGAATGGGGTTTACGTGACGCTAATAAGTCCCCCAGGTACGATTATGAAATTGATAGCATTGGATAGAGGGCACCTTAATAACACGTTTCCAATTAAAAAATTTGCGGAAGAAGGCCTAAATTTTTCACAATCTTAATTAAAAGTTCCGTTCATTTCGTCGAAAGTGAGGTTATATTACTTCAAATTTCAAGATTGTTTTTCAGTTGGTAGTGTTTAACATTCGTGAGTGCCAACTTTAATTTCTTAATAGGTTATGTTATTTCTTCACTATTTAATAAATGTTAAACAATGATATACAACTATTATACATTAATTATACCATAATAGCAATGAGGAGTTCTCTACATGAGATATTCCTTGCCCTCTCGACCGTATTAGGCGGTGGATGCTAAGCAGCGATTCATACGAAAAGGCGTTCCAACTCAATCAGTAGTCAATACGAACCGATTGGTATATGAAACATGCAGGAAGTGCCAGGGTTTCCCCTTTCTGTGATCGATACAGAGAAATCGATTTTTCCACATGCAATATATAACCTTCTCTACGACATTCTTCTTCCGTAATGCATTCAAGGGGTTAGACTATATACGCTTCAAGAAGTGGTGTTATTAAAGTGTATCCACAAGTAACATGGAAGTGTTGCTTATTTGGTGTATAAGTTGAACAAAACCTAAAATTGTATTGTATATTATACCTGTTATACTACTTTTATTACATTATCTGTTAATATACACGTTAAACCCAGCATATTTCATTTTAGTAGAAGAAGTTAACATAACCTCCTACAAAAATTTACTGTCACCTTTGTATATAAATTAATAAAGCTGTCACATAAAATTTTTCAGTTTCGCCAACTTAAGAATGACAAAATATACGTAAAATAACATCAATTTCCAGAAAATGAAGTGAACTTTTAATTAAGATTGTGGAAAATTTAGGTCTTCTTCCGCAAATTTTTTTTTATTCTAAACGTGTTTAAGGTGCCCTCTATCCATTTCTATCAATTTCATGATCATACCTGGGGGCGCTTATTAACGTCACATTACCCATGGGTACCTATGAAGATGAAATGTAAGCTATTTTGAATAAGTGCGTTTAATATTTCGCTTCTTTCTATGCTAAACAGGGACTTTGGAAAAAAATGGGATTCTGGGTGACGTCACTCGCGTATTTCAATACTGAATGTTTATTGACTGAAAGTTACGAGGCAACCTACTCTCTTTACTAACCTTGCCTTCACGTACCGTACAATAGGTGCATTCACTGAAAAGGATGCATATCCTCTACCCTTCAATCTAGACATAACCAACTTGATGAATGTAATTTATTAAAATGTCTGTACTGCTACAGCATCTTTCATTGTAAATCTTCACGATTTATTTAAACCACGATAGTGGCGCCAACTGCATTTTCTAGATCAGCACCAAATAATATTTCAATAATGTTGTTCAACCTAGTGCTGGGCGATAAATGAAATTGTTATAAGTCTGTTTAGTCCGATAATGATCGATAACTGATAATAAAATCGTTAATTGTCGATAATAATAGATTATTATTGACATCTGTCGAAAATTGTCGATCTCTGATTGTCATTGATTAATCGAATAGCGATATTTATCGAGAGAAAAGTGTGGATACCTTTTCGTAAATCCTATCGATATAACTATATTCTCAATGCATGCACTCGTTCACAATTTTGGTTATTTGGTATTGATATTAATAATTTAAATAAAAACAGGATGCTCTGAAAAATATTAAATATATTAAAAATACTAAATTCTGTAGTTTTCTGAAATCAAAGGTGATCAACTAGAACTAGACAATAATCCTCAAAATTTTGGTACGTCCTTCAATAACCTCAAAATTATTACTTTTTAACAGAAACTGTAATTAAGCATAATAGTTTCTAATTCAACCAGCCTAAAGTAAGTTGTGAATTGTGATCATATTTTGTAAGTGTCATGCCAATTCCGGAATGCTCTTACGTGATTGCTTTCGCGATAAATCGATGTAAGATTAATTGGTAGATTATCGATTTATCGACCAATCCCTTAAAATCACAATCGATACATTTTTCCATAATTTTCAATAAATTATCGATTAGCCGACCATTTTTTAAAAATTAATCCACTATCTATTAAAATCGATAATTATCGGTTATTGTGGAAAGCACTACTTTTAATTGACTAATTTATCGATTAATCGATAATTGTGGATTAATCGATACATTTTTTTAATTTATCGGTTGTCGATTAATCGATAATTATCGATAAGTTATCGATTAATCGTTTTTTTGCACAGCACTAGTTCAACCATCATATTTTTGTTGAATCAGTATTTGTTAAAGTGGAACCTTTTGCAGAACCCTATTACAACGAAGAGGGTCAAATTAACGGAGACATAAACGCCGAACCCATCCGATCGTGCGACGTCATCCGCATTACAGGCAAAAATGAGAATTGCCAGAAAGCGAAACAAGCCCTACTCGATATTGTTCCGATCACCATTGACGTTAATGTGCCATTCGACCTGCACCGGTCCATTATTGGGCAGAAAGGTCAAGACGTTAAGAAGCTCATGGACAGGTATGACGTCCATATCGTTCTGTCGCCGCCTGAAGATAAGCAAGACATTATCAAAATTACGGGAACGCCTGCCAACGTGGAGGATGCAAAAGCAGCGGTCGAAGAGCGCGTTCTCGAATTGGAAAAGGAGCGCAAGGATCGCGAGTTGAGATCGTATTCAATTGATATCGATGTCAACCCCGAATATCATCCGAAAATTATTGGCAGAAAAGGAACTGTAATCTCGAAAATTCGTCTAAATCACGATGTACAAATCATGTTTCCCAAAAGAGGTAGGTTACTTTTTCAGTTTAGTTCCGAAATATTTAACCGCCATTTTGTAGGTGATCCCGATGAGCAAAAGATCATCATTACCGGTTATGAGGAGAATGTGTACAGAGCAAAAGAAGACATAATGAAAATTGTGAATGAATTGAACGAGTTTGTTAAGGAAGAGCTTACGATTGATTCAAAAGTTCATTCGCGTTTGATTGGCGCTCGAGGCAGGAATATTCGCAAAATCATGGATGACTTCAAGGTAGACATTAAATTTCCAAGAAGCGAAGATCCTGATCCGAATCTCGTCATCATAACTGGAATGGAGGATAACGTTTTCGAAGCAAAGGACCACTTGCTCATGCTTGAAGAAGAATTCGTAAGTTGTTGTTTTAGATTTCAATAGAAATTGTGGCTATCGCAAGAACTAAAAGTTTAATAACAATTTCGAAATTGTTTAATTCGCAAATTGCGCAGAAATGTGTGAAAACGTTTTTTTGCCGCCCCCATACAACGGCCACACCTTCTGGTGGCGCCGGATTTTTTTTGTCTGTTTTATTAATCACGATCGAGAGAAGTTCAGATTTGTATGAATTTTTATCCTCACCCTCGACCGTGGACTCCAGAATTACCGATCCCAAGGAAAGACCGTCTTCAACTTTCGCATATGCCACTGTATATTTTTTTAAAAGAGAATTTAAGAATTACAAGACGATGCTCATCGTTTACTTTAATAGCATTTCTTTGTCAACAGTTGCAAGATGTCATTGAACGCCATGAACATGCATCTCCGTTTGCCAAATTGGATAACTCTGGCGATCGCAGAGGTGAAGGAAACGGTTTTGTCGTACAGGGAGGACCGTGGGAGCAAAGGTCGCCAAACGCGGCACCGAACACGGCCAGCGTGACCGAGTTTCCATCGTTTGGCGGTCACAAAGTCGACCAATCGTCGCATCAATCTCGTCAAGTACTGGGTGTCTGGGGATCCAGACGTTAAAAACATTGCAAAAGACCATCGAATAATTTGCGGTCAGTCCATACCATGTGTAATACTTAATTGTCTGTACCAATGTACCATTTTTGCTGAACATACAAAATCACTGCCAATATTTAAATAAATTGTAATAGTTAATGGACTGATTCGTAATGATTACTTTTTCGTTTATGGAGGGCATAATGCGACATATTTACTAACATTTAGAATAAGATCATTTAGCCAATTTATGCGACCTCTTCCCTCACTGTTTGCTGCATTACAATAGGCCTGGCTACGACACTGGACTCTGACATGGAACTGAATCAACATTGACGCGTACGATTTTATTACTTTTAGGTCTTCCCGCCAAGTTTGTCGACAACGAATGCTTGGCTGCCTAAAGGCCTAATAATGGCTCTAATCATCCGGATGGAGAAGTTATGATTGTTTAATTTTTAATTTAAAGAGTATTTATATAATTGATTATGTTTGTTACTAATATGTGCATAAATTTTTAGAAAATAAGCATATTTTTGTTGGTTTTTTATTTACATTCTTGAAGATTTAATATATATAGATAATTCTGTTTTGTTGTAAAATGGTCAAGCAAACTTGTCATAACCTCTCTGTTTTTGTGAGGCGGTGCACGGTGCCTTCCTCTTTTATATGACCGTACTCTAATGAAGCTTGTACAATATACCGTTAGTGGGGTGTAGGATATATTTTTTATTCACTTCCGTTTACAATTTGCAGTTAATTCTTATCAAAGTATAAATATTGTATTATGAATGATAATTATTGTATTATGACTGAACATACTGTTGAATCGGTACAATTATCTTGAGTTGATTTATATAGTACTTGAATCATTTTTTGTATATAATATATACATATGAGTCCTTGTGGTCGATTTTGTTAGCCCAGGACTACCTGAGGGAGAGAAATATAAGATTTTAAAGGACATTTATTTTTTTATTTTTAATCCCTTTGTGTCGCTGGTAGAAAACTCTCGTGCAGATTACAATAATACGATAATCTGGATTTCGCTCGTTTACCCTTGCTCGGTGCTTTCATTTGAATGCAACCCTTTATTAAATCCTTACGCCACCTAGGTAACTTCTTTGTAATTCATTAGTTAGATTTAGTTTTTCTTTATTCTCTTGTGATTGATTTCTTTGAATCGTTCATTCTGTTGTTGTTCGAGGGTGCACAGAACTTTCTTTAATTTCTTCCGCACCATCATTGTGCAAGACGCATTCTCGATTATTACTTGCAAGATGATTCACGCCATTACTTACTTAACAATTTGTTGACCATTTTTGGGACATACTGGCGCTGTGTTAAATTGAGTGAAGTTTTCTCTCTTTCTATTTCCAAGTTTCGCTGACGCTATTTACGGACTTATCTTACAAGTTTTAAGGTCGTGCCGTTTTTTTTTCTTACTTTTGATTTACGATTTACTTCATTATTTCCTACAGGATTGTGCTTTCGACATCGATATTTTAAAGTGAAAACGTTCATTTGGATTTTCTCATATTGCGCAAGAAAAATTAATTTGTAAAGGTCCACCGCCATTTAGAGATTAGAAAATTCCAATAATTTTGTTATTTTCGTCGATTTCCCCTACTAATATATACCATTTGATTACATTTTGGTCTTCGATACCATCAAATTGTAATAAGTATTCACTTAACGATTATAGCGTTGTTTTTGCGGAAGCGTATTTGGATCAATATATTTTCTTCGACCACGTGTTGGCCCCCTTTTTTTCTTCCAAAGTTAATTGAAATTCAAAGATTGACGGAGCAGATCTTTAAATTACAGTATCTTATTTGTAATATTATTAAGATCATTGGATTAATTCACCATTGATTGGATACGTCAACTATATTGTTTACGTTCTATCCCTATCAAGTGTTTTATTCCCTTTTAACACCCCAGACCAGAACAAGGATCTTTTAGTCTACCTTGTTTCCCCTTTTTGGCAAGTATTTCCTCCTCTCTCCACATTTACTGAATACTAAGTAGTTCAGATTAGGTAGGTACCTCTACTATTACTATTCTTCCCTTCTGCTTTATTTTTGCTTGTAGCTATAAGAACCCCAATATTCCCCCCGACAACCCACCTCTACTTTGCCTGAGCTTACCGTGTGCTTATCTAAGGCAATTTTGTTACTTTTGCTCAAAGTGAACGTAACAAGTAACAATAATATGTATATAGACTAACGGCCGGTATTATAAAGCATGTTGTCAAGCCAACAATGTTGTTACGGCATTCGATTGGATGTTTTTTCAAAGAACTCTTATTCTTTGCAAAAACGTCCAAGCCCATGCCTTAAACATTGTTAGCCACCAGTAAATGAAAACAAGGGTTCCAAATCGAAGTGTTTACACGTTATCAGTCTTGCAGCGTGCATATGTGTAACTATACAGCAGTTGTTGTGCCGGGAAAATTCCAATTAGGCCTAGGTGTTAATTGGATTACCGCATAGTAAAGTTTGAACGCCCCTAATTAGGTAACCAAAATTACTGACTGACGCTTTAATGAGTTGCGATGAACGTTATCAGAAGAGTCTTAGAGAGGTGTCTTTGGATGCGCTCTAAATTTTTCAGATGTTTGCAAGTTGCCCCATATTTTTCTGATAACTGCAGGCCGAGTACTTAATTAAAAACAGTTCAAATTTGGTTTAACTTGTCGAAGCTCGAAGGTATACCTACGCGTACGAAATGGGAGTCCCAGTACTCCCTACTCGAAACAGACGTTTCGATAAATAGGAAACGCACAATGAATGGGGATTATTGTTCATTTTCCTGCAATTGATTTTCCGCCGTTTTCATCGATTTGTGTTTTGTTGCTTTCACTTGTGATAGGCGCGGGAGTCTGTCGTAATTCTGTTTTTTTTTCCGAGTGACCGCCGTGACTGGACCCGTCCCATTCCTGGCTACCGTTTCTCCAGTTGCGTTTACCCGACGCTTCCGTGACCGACCCGCCAGTCCGTGGCTATTGTCGACCTCGCACCAGGCGCGAGATTTTCGCTTGGTGGCGTCCGAGTCCGTCCGTTCCTGGCGTTTCTTGCCGCAAGTCATATTTCCTTTACCATAAAAGATACCGCAAATAACCGTCGTCATATTTCTAATATTTTTTTATTTTATCAAACTTGCATTTAAATCGATATAAACTTCCAACGACAATCAGAGCATTACTCCCGAAGAATTTCAGGAATACAATCAAATCGTTTTTAACAGACGCAGCTATCTAGTCTTGTGAATTGCTGAAATGCTGTTGGTGGGCTAAACTATTTTTTTTAATGTTTAATTGTTTTACCTATATGTTTTTTCTGTTTGTTATATTTTAAAGATTTGTTATTTATAGACACATAAATATTTATTTACATGACATGTTACTAAATTGGAAAATGGTTTTACCATTAATTTTGACAATTGTAGGTGCTATACTAACAAAATATATACCATTATTATTATTATCTTTTACGGTACAGCAATTATGATCCGAGGAGTTTACCCTGAATAATTTGCATATTTTTTATTTAAATTAAATTCCAATAATTATTCTGCTAATAATCTTCAATTCATACCGATTGTGCGGGTGCTAACCCAGTTGACACTTTTGAAACAAGCATTTTTGCCTAAAAAAGATGTGGATGATTTATTGGGGTTTGACTGCACTTGCATTAGCGAGACGAATTGGCGTGTAACCGTGGGTGTAGCAGTAATAGTTTTAGTGAGTTAGTTGTCACTACCATACACTTACCCTTTTTAGAAGACACTCTGTGCGATTTTTGGTTTGAAGCTGTTCTGTCAAGAATTTGGCACATTTTTTTATTATTATTAAACAAACTTTATTTAAAAAAAGCAATTATCACAAATGTAACAGTTAAAAGGAATCATGTTAAACAATGACATTAAATAAAAATTGATACATAAATAAAGGAATAAAGTTAAGTATACTATACATTTATAGGAAGCCAATTTCTTTTTGAAATAGTAAGACAAATTTTATTTGATTTATACTATTCATTGCCTCCTAGAGACTTTATCATCGTAATTTTTATTTAATTTTAATAGTTTATACTACAAGAATGACTAAATATGACTGCTCAAAAATTACTAATAAAAATCAGTCAGCACCAATTAAAGTTGAGCATAATTAACATTCACACTTCTTCACGCACACTTTTTATACAATTTATATAGTCTTATGTATACGCTTACGTCTTCCAATGGCTTTAAAACAACAATTTATGTCAGGCACTAAAACTACGACTGTTAAGAAATACAGACAAGGGCATTAGATCAAAATAATTTAGTGAAATTTAGTGTTAAGACCGCCACCCATCTAATGGTACATCCCCTTGACTTTGAAACTTAAAGGAGTAAGCCAATGGAAAAGGAAGCCAAATAGAAATGTGACAACCATTTTTCCGTTTCAATGGCGTGGAACATTACTTTTCTTTGCTTCATCTTCGCAATATTTACATTAAGTCGAAGGCACAGTGAGTAGAGGAAGATGGTCTTGGTCGACTTAATATACATATTACACTCTTCTTCATTGTCTATATAAAAACCTAAATTTAATATCTACATTGTTTTACGATTGATTATGTGAGGTAGTCCGGACTGGGCTCTGCCATTGGTTCGGGCGTCGTAAAGAGAGGATTCGGGAACTCAGGTGGATGCGGAAGAGGTCCCGTCGCCTTTGGTCTGCGCCGATACGCCATTAACCAGCACGAAACTGCAACCGCGACGGCCACCAAGGCTAAGAGTGCCGTTATGACCAAGGCTATTATAAAACCAATCATCGACACGCAGATATCCTCCGCCCGTTGAGCGTTGGGAGCTGAAAACGTTGAAGTTATCACAAATTCTCCCAAACATCTAGAGACATACCTTCAGTCGGATCTACGAAACGTTGTTCGCGTCTTTCGAAAGTTAAAATGGCGTTAGACTGTAGAGTAATTTCTTCTCGTACTTGTCCGCTCATCAAATCGCCGGGTATTAACACATCTGTATTGTTTTCGGAATCTATGGCACGTTTTCGTCTTCCAAATGCGTTATATCCACGACAATTGACCTAGTAACAACAGATATAAAAATGGTATTGGGTGGAATCATTTCTTTGGAGTCAGTACAGCTGTACCTTTAATTGAGTTTGAATACATTTAAATACATTCTATAATGGTCAAAGTGCAAAGACGTTCTGTCAAGACTGATATTAAAGCATTACGCAAATTGTATGTGAATACGATTTGAGGACACATATGGAAGCAAATAGTATGTGCACGAATAGCGCATGCGCGTATGGCAAAGCCTAAGACATAAGAAGTGTACGAAACATGAATCCATGTGGCAGTCTGCAAGTGGATTTCCAACATGTTATAAAACGGAACTATACAGTCAACCCATCTGTTGCAATAGGTGCATATACTGTGTCACTGTGAAGCCTATAATAGGTCAAGGCACAGGTTCCTTGAGGGACAGAAAAACCAGGAATTGCTACAAGATGCTACTTGCAGAATATTTTAAACCTATAGATAGACTACAATAAGCCAACAAGATCTTGTGTAGATCCCCATCCCATGAACCGCCATGTTTGACATATGCAAATTAGAAAGATTTTAAAAAACGAAAATCTACCACATTGGAGAAAGACTCAAGAAGGCCACTCAGGAAAGAAATAGTGATCTTAGGATCTTACAATCCTGAAAGCCGTATCATTTTGAAATATTGGAGCGCGACCTTAATGTTAATTTGATGTGAAATTTTTAGAAATAATCCAATATAACGAAACATAAAAGATACTTGTCTATTTTCTTCCCCAGATGAAGTTTGTGCTATGCATAATTTAGAACCGTCACGTTTGCTAGCCATGATTGAAGGGTTTTGTACTTACCGGTTGACATCTTCCAAAGCAGACACGAATGTTGCACTGGAATCTTATATTATCACTGCTCGGGAATTTAAAAGCGTTAAAACTGGCCAGTAAGCTTTGAGTATCATGGTTATATTCCCACTCGCCGAAAATGGTGGGGTCGGTCGCGCAACCATTCTCGTCAGTTACTATATACTCGTTTTCGACGTTATCGCCCATCGTCTTTGCAATACAACTTCTGGCAAATCCTCCATATATCGAGCCTGGTTGTACTTCAACTTGGAGCATTAAGTTATCGCCAATTTCCGCCGAGTTCACTTCTTGGCCAGTTTGCGTTACGATCTTCATGACGCAGGTTGGAGGAGGACCTGTGTTAGCTATGGTTCCAGCCGTGGTCAGCATGGATACGTTAAAACCCAGGGTGACATTTTGTTCTCCAGTTTGGTATATACATCTAATGTGATAAGCTTGCGCCTTGTAAGTCACAAGTTTCGGATGTTTCTGTATCACAAGCACAAAGCTGGCTTGACCCTGTTTAAAAACATGTCAAATAATGTTACCAGCAACAGTTATACTTACATTAACATGGATTAATCCGCAGTTGCCAAATTGTACCTTGAATATTTCAGTTCGTGAACGTTCATTTGATGGTACAGTAATAACTCGACGACACTGTTCATCTTTGCTGTGTCCTTTTACGTACAGAACTCCGTTAAAGCCTTGGTCAGTTATATCGATTTGTATTTGGACGCCATCTGACAGGCAGCTGACTTCCATATCGGGTATAGGGAAATCAGTTCGATGATGTAATATACTTGGGGCTGTAATGATTAAATGAGTGCATGTTCCTCGACGCATTAAGTGAGTGTACTTACTGCAATCGACCTCTGGGTTTCCTGAGTAACCGGACTGACATTGGCAGACGGCTTGGTGATTGACCGCGTTACAGAAGGCGTACTTTCCGCACTTTGTCGGCACGCAAGGATTATCGCAGGTCTTCGTTTGCGGATTGCAGAATTTATGATCGGGACAGTGGTGGTTATTCTCGCATTCGGCGCCAGGTACGGGCGTACAATTTCCGCGCTGGTCTAAACGATAACCGTATTCCACAGGACAGATGCAATTTCCGTGCTCGTCCACAATCATACCGCGCTCGAGAGCGCAGACGCAACGTCCCTGCTCGTTGATCTTAAATCCTTTTTCGATTTGACAGAAGATGCATTCGTCGTTCTCGTTGAGGGCGGTGCCGGGTGGACACTCGCATTTACCGTCGGGTGTTAAGCGGTAACCTTTATCGAGACGGCATGGTGACACTATAAAAAACACATACATTGAAATCAATATTGTACACTCAAGCTGTTGGGCAGTTAAGTTATTTTGGAGGGGTTTGCTTATGTGGAGGACAGGAACAAAATGGATTAGTTTCAAGGAGTAAGCAATATTTGGGGCACAAGGGGGGGGGGAGTGTTGTAACCGTCTATGTGTCTCAGGGGTAGAGCGTTGAGTTACATAGCTGGAGGTCGGGTGTGCGAACTTGGGCTGAGGTAAGAATTTTTTATCTGTGACAGAGATGGGAATTTCCTTGGATCAGTTTCGAGCATTCTGCTGGCTACTCAGAATTAGGTTTTCCTGCAGTTCCTAATTTGTAAGGTATATACCGGAGTAGTATAGAACAACTTAGCCGGCCCGTGTGAACTGTGGTGCCAAGGGTCCGGTTCGAATCCGGGTTCGGGCATGGATATTTGTAAATGTATAGAGGGTTGGGTTGGTACAGCAGTCTTGGCTGAAACCCCGCCCACTCAAAAATAAAGGCAAAATAAAATTAAAATACAACTCCTCTGTAGTCAATCCGCCATATTGGAAAAATAGCTAAACTTTCTTATGAAATGTTGCTTTTGTAGTTGCAATGATGAAAAGAACGGCGGTACTTACAAAAAATTGAAATATCGGTCTTAGTTTTTTAGGAAGATCAATGAATAGAAAAATCGTTTTTTGTAGCGGTTGTAATGAGGGTAGAAAAACGTACCGCACCAATTTGGAAATCCGACAGTATTTCTTACGGCGGTACTTAAAGATATTATTTCCATCTATTATGATAAGGCATATATTTTAAAAAATATGTTTCGCAATCTTCAGAAAAAATCAAAACACTAACGTAAGGATAGGCAACTCAAATTGCACTAATAACGCCCGAGGCGACGACTCATTACTTGAAAGGGAAAACAAAAGAAACTACCTGGCATTACCCTACACATTGTTACGCCGTTCCTAATGATATGGATTAGATAAATGACTATTTATTATTTATTTATTTGAATGCTGTTGATTTGTAAATCACAATGTCACATATTCCCAAGACGAAAAATGGATATTCTATTATAGGTACATTGGAAATAATTTTTTATTTCTAAAACCTTTTGCATACCATTAGGATGCTTCAAAGAAATTTAAAAAAACCCTATAATGAGGCTGTAATAATATCTCCCTTTGACGGGGCGAGGGGTACGTACAATACTAGGTACTTCACATATTACTTATATCATAAGTAGTGCTGAATATGAACTCTGTTTTATAACAATGCTTTCAAACTACCAGAAGCGTAGCACTTTGTTTAGTTAGATCAAATCAAAAATTACACGTTTGTCTATATTTTCCATCTAAAATTATCAGTTTCCTCAGATAGTCCAGTATGCGGAGCAGTCAGAAGGGCCGATTCCTGCAAAATGTGGTGTAAACGATTTTGACAAGTGCACACCAATTTTTTCCCGGCACAACTTTTGGCAGCCAAAAAACCTCAAAACGTTCGGACTTTTTTCAGTTTTTCGCTTAAAACTCAAAAGCGGTCCATATTTTATGAATAACACTTCTTTAGTAAATTAAAGGAAACAAAATTCTGCGTCGATAAAAAAAAACCAACAAAATCGGTCCAATAGAAAAATTTTTACAAGCGATCAAAAAACGCCCATTTTTTCCAACTTTTCTAAAGAACTGAGTTAACCTTTTTTTAATGCGTTGTGGCTCCTAAAGGAACGAAAAAATCCACTACCCCCCTTCCCTAAAGATTGTAGAACAACAATCAGAGAGTTCAAAAAGTACCAACAATTTAAAATTGTACCAATTTTTGAAATTCGTTGGAAAAAATGGGCGTTTTTTGATCGCTTGTAAAAATTTTTCTATTGGACCGATTTTGTTTTTTTTTTATCGACGCATAATTTTGTTTCCTTTACTTTACTAAAGAAGTGTTATTCATAAAATACGGACCGTTTTCGAGTTTTAAGCGAAAAACTAAAAAAATGCCAAAAATGTTGAGGTTTTTAGGCTGCCAAAAGTTGTGCCGGGAAAAAATTTGTGCGTACTCTTCAAATACATGTTATTTGGACCCAAATGGACCATTTAAAATAATAAAATCTTTTACACCACCTTTTGAAGGTTAAAATTATCTGCATACTGGACTAAGAGTTAGTCTTCGTGAAAATTATCTATTTCGAGAAATGCGACCAAAAGCAAAAGATGCACATGCCCTTTGCTTTCCATAAAGTTTTTTCACTTATTAATAATAATAATAATAATAATAATGTATATTTTGCCCAACAGATGAGTATCCAATTAACGGACAAAATCCATATAACAAATAAGCAAGCAAATAACAAAAAGAGAAATTTAAATATATGAGTAGAATAACAATAAATTTAAAAATACACTATATAACAAAGACAAAAAATATTTAACATTTCTTATAATATTAATTATTAACAATGAAAATCTAAAAATTGAACTTTTGGCAAATACAAGATATCATAGTTTTTAGAAAACATGTTACAATACTTACACATTCTATAAAATGGCGAATTCTTCAAAATATTAGAATTACAATAAGGTAAGTAGCGGAGTAATTAGCGGAACATAAACATAGGAAACGTCGTGGTATGTTATATAAAAGAAACGCTACCGATATAAATACAATTCCCCTTTTTAGTTAAATTCCTAAGCGGGATACGACAACTAATGGCCGACACTGACAATTTTATTTAAAACAAAGTGTCACTGTTTTGCTCATGTAAAGTCAAGTTAGTGAAAGTGGTGGATATAAAAAAATTCTTGCACTTTTAAAAAAATTCGACTATTTATCTTTCCGTTTGAGAATACCTTTTGATGGAGTCCCACAAACTTCACATCAACTTGGCGAATTTTTTTCAAATTTCCAATACTATGTAGCGACAGAAACCGGTAAATTTTTTACAACTACCTACTTCTTTTTTCAATATAGACTGATATCAACTTTATCAACAGGAATATTTGTCCCTCAAAAAATAGGAGGATCAAGTAAATTTTATTTTTACCATTGAATTCAGGGCAAAAAAGTGAAGTCATCTTACCGCACAAAAGATGTTCGGAAAAATTCTCCATGGGTCGTGCATAGATATAAATAAGTAATACGCTAAATGTACAATTGTTATTAATTTTTGAAAGGATAAGGATTTATTTAGAATCAGTATAACTGTTATACTTTTAATCATTTGTAACAGAATTTTAAATGTTAGCTACCATTTTTATGAAAAACATACAATATTTGTTGTTGTTCACCCTTGTATTGTAAAGATAATTTATTTTAGGTGCTCGAAGTATCGGTTTTTTTAGGATCTACCATACCTAAGTGAATTCATTCATGCACATGTACCTAATAACTATAAAAATCTATAAATCAGGAAAAATGATTAGAACAAATCACAAGAAATAAAGGGGTAATTAAAAAATGTTATAACAAACAATGCTAATCTAGTCCACTAATTACCTGAAAACCAGGTAATTTACAGAAGGTGTCATTACAGAAAACTGCAGTAAATGCATTGAATAAGTAATTTTTCGTACTTCCGGGACTAAAGTAAGAACTTCACTCCTTTATGACAAGTACTGAAGTGTCACTTTTTGTCCCGCCGGGATTAAATTTAGACGAAAATCCCGGAAGGATGAAATTACTAACAAGGCAATTTCAGTAGGTTGTTCCACATTTTGTATGCGGCACTACTTCTTAAACGCATCGTACTGCTGCTCATATAGTTTTTTGGATTTCGGTGGTATCAATTCTATACCTAGTTTGGCTGCTTTTTATCAATATCAAATACACCTTTGTCACCCACCGCAAAATTATGACACTAGCAAACAGTTTCCAAATTATTTTTGTTACCATAGCATAGGGATTGTCATACCAACGCAACGTTCCTATGGTAACTTGTTAAGCAGCGATTTTTTGAAAGAACCCGTTCTCTAACTCCATACATATTAAGTGTTTCGGTTTCGGAAGTACGAAAAATATCGTATATACCTTGCGACTGAAGTAGTGGTCTTAATCCCTCAGGTAAATTATGGCCCTCCCTTCGGTCGGGCCATAAACTTTACCTTCGGGATTAAAAGTACTACTTCAGTCCCGCGGTATATAATATACTATATTCAACAGTAACAGAAATAGGTATTTGTGCATCTCCAGTCAAACTGTACAGCTTTTCGATAAACTTGTTTACATAATTAGTCCTTGATCATTATTATACATGGTCTATTGTGCTTAACAATAAATGAAAAGAATATGCAAAACTGAGAAGGATAGATACATCGTTGGTTTCACTCAAGGAGATCATGTAGCAGTGTGTATTGATGGTGGTCTAACCAATTGCAATAACACTGAAATACAAATTGACTACAGAGGAGTCTTAAGGTCCAATCCTCTAAGGTCGATAAATGAAAGCGGGATACCACATGTTCCGGTGGGAGGGAAATCGAAAACCATTCTGAATTATGCAACGAATACTGGAGTCAGAGACAAGCTGAAGCTTTTTAAAGGGACAAGAATCGGTTGAAGTAAAAACACACCTACATCATGAAGGCCTCAAAACAAGTGAAATGTGTAAGGGATGCAAGTAGAAAGAAGAAACCACCTCTGGATACCAGTATGAGTTGTTCAGGGTACAGATTCTTTAGATAAAAGATTACCTAGGAACGATACAAAATTCCAAGAAGATACTACAATAGGCGGGTGCGGTGTAGGCACCTGGTAGGACACTACGTCTGAGACTAATAATAAACAAACGATCAGGTTTATGACATGACATAAATTTTCGAAGAGTCAAATATTGGGCAAGAATAAAAAGTGAGGTTCAAAGGAGAATGGGCGAGAAACAATCAAATTTGAAAACTTACCTGGTTCACATTTTACTGCAGCGTTACCCATATAACCAGGCAAACACTCACAAACCATCGTCCTTACTGGTAACGTATCCAAAACCTTGCAATCTGCATTGTCGCCGCAGGGTTTGATTACCGCGCATGGATTATCGCATTTACCATTGATGCAAGCGGTGCGCTGTGGACAATCCGAATCGTAACGGCATTTTTCTTCCACTTTTCGACAACCGGCCTTAGTATTCAGATATCCAGGTGGACAGGCGCACTCCACTTCATGATTGTAAATCTTGCACTCCGAGGTCTCATCGCAAGGTTTTCCAAGGGCGCACGGGTTTTCGCATTTTTTATTCACGCACGCCTTGTTTGTGGGGCAATCGAGATTCGATCGGCAACCGATGACGACGCAAGCGACGTGGGGGTTGCCAATAAAACCAGGCGCACACTCGCAGACGGCGCGATGATTGTGTCCGTAGCATTCGGCGTGATTGCCGCACGATGTTCCGTTGGTCGCGCACACCGGTACGCACTGTCGGTTAACGCATGAGTGATGACCCAAACAATCGTCGTTAGATCGACAACCGACGGCGGCGCATTCTATTTCCGCGTAACCAAAGTATCCCGGTTTGCAGCTGCAGATCGGTTTGTGATTTTTGACAAGACATTCAGAGTTCGGTCCGCAATTGCATGGATTCCTGCATATGCCGTTATAGCAAGCCTTATTGTTGGGACAATCGTCGTCCGATTTACAAGTTCCGACTTCGATCACGGCCTTAGTGGGTTGACAAGTACCACTACCGCTGCTAATGTAGCCAGGCGGGCAAATACAAATCATTGTACGTAGGGGTACAGTACTTGCAACTTCGCATGTCGCCGGTCTTTCGCATGGTTCAAAGATTTCGCATGGATTTCCGCATTTGTTGTCGATGCAAGCGAGGGTGGCTGGACAGTCGGGGTCCTGCCGACATTCGGGTTGTGGTTCAGGACGACACTGAACGAAAGGATTTCCGGTGTAACCTGGTGGACATCTGCATAGCGCCACGTGGTTTTGTACTCTGCATTCGGATCTTGACGAGCATGGGTTTTCGTACACGCAGGGATTGACGCATTGTGCGTTTATGCACTGACGTTCGCCTGGACACTCGCTGTTTGTTCTACATCCGACTACTAAACATCTTTCATATGGATTGCCTCGGTATCCACTTACGCAGCGACATTCTGGTTGGTTTCCACGCACGTAACATTCGGCGTTAATTCCGCACTGATCGCGTACTAGGCATGGGTTCAGACAGTTTCCGTTAATACACGCTTTACCGGAATCGCATTCTGAGTTCGATCGGCAACCCACTTTGTGACATACAGTGTTAGGGTTACCCTCATAACCGTCTTTGCATGAACAGATCGGTCGATGGTTTTTGACAAAACAAGAGGTGTCAGTGCCGCAGTTGCATGGGTTGCGACACATTCTGTTTACGCAAGCCTTATCGCTTGGGCAGTCTGAGTCGGAAGAGCAACCTGGGGGCACTGGTACTAAAACAGCGTGACATTCTCCGTTTTCGTTAGGCACCCATCCATCGGGACATGTGCATATCATTGTACGGACAGGTACGGTATCAAGTACGCTGCAGTGCGAGGTAGGATGGCAAGGTACTAACGCGACGCAGGGGTTGACACAAGCATTTTTAATGCACGCCAACTTGCTGGGGCAATCTACGTCATGCTCACACTCATAGCGACCCATCTCGGTCATTTTCGGTGCGCAGTACGTCAGGGGATTTCCTTCTGGTAGATGAGGCGGGCATATACAACCCGCAGCGTGATTCTGTACGTAACATCTGGCATTTTGTGCGCATGGCGGATTGGCGATACTCGAGCAAGGATCAATGCAACGTTGGTCAATACACGCTCTATTAATCGGACAATCGGAATCAATATGACATTCCACTCTTTCGCAAGCGTCGAAGGGATTTCCGGCGTAACCGTCAGGACATTTACATGCGGCACGATGGTTGCTGCCATAGCAAAGAGCCGTGCTCGCGCAACGGTCTCCCAAAATACACGGATTCACGCATTGTCCATTGTAGCACTGCTGGTCATTGGCGCATTCGTTTTCTGACTGACACCCAACTAAATTCAAATCAACAAATTAATTATCATGATTTACAGTAGTTGATGGTATTCAAATAGTTTGATTATCTGTATAATTTTGATTATTCAAATAATCTCATTGACTCACTATTCTATTCTCATACTAGTACTAAAAATACTTACGCTTCACACAACCAATCTGCGGATTTCCAAAGTACGCCGACTTGCAATAACAGATGGGATAATGATTGGTCACTTTACACTCCGCATTGGGGCCACAGTTGCACGGACTAACGCATCTACTATTTACACACGATTCAGATCCGGCACAATCTGAGTTGGATTTACAGCCTATTCCCTTATCGATAGCTAGAAAAGTTTCCTTTAACCATTGTCACTTACAAATTGTTGGATACTTACGAGGGATACATTCAAATTTGGGGTTGCCTTCGTATCCAGATGGACACATACATATCGCCCGATGATTGTTCACAGAGCAGAAGGCTCCAATTGCGCATGGTTTGTCGACAACGCACGGATTGACGCAGATGTCATTTTTGCACCTTTCATAGTATGGACAATCGTCATCTTTGTAGCATTCGGGTAGTGGAACTGGTGGTGGATAAATTGGCACTGTAATCATTTCGTCATGTGAAAAACCAAATTTGAAAACTCAGAACGTATTTTACCATTAGTGCACTCAACGTGCGGATTTCCAAAGTAGCCAAAGGCGCAAGTACAGACGGACTGATGGTGCACCGAATTACACTGGGCGTTGTAACCACAGCCATCTACTTTGCAAGCTTCAATGCAACGATCATGTATGCATTTATCCGAATCGCTACAATCTAAATCAGTATGGCATTGAGGTTGCTCCGGACCGATTGCCTTGCAGTGTCCACTGCTGTCTGCAACCGTATCCAAAGGACATTGACACATTACAGTGCGTATAGGTAAAGTATCGATCACTTTACACTCTTGGTCTAAGTTGCAGATGTTGGTAATGCCGCAGAGATTTTGACATTTCGAGTTTACACAACCATATTGGGAAGGACAGTCTGCGTCACCTTTGCATGTCGATTTGACTTCATCTACTACACATACACAATGAAATAATCGTGTCATAAACAAAATTAGAGAACATACCCGAACAAAGCACGTAGGGATTCCCAGATGTACCCGCTGGGCAATTGCAGTGAGGTTGATGGTTGCGTCCGACGCAAGTTGCGGTCTCGGCGCAAGAATCTCCGTCGCACGCAGTTCTGCAAATTCTGTTCAGGCGGTCGCATGCCTCGTGATCGGCGCAGTCTTCGTTGTATTGACATACTCCTGTGATACAGGAGCTAAGCGGATTACCTTGCGTACCGCCGGGACACTGGCATTGTGCTTGATGGTAGGTAACTATGCATTCCGCTCCACGACCGCACGAGTGCGAAGCGCAAGGGTTGACGCAGTTATCGTTGACGCATTGTTTGTCATATGGACAATCTCCGTTTATTTTACATTGAGCTGTAAAAATGGTGGGTATAGTTTAGATTGCGAGTATTTTTAAATAAGAATAAATAGATCATGAGAGTTTTCGCCATATGTCGTGTAGTTTAAAAGTTTTATCACTAATGGCACTTCTTTTTGACTTACCCTGATTTGAGTGCAAGGGCTTGATAATACACAAAATAAAAAAGAGGAATAAAAACATAATTTTAAATTTGTTTGAAGAGCTTTATCTATTGTAAGGGGGGGGGGGGGTACATAAGAGAGAGTAGTGACCTTTACTATAATTTCCTTATAAACAAAAATTGTTACAGTGCAGGTTAAATGGGGATAAAGTTGCCCCTTTTTGTGACTAAAAAAACGCATTTGAAATTATTCAAAAATCTTTGGAAATAACTGGGATATGACCAAAACTCTGAATATGTCAAATTTCGTTTTCATTTCCGTAGCTTAAGCCTTCAGATATGGATGTTTCTGTTAGCACTTTGTATGGGCAATTTTTGTCGGAAAATCTGAATCTGTTATCAGCATTTCCATAACGCGCTAGATCTAGGAACTATAGGTTACTACTTCCTTATTTCTTATGGACGCCGCATTGGATATTTACGGAATGACATAGAGACAAGAAAGAAAAATAATGAAGGGTCACACTCTATACTTTTACATAAATATCAAAATTAGATTTTGAAATTTTTCTTCTGTATGGAGTGTGACATGTCATTATTTTTCTTCTTTTGAGAAGCGGCTATTTGCGACCGTGTAAGGTAGGAAAAATGGAAACGAAATTTTTGGTCATATCTCAGTTATTTTAAAAGATTTTTTAAAATTTCAAATTACGTTTTTTTAGTCACAAAAAGGAGTAACGTTGCCTCCATTTAACCTCCACTGTATCTCTCACCACTACAGAGCTAATGGTGGGCGACGAATTTGAACCACCCTGTACAGAGTGGGTTGTTTGCAACGCTTTTATAGGACATCTCCGTAATTGTTAATACTATGAAAAAACGAATACAGGCGCGATGCGCTCTTTTTGGGTCAAATTTAAAATGGTACAATTAAAATTTGAACATTTTCGCTAACTTAACATACGCGGGAAAATAAAAAAAATGGTCAATTTCAAAATGTTCAGATAGTTAAAAAAGTGTAATTAAAACAAAACATAAGTTAAAAAAAAATCTTTTTGAAATCTTTCTTTAACATGAACCTTGAACGTATTTTTAATTGCCTTGAATCACTTGACTCTTCTTTGAATACCGTGTGTTACATATATTTTTATAAAAAGTATTTAATATGGTATCTTTTCAGATCAAAATATACAGGGCGTTCTATTCAAAGAAATGGGGATAAGTTCGATTTTTTACCGAATCCGTATACTTATTCTAAAAACGGCATTATAAACTTTTGTATATTTTCTGTATTCCTTTCAAGTCAGAATATAATAGGGTCACACCGCTTGTACAGGGTGAGTCAACGATTGCGCGGAGTAACTTAATGCCTTGAAGATAAGATTTTTCGATAGTGCTTTCGTATTATGATATGGTTGAATATTCTCCACATTTTAAAATATTTGGAATTATACGTCTTTTTTATTATATGGTTAATATCCGAAAAGCTAGTAGTTTTAAAGATAATTCGATTTTTAAGAAAAATTGGGCATTTGCAAGCGTCAGTATATTGTCAAAATTATTACTTAAATTTTGATTCCAGGTTTTATATCTTTCATCCTGGGTTAATTACAGGGTGTTTTTTTCTAGATCCAAAGTTACAAAACTTCATATTAAAAAATCTCACTTTTTTTAAATGGTACACTCCGTAGATTTTTCTGTCATCTTTTAGCTCCTCCAGGAAAACCAAGATGTTTCCAAAACTATCAGACATAGGGATAGGAGATTATTATCAAAAGTTGAAGGTTTTTGGAGGAGCTAAAAGATGACAGGAAAATATACAGGATGTTCCATTTAAAAAAAGTGAAATTTTTTAATACGAAGTTTTGTAACTTTGGATCTAGAAAAAAAACACACTGTAAGCTATTTTTCTAATGCTTCATAGTAGATGTATTTGTTTGACTTTTACTTAACCCAGGATGAAAGATATAAAATCAAAATTTAAGTAATAATTTTGACAATATACTGAAGCTTGCAAATGCCCAATTTTTCTTAAAAATCGAATTATCTTTAAAACTACTAGCTTTTCGGATATTAACCATAATATAATAAAAAAGACGTACAATTACACGTAGAATTCAAAAATGCGTTCAAATACAGGGGATTCTATTTAAAAAAATGTACCATTTTGGCGCCCTACTTTGTGGGCGCACCCTGTATAATTCCAAATATTTTTAAAATGTGGAGAATATTCAACCATATCATAATATAAAAGCACTCTATTGAAAAATCTTATCTTCAAGGCATTAAGTTACTCCGCGTAATCGTTAACTCACCCTGTATAATTAAGCGGCCAGCATCCGCCTTGTACTCCTAAATAGTATTTACAATGCAGCTGTCCTATGAGCGTGCCAAACGCCGATGCGTTCGCAATGACCAACGAAAACAGTATGCGCGACTGCTGCTTGCCGCGTGTACAGTTACACACCGCGTTTATCGGCGACGGCGAAAATGTACATACACCTCCGTCATTCTCTTACGTCGGCGAGCCATGTCGACATTTTACGGTAATTGTGGCTACTTGGAAGCGAAATTTTCCTTGTACCCCCCATTTGGAGAGATGCGTCAGATACTACCCCACCCTGCAGTATCATGCCCATATTTATTCCCTTTTTGTTACGTAAAATTTGAACATTTGGTTTCATAATTACAATCGTGTAATCAAATTAAAAATGGATCCCGACACGGAAACTCCTACAGTCTTGTTTAAGTGTAAATGCGACTTACGTTTATAGCACTGCCGTTGTGGATTACCACCCCAACCATCCGGACAGACGCAAGTTGGTCTATGAAGCAGCATACGACATTCCGCCTGATACCCGCAAACGTTGGATATCGCGCACAAATCTTGACACCGTTGATTGCTGCAAGCCTTATTCGAAGGACAATCCGAGTCGATTTTACATTCGGGAGTTGGCTCAGGGGTGCGTTCGTAGCACTTGATAAACGGATCGCCGTACAGTCCGCTGGGGCAGCGGCATACCGCTTTGTGATTGGCTGGATGGCATTCGGCGGTTAGCGAACATAGATTTCCGATGGTGCACGGATTCACGCACTGTCTCCTAATACAGGCCTCGCTAGACGCGCAATCGTCGTTGCTCTTACATCCCACTTCTTCCGTCGGTACTAAACGGAAAACATACAATTAGCGCGAAATTTTAAAGGAGTGAGAATGCTGTTGGCTTGGGATGTAAAAGGTAGGGAAATGTGAGTGATATGTTTCCTAAAAGAGAATTGTTTCGTATTAGTGCCTGTGGAATGAAGCTTACCTTGTTTACATTCTACATCAGCGTCACCTACATAACCTGGTAGGCACAAGCATGACATTGTTCGCAATGGCAAGGTATCGACTACGGAACATTCCGCGTTAATACCGCAAGGTTTCGTTACCAGGCACGGATTTTGGCAAACATTGTTGAAGCAAGCCAGTTTACTTGCGCAGTCGGCATCAATTCGACATTGCAAAGGAACGACTGGTTTATCTAGAAAAAAGGTGTTTACATACACAAAACTCAAAGGGGGCACATACCAATTTGACAAGAATCTAGAGGATTTCCAATGTAACCGGGTGGACACGAGCACAGTGCACGATGTCTGTCAACGATGCATAGTGCACCACTACCACAATTGCAAGGATCTTCACAGCGCTCATTCTGGCAGGCAAGATTGAACGGGCACTCGTCGTCCGTTATACATTCCGGTCTTTCGCAACGGACATAAGGATCGCCTTTGAATCGATCGGGACAATAGCATCTGGCTCTATGGTTAGCGTCCGATCTGCAAACCGCGCTTAATCCGCACTGTGTGTACGAACAAGGGTCGACGCATTCGTTATTAACACACGCCTGATTAAACGGACATTCGGTATCGCTTCGACATCCAACTGAAACAGCACTGTTATTCGAAACGCCCGCGCAAATTTGCATTAATTACTTTCAAAGCAGGCACTTTGTGCGTTGCCAGAGTATCCCTCTCTGCATATACAGATCGCTCTATGCAGCTGAACGCGGCAATCGGCGTTGCGTCCACACACATTGAAACCGTCTTCACATGGATTGCGACATTTCTGATCGATACACGCCTTATCATTTGTGCACTCGGAGTTTTGGAGGCATTCCGGTTTTACTTCTGCAATTTATTAATATTCATTAAACTCGGGAATTTGTTTGGGGTCATTAAGAGACAAATATATTAAACGTTTCTGATGATAGGAGGTGAGTCACGCACTTTCATTTTGAAAGCTGACAAAATCGCGCAAAAAGGATTTTTCCAAGCGTTCAGTTCTTCTCGAACGCCACCAGATCCTATCTCCTTATCAGGCCGTTGACTCAAAATCGAATGAATACTGCAACGTCAGTTTCCTCTAGAGTGGCAAGGAGAAGAAGTATACTTGACAATCCCGGTGTTGCCGAGAACGTCTCTCCAGTATGACATACCCCTCGAGAGAACTTGCAGAGAAAAAATTTGTACACGTTGGGGTTGAAGTATATTGCGATTCAGTATGCTTTCACCATCTTATGAGAACTAATGTTGAGTTAATCAAATCATTCTAAGACAACAGGTTCATAAGACCGAATCTTAGAATAATATGAAAACTTATTGACAACATCGTTAAATGGTATGCTCCGTGTAAGGGGTGTTTCTTAGATGGGAACAGGTTCATCAATTCAGTTAATTCAATCAAATTGGGCATTTTGATAGTCTCGCCAAATGAGAGGCACTGCCTTGAGATTGCAGAAAGACAACTGTGTGCCTCAGTTATCAAGGTAGGTAGCTGTCACAATGGAGTCTTTATTGAAAAGGATAATGTTGATGTAAAGATCAAATAACGAGCCCTTAAATGGTCTCGAATGTTAAAGTGACAAAAAATACAGAACAGATATGAAAAATATGTTATGTTTCTTCTTTGGCCATGTTAAATTAAATTTCTTTCTATCGTTAATTCAATTCATGCAAGACTTCTTTACCTATTTAATCACAGATCTCATCAGGTTATGGGCCCAGTATAAAGAAATGTTACAAATGTGGTGAGTTCGGCCATGATAAGCGGGACTGTAAGAATTCCAAGAAGTCCAAGTCTGAGCGGAGTCAGGAAGGGTCTGGGTTTGTTAGGTTCTGAAGTCAAATCTGTGTATTTCCCCAATGTTTGGATTGCAGATTCCGGTGGTGCAACACAGCACATGACCAGGATGTTTACTTTTGAGGTTTTTTCAAGACATTGTCAACATTGAAATGATTGTCAATAGCAATGCTAAAAAGGGTGATCTTAAGGATGTGTGGTTTGTTCGGGACTAGGTAAAAATTTCTTCTTGATGCTTTCTGACTGGTTAAATGGTACTATTCAGTTATAAACAGTGAGAATTGCTACATTTACAAAGACAAAGTTTTATGCACTCAATCCAAGAAATCAAATGGGCTGTTCCTCATAAACATGAGAGTGATACCACAGACCTCAGCTGAAAGTCACATTGTTCCTGAACATCACTTACAAATTTGGCATGAGAACAAACGTCATGTTCTGGCCTTCCCACAGAAAAACAGGATTGACGTCAATGGCAACTTGAAATGAGACTATGTGATGCAAGCATTAATGGAAAAATGCACCGTTTGAGCTTCGGAAAATGGAAGGTCATCACTATCCTGGTGAAGATGCTTGGAAAGACCTTTCACTGATAATAGTATTGACTTTGTGATCAAGGACGTTCAAAAGATCACAGAAGAGCATGGTTTGCGCCACCCAACATCTATGTCTGATATGGCGGTGAAGAGCGACAGAATCGGACGTTGGTAGAAGCCGCTAGGACTATGTTGCAAGCTTCTGGATTCACAAAAAATTTTGGGCTGAGGCTGCAATGACAGCTGCGTGGGCGATTAACCAAACAGGACCATCTCCAGAATTTCGCCATACGAACTTTGGTACAAGAAGAAGCCTGCGGTCAGCCATATTAAAGTATTCGACATTGAATGCTTTGTACACGTACCAAAAGAGAAAAGGAGGAAGTTTGACAAGAAATCTCGTTGAGGTAATCTGGTTGGGTACTGTGGGGTGGATATCGCAAATGGGTACGGGAGGAATCTGAAGTCACTGTGTCGAGGGATGTGATCTTCAAGCAGTCGACTGTCATCTTTGACTGTATACTACTGTACCAGTAAAAGCGAGTACGAGTGTGACGTCACTAACTGAGAAGAAGATCAGAATCCTACACCAGCACCAGAACCGGAAGTACCAAAAGAACAAGCAGTAGGACCTGTTGAATCAAGGTCGAGCTTGTTGACATCAGGATCAATTTCAGAATTCAAGACCCTAAAGAATGAAGACTTGTTCGAGTAAAATGGAGGAAAACAACAGTGGAAACTCCTAGACAGATCCAAATTGAAGATTCTGAAGAAGTTGAAGGAGTATGCAGTCAGTGGAACCTCAAAATGGTACACCATGATAGCTTATGAAGCTGGACCGTCTACGTACACCATTGAAAGTTCTCAAGTGATCAATGGGAAAGTGGCAATGATTCGAGGAGGTAAATGGACTCAATGAAAATCACATTTAGAACCTATTTCCTAGGCTGGCCGATAAGAAGGCGATTGACTGTCGGTGTATGTACAAGGTCAATGATTCACTGGTGCGTTAAAAGGCACGTCTTGTAGACGAGAGCTATCTGCAACGTGAAGGGATTGGTTTCACTGAAACCTTCAGCCCTACCGTGAGATGGGAGTCAGTGCGTTCTCTGTTGAGTGTGTGTGCACGTGAAGAACTCAAAATGATTCAATTTGACGTCAAAAGTGCTTTCTGTTATGGATGGAACTGACAGGTGGCGTCAGTTGAGAAAAAGCATTCATGAAATACGCAAAGCTCTTAGATGCAGGAATATGTTGACCAATTTTTTGAGTAAATGTGACCTTACTCAAAGTAAAAATGATCCCTGCCTCTTTGTGAAGTTCAGGACAATGTTGATAATGACCCTGCGTGTGCCTGGTAGTTAACAGGGATGACTTCTGGCTCAATGAAACTTTCCACGTACGTCAGTGATGGAACATTTTGCCTGGGATGTAACATTGAAAAGTTGGGCGATGGTTCAATTTTTATTGCTCGGGAAATTTCAACGAATATTTAAAAAGATGCTTGCGAAGATCTCGAACGACAGGAACTGGAGACCAAAGTTCCAGACTGTGAAGCTATTGGGTCCCTTCTATTCCTAGCTGTAGCCCCAAGATCGGACATTTGTTTTGCCATCAGATTTCTTTCAAGAAATATGGATTTTCCTAGTGTAAAGGAATCGGCAATGGTGAAACGACTCTTCAAGTACATAAAGGAACTCAGAACTATGGCGGTCCCAGTCCTTGGTCAAGCAAAGAAATCCAGAGGTATGTACATCTACAAGCCAACCAGTGACTGTTGTGACAAGTTTGACTGTAGGGGAAGCTATCCTGGATCACAAGGATTCTCGATGAAATGGACTGCAAATGTATTTCTGTGTTGACAGTGGATAATCAAAGCGCCATTAATGTAATGAAGAATCCTGTTTTCCACAGTTGCACAAAGCATCAGAAGGAAGTTCATCCATGATAGTTTGGATTCTGGTCAATTAGAATCGAATGTGTGCCTTCAGATGAACAAGAGATCTGCCCACAAATCTCTCACTATACAGCGCTTCGAGAGCCTTCATAGCACCATCGGTGTAAGTGAAGTGTCTGTTTGTAAGTGAATAGCGCTTCTATTCTGTAAAGACTTGATTTTTGGGGGAAGTCTTGATGGAAAAATCAAATACCCAGCCCTTAACGAATTAGAATGTTAATAGAGTTTACCATTCAATTCTTGCAAGACTTCTTTATTTATTTAACATCAGATCTCATCAGATAAGGAGGAAGAACTTGATCCCTGCAGTGAATAAAAACGTATACTTAAATATTACGAACGAAAAAGGTGGGAGACCTTCTGCAATTGGATGATCTTCTACAGGGTAGTGATTTTTGAGTACTTTTGCCTTCTAAAAACCCTAAACGTATCTATCACATTGTCAAGAACTCTCTCCTAAAATCGTTTGTTGACAGAATTAAACATAACAACCTACCTTCTTTCACTTTGAGTGTGCATTCCACTTCGGGATATCCCACATAGTTGGTCGGGCATGAGCAAATGGCTTTGTGGTTCACAACCTGGCACAAGGCGTTCAAACCGCAGGCGTCTAAGCAGGGATCGTGGCATTTCTGCGAGTAGCAGGCCCGATCGCGTGGACAGTCTTGATTGATGACGCATTCCGGATAAACGCACACGGCCGCTCCGTTAACGGCCCTACAGTGGCCGTTAGTACGACACGGCGAGGGGTAGCACGGATCCTTAGGTTGAGGCTCCTCTTTCGTACACAACGTGAACGGATCTCCGATTAGTGGGTGCGGGCAGCTACAAACAGGACTGTGGTTGATCGTAAAGCATTCAGCTCCAAAACCGCAAACTCCAGGACAGGGATCGACGCATTTCGTATTGACGCACGCCTTATTTCTGGGACAGTCAGCGCTGATCGTACATTCGGGTTTGCAGCCAGTTGTCGACGGCGTGCCTTCGAATCCTGGCAGACACTCGCATATCGCATTGTCGTTCAAGACCCTGCAGACGGTGTTTAAACCACATGGCGACGGATTGCAGGGATTCTTCGGCGTTTTGTCTAGTAATTAATGAAATGAGCGTTAATAGTTTCAGACTCGTGAAGGTTTACCTTCTGGTGTTATATAGGAACAGTATCTGAACGCGTCTCCGGTGAAGCCATCAGGACAAGAGCATATCGGTATGTGATTGCCAACGGTGCATAAAGCGCCCACGCCGCATGTTCCCGGGCATGGATCTTGGCATTTGTTACGGATGCACGCTAAGCTCATTGGACAGTCTGAGTTGGCTAGGCATTCAGGTCGACATCCCTCGTGCGGATTGCCATGGTAGTCAGGAAGACATTCGCAATAGGCGTAGTTGTTTTCCACTCGGCAGTGTGTGTGGACACCACATGGTGACGGAAGACATGGGTTTTCTGGTTTCGGTGTCACTGGATGTACTATAGAAGAAGAAACGGTTTAGTACGTAGGCATTCAAATCAAATCTAAGCATATAGCAAGTACATAATACATTATTATATTTTATAAATTTCTACAATTAAAACAAACACCAATAACCACAAGAATGCTCTTATTTACAAGATACGACGTCCTTGGCTTTCAGAAAATCAACTCATTTGTTCCTTAAAGGTAGTGTTTTTGTTTGCTCTTGCCCAACCTAATTTTTATACATATCCCTCTCTATTTTGACCCTGTACACATTATTTTGTGCACTCCACTCTTAGATGGTGAGCTATACCATAGAGTAAATCTCTATGGCTATACATACCTAACACAACATGCACTGGCTACATGTGTCACTTTCTATCTCTAGTTCCTACGGACTAAAAGTACCACTGTACTTCCACTTCTCAAAAAATAAAATATTGCCGTGTTTTGTACGGTTGTGGCGGTTTGAACGTTAGTGCCAACTCCACGTAAAACTGGAGCAGTATTATTGTTAAGGCTACAGATCTAAGACTTTCAATCAGTTATTTATTAATAAAGTACGCGTCGCGATTAACTATCGATAAACGTTTTAAAAATTGCAACGGACATTATTATCTATAATTTAAAGTGTGGAAGAACGGGCTTTTGGGTGTAAAGGGATCGAAAGTGGACCTGAGTTAATCGCTGAAATTTGTAGTACCAGTACGTGTCACCATCTGGGTGTGATGACTTACATCTTTTAATTCCAACTTTCAGAATTAAAGATCTAAGTTTGAATATATACTGCGTCCAAAATAAGGATGTCTAGCATGGGGATCTCTCGAAAAGACGGAAACCATAGGAAATACGACGGTAGAATTAGAGAGAAGTTGCGCAATTAAAGGGTAATTATCATGCTGTAAAGAAAACTAAAACATTCCGATTATTACCGACGATATGTCAGAAAACCCGAAATTTACCGATTTTGTTTTTATTTTTGTCTAATTTTATTTGAAGACAAAAACAAAAAACACTTTCTCATTGTTCTACAAAACAGCGTTGAAAAAATTTCAATACAACGTTTCGTTTCCAAGAAATCATCATCAACATTATTTTTTATGACCCGTAAAAAAAGTACATGTTGTATTGAGCGAATACATAACAATGTATGGTACCAAAAAAAGTTGGAAACTGTTGGTTTCAACAGAATGGCGCACCAGCGCACAACACTACTCGTGCAAGTACCTATCGTACAAATTTCCTGGAAAATGGAAAATTTATCTAATGGTTATTTTCGCACGATTAGAGCGTTGAGTGCGGTTGCGTCATTTTGCCAATAGTTTCCAACTTTTGTTTTTTTTTTTGGTGCCGTACATCGTATTCGTAATAAAAAAAATGATTCTCAATACACCAAGTACGTACTTACGTACAACGAAAATGGAGAGAACTCTTGATGAGTTAAGGAACAAAATTGTCAAACAGTTTTGTCGATGAACTCTTGTATTTTGAATTTTATTTTTTAAAATTAAAACCATGTAGGTTGGATGAAATTCAATGAAATTTCATTGGTTCTTTTAATTTTGTCAAACAGTTTTTTTAAAAATTACGTTTCAAACAAAAGTTACTCATTTGAAGATTGAGCTTTTGGTTCACAAACGTGTCCCCCGCCTACTAGTGAGATATCTAATTTCGCATGTACCTAGTGAATTGAAAATGTAGCAAATAACAAAAAAAATACCGATTTAAGTCGATATTATGATACTTGGAATAATGCTTATTGATTGTAATGGAACTCTACTTAAATATGTATCATTTTCTCACCACCCGCAGCTACGCACAATCTACACCTTTTTGGAATCAAATTTACAAACCAACCATACCAAGATCGATATATCGAATTTTTTATGATCATTTAATCACAATATCGACTTAAATCGTTATTTTTTTTGTTATTTGCGACACTTTCAATTGTCTACATTCGAAATCTATATCACTTATTAGTAGGCAGGGGACACTTTGTGAGCCGAAGGCCCAATCTTGAAATGAGTATAACTTAATATAACAATATTGTATTCTGTTCAAAACTTCATTTGATTTCGTACTGCGCGTCCCATTTTTAATAACAATGACAGGTGTCCTTGGAACGCACAATGATTTGTTTCACTTTATCCACGCTTACCGTTAAAGTGATCACTTTATCTACCCTCACGGATAAAGAGCCTACTCATTTAAACCTATTAAAATGTCAATTTAACATCGGTTATAAAATAAAAAGTATTTTTGCAATTATTGGTGATTTTCAATAAGTTCATGGATTTGCTTTACCCCCACAAGCTTCGTAGACAACTACATCTAAAACTCACTTGGTTTACGCGAACAGTAAGTGAACGGATCGCCGATATAGTTGTCAATGCATATACAGTTGGGAACGTGAGCTACCACGCGACATTCAGCATTAACACCGCACGATCCCGGACAGGGATCTCTACACTTCTGGTTAATGCAAGCCAGACTGGTGGGGCATTCGTTATTGCTAACACACTCCGGTCTACAATACGGTGCTTGGCCAGTGTAACCATCTAAACATGCACAAGTGTAACTAGTTTTATCAGGAGATGGTAGGCACTGTGAGTAAGGGCCGCACGGTGATGGGTTACACGGTTCCTTTACTTCTGGTTTTGGCTCAACTGAAAATGGACAGATGAAGCCTTAATCTACATGGGAAAGGAAATCATCTTACTTATCACACGGCAGTGAACAAACGGATCGCCAGAATATTGTGTTGGACATGTGCAAATCGGGTTATGGTTAACAACGTGGCAGAGAGAGTTAATACCACACGTGCCAGGGCATGGATCGACACATTTCTTATTGACACAAGCTTGGTGCAAAGCGCACTCAGCGCTGACAATACATTCCGGTTTGCAAACAGGTGGACTTCCAATATATCCGGGCAGGCATGAGCAAACAGCTTGCTCGTTGATTTCTCGACACTGGCTGTTCGATCCACAGGGGGACGGCGAGCAAGGATGTTTCTCGACGGGAGCTAAATAATTTAATGTCAAAATGAGAAAATTAAAACAGTAGACTTACGCTCATATTTTAGGCAAAAACTAAACGGATCGCCTCTAAAGCCTTCCGCGCAGTTACAAGAGGGTAGGTGGTTTATGACCGCACAATCCGCATTTTGACCACATACGCCAATGCAGGGATCGGCGCACTTATTGTTAATACACGCTCTGTTGTGAGGACAGTCGGTATTAAGCACGCATTCCGGTCGACATTGTCGATATGGGTCTCCGAAGTAACTCGTTATACACGTACATATTCCATCGCGACAGTCCGCGTTTGGTCCACAAGGTGAGGGGTTGCATGGATTTACAGGTGCAGGCGCTACAAATTTAAATAAGATCGATGTGACTAATAAAGAAACTTACGTTTTTTCGGTTCAGGATGACAGATATCAAAGGAGTTACCAATGAATCCATCTGGACATGTGCAAATTGGTGTATGATTAATAACGCTACACTTGGCATTTACACCGCACGATCCAATGCAAGGGTCTCTACACTTTTCTTTGATACATGCCAAATTACTGGAACATTCGGAGTTGACCGAACACTCAGGGCGACAATTCGGAGGTGAGCCAATGTAACCCGCGATGCAAGAGCACGAAGGTGACTCGCCAACTTCACGGCAGTGCGAGTAAGGACCACACGGTGATGGTATGCAAGGGTGCTGGGGACGTGGTTCCGGTGGAGCTAAATATGTACATTACAAACTATCATTCGTTATAGTAGTCGATTCTTACTTGTTATCACGATGCATCTGGTAAATGGATCACCAGAATATCCTACATTGCAGCTGCAAATAGGATTGTGATTAATAACTTCGCATCTGGCATTAATTCCGCAAGTTCCCGGGCACGGATCGACACATTTTTGATTGAGACAAGCTTTGGAAAGGGGGCATTCGGAACTAACTGTACACTCTGGCCGACAATTCGGGGGCGCTCCGATATAACTTGGCAAGCACGAACAGATCGCTTGCTCATTTAGTTCACGACATTGACTGTTTGCGCCGCACGGTGATGGGTTGCAGAGATTCACTGGTTTCTTTTCGTCAGCTAAAATGTGAGGATTAAACGGGAATGCGTTAGGATAGTCGACCGTACGTTTCGTGTACACGCTGCAGTAAGTGAAGGGATCCCCTGAGAATCCATGTCTGCATGTGCATGATGGTAAATGATTGATGACGTAACAATCCGCGTTTTGTCCACAGGTTCCAGGGCACGGATCTTGGCATTTTGTTTGAATGCAGGCTTTATTGGATGGGCAATCGGAATTGAGAGTGCACTCGGGTCTACATCCCTCGTATGGGTTACCAATGTAGCTGTCAAAGCAAGTGCACGATCCGGCACCATTTCTTTCTTTGCAAATAGCATTGGAGCCGCACGGTGAAGGATAGCACGGATTGATTTGGTCAACGGACGGTGGTTGTTTTTCTAAACAGTTTTGTGAATACCGGCTTTAGTTTTACTTTTCGTTGCGTTACCTTCGATGTTGCATTGCCTGAATGGATCTCCAAAGTAGCCCGTCATACACATACAATTAGGAGTATGACTGACCACTCGACATTCCGTATTAACACCACAGGTTCCTGGGCATGGGTCCTTGCACCTGTTATTGATACAGGCCAAATGCGACTGGCATTCTGTATTACTAACACATTCGTGTCTGCAGTTAGGAGGAGTTCCGAGGAACTGAGGTAGGCACGTACACGAGGGGGAATCTCCGGTAACTTTGCACTCTGAATTTGGTCCACATGGTGATGGTTGGCAAGGATTGACCGGTTTAACCGGAATGTCTCCTGAAATATTAAACGTAAGCGGTTTGCGGTCAATTTTAATCAAGGGCTTACGGATAGGCACACATCTCGTGAACGGATCTCCTTCGTACCGACTAGGACAACTACAAATGGGGTTGTGGTTGACTACGTGACATAATGCCAGCAACCCACAAGTGCCTGGGCATGGATCGATACACTTCTGATTTACACAAGCCTCATTTAAACCACACTCAGCACTAACCACACATTCTGGTCTACAAGAAGGTGGCGCCCCAATAAATCCGGGCACGCAAGAGCATACCGCTTGTTCATTTATTTCTCGACATTCACTATTCTGGCCGCACGGTGATGGATGGCATGGGCGCTTCACTTCGGGCACTAAATACGCACAATTATCACCAGCCGCAGCAACAGACCTCATATGCTTACCTCTAACTTCCTGACAGAACAAAAAGGCGTTACCTTCAAAACCTTGCCGACACGTACAGGTCGGAATGTGATTGATAACTGCACATTCCGCGTTTTGCCCGCAAGTTCCAGGACAAGGGTCGGTACATTTGTTTCTAACGCACGCTCTGTTTTTCGGACAATCTGTGTTCAGAACACATTCTGGTCTGCAACCCCTATACGGGTCTCCTTGGTATTCAGGAAGGCAAGTGCAAACACCCTCAGAACATTGGGCGTTAGGTCCGCAAGGTCGACGTTCGCATGGATCTACTTTGGCAGGAGGTAGAGCTAAAATGTTCATTAAATGTTACGTTAAATTTTCAGTCAATGTGTGATGGGTTCCAACCAAAAGGCACCAGATGAAAATAAAATGATCATTATAAGGCATAATGACAGTATAATCTTGGAAAAATAAATTGTAACTTACGAGGCAATAACCGGCAGTTGTTGAATGGATCGCCAGTATAACCGGTGGCACAAACGCATATCGGTGTGTGATTAACAACGCTACATTCGGCCCCTAAACCGCACGAACCAGGACATGGGTCTCGACATTTCTCTCTCATGCAAGCCTTGTTACTTGGACATTCGGCATTAATCGTGCATTCCGGTTTACAATTCGGAGGGGTTCCGCTGTAACCAGAGACACAAGAACACGACGGGATTCCACCTATATCTTGGCATATCGAGTAAGGTCCGCAAGGCGACGGCACGCAGGGGTTAACAGGTTTCGGCGGCGTTACTGGAGGTTCTGCTGGTACAACTATTAAAAAAATAATTGAGGAGTAATAGACTCTTACGTGGCATTTGATAGCATCGAGTGAATGGATCTCCTGAGTATCCAATGTTGCAGCTGCAAATCGGGCTGTGATTTAGCACTTCGCATCGCGTGTTAAGACCGCACGTTCCCGGGCAAGGATCGCTACACTTCTGATTGATACACGCCCTGTTGAGAGAGCATTCAGAGCTAACCGTACATTCGGGTCTGCAAGCAGGTGGATTTCCGATGTAATTAGGTAAACACGAGCAAACCGCCTGCTCGTTAATCTCCCTACATTGGCTGTTAGGTCCACAGGGTGAAGGATTGCATAGGTTTGTCGGTTTCTTTCCAGCTTAAAACAATGGTTATACAACGTTTTTAGGACTTAAAATGCGCTTACTGTCGGTGGGAGTTAAAGTACAATACTGGAATGGATCTCCAGTGTAACCGCTTCGGCATAAACACGACGGGAGGTGCGTGACCACGTGACAGTCGGCATTTTGGCCGCACGCGCCTGGACACGGATCTTCGCATTTGTTTCTAATGCAAGCCCTATTCGATGGACAGTCCGAGTTTAAGACACACTCAGGGCGACAACCTTCGTAGGGATTTCCAATATAATCAGGTAGACACATGCAAGACCCAGCGTTGTTTCGTTCCCTGCAAACGGCATTTGCTCCACAAGGGGAGGGGTTGCAGGGATTGGTTCGTTCGGGTTTCGTCTCTGAAAATCGGACCGATTACTTTGTGGTGTATCAAATGTGGGCGATCTTACCAGGTGGTACTTGGCAGTACGTGAATGGATCACCGATAAAACCAGTGGAGCACACACAGTTTGGAGTGTGACTAACAACCCGACACTCTGCATTAACACCACAGGTACCAGGACAGGGGTCCTTACACTTTTGATTAATACATGCAAGGTGGCTGAGGCACTCGCTGTTACTAACGCATTCTGGTCGACAATTAGGAGGGGCACCAATAAAGTCGGGCAAACATGAGCAAGAAGGCGAGTCACCTATGACTTTACATTGTGCATTGGAACCACACGGTGATGGTTGGCATGGATTCATCGGTTTCCGTTCCGGTTCTTCAACTAGAAAGTTCCACTTAGATGAGCCTACCATAGAGAATTACTTACTTATTGGGTAACATCTGGTAAATGGATCTCCCGAGTATTTAAGTGGGCAACTGCAAATTGGGTTATGATTTACCACTTGGCAATCGGCGGCAATGCCGCATGTTCCCGGGCAAGGATCAATGCACTTTTGGTTAACACAAGCTTGATTGAGTTGGCATTCTGCACTAACAACACATTCTGGTCTACAATTTGGTGGACTACCCATAAATCCAGGTACGCATGAGCAAACGGCCTGATCATTAATTTCTCGACACTGACTGTTCGGGCCGCATGGTGAAGGCTGACATGGGTGTTTTTCAACTGGTTCTGTACAGAAACGAAATTAGCACATGCGCAATGCAACGAAAATGTTACCTTTAAATTCATGGCAGAAGACAAAAGCGTTGCCTACAAAGTTTCGTAGACATGTACACGTTGGTATATGATTGAGAACTGCACATTCTGCATTTTGGCCGCACGTTCCTGGGCATGGATCAACACACTTGTTTCGTATGCAAGCCTTGTCCTTGGCGCAATCTGTATTTAATACACACTCGGGTCTACATCCTCTATAAGGATCACCTTGATATTCGGGGAGGCAAGAGCAAACCCCATTGTGACATTGAGCGTTAGAGCCGCAAGGTGATGGGTTACAAGGATCGGCTTTCTCTGGCGGTAGAACTAAAATGTAGCCGATTACCTACACACAAATCTACCGAACCACTGAATCACTTACTTTGCGGCGTTTTATGACATTGATTAAATGGATCCCCGGTAAAACCTTCATTGCAGATACACACAGGAATGTGATTGAAAACAGTGCAGTAAGCAGCTACACCGCAAGAGCCTGGGCAAGGATCTCGACATTTCTCGCGAATACAGGCAAAATTGCTAGGACATTCAGCATTGATCGAACATTCCGGTTTGCAATTAGGCGGGCTTCCAATGTAATTTGCCAGACACGAACACGCAGGTGAGCCCCCAATGTCATGACACTGAGAGTTCGGGCCACAAGGCGATGGCACGCATGGATTTTCCGCGGGTTTCGGAGTTGGAGGTGGCGCTAAAAATGATTTTGTAAAACTGAACTGAGAACTAATGGGCTTACTTGGCATAGGGTAACATCTTGTAAATGGATCCCCTGTGTAGCTCACTTTGCAACTACAAATGGGGCTGTGGTTTACAACCTCGCATTCGCTGTACAATCCGCAACTTCCTGGGCAAGGATCCGCACACTTTTGATTAATGCAGGCTTGGTTGAGTAAGCATTCGGAACTGACTGTGCATTCTGGTCGACAGCTTGGAGGACTACCAATGTAATTCGGAAGGCAAGAGCAAACTGCCTGTTCGTTAATCTCGCGACATTGACTATTTGGTCCGCAGGGAGATGGATTACAAGTATTGGCAGGTGAAGGAGTACCTACAATTAATATGTTGGGTAACCAGACTACAACCATTGATGACTTACGGTCAGGTTGAATAACGTTGCAATATCTGAATGGATCACCAGTGTAACTGTTCTTACAAGAGCAAGAGGGAAGGTGGTTAATAACGTGACAATCAGCATTCTGACCACATGTTCCCGGACAAGGATCTTGACATTTCGTCTGAATACATGCTTTATCCGAAGGACAATCAGAGTTTAATATACATTCCGGACGACATGATTCGTATGGGTTTCCAATGTACCCAGGCAGGCAAGTGCAAGAACCAGCACCGTTCTGCTCTCTACATTGAGCGTTAGCCCCACAAGGTGATGGTACGCATGGCGTTGGTCGGTCTACTGGTTTTATAACTTCCCTCTTCAACTCGCAGCTTACAAACGGATTACCTTCGTACCCAGAAAGGCACGCGCAGTTTGGAGTATGACTCACAACACGACATTCAGAATTAACTCCACACGAACCGGGACAAGGGTCCACGCATTTGCTCTTAATACAGGCCAGATGACTCGAACATTCGCTGTTGCTCACACATTCAGGTCGACAGTTTGGTGGCGATCCGATAAATCCAGGTAGGCAAGCGCACGACTGTCCATGGGTCGCAATCGTACATTGCGAATTTGGCCCGCACGGCGACGGTACGCAAGGATTCTTCGGAGTTTCCACAACCTCAGCTAAAATATTAAAACTCAAACCAATGTCTTCGAGTAGATCTATCTTACGAATTTGATAGCAGCGCGTGAACGCATCCCCGGTGAACCTCTGGGGACAGCTGCATATCGGATTGTGGTTTACCACCTGACAGTTGGCTCCTATTCCGCAAGTACCGGGACATGGATCGATACATTTCTGATTGACGCAAGCCTCGTTCAGTTGACATTCCGAGCTGACTACGCATTCCGGTCTGCAGGTCGGTGGGCTGCCGATAAAACCGGGCACGCACGAACAGACACTCTGTCCGTTGATGCTCCTACATTGACTGTTCGGGCCGCACGGCGACGGATGGCAGGGGTTCTCAGGCACAATTTCTAAATAATACAAATTGAAGTCAATACCATCGAACCTAATGTTCTAACGGGTTGTGGTCCCAAATAATTTAAAAAAAAGGTCGTAGTGTGCGTGAGTTGGATCCCGACTATAAGCTTGTTGAGGGTAGTTGGGAAGTAAACATCATTTCAAGCTAGGCAAAGGGAGACAGTCACTAAGAACATCGCACTTGGGGTTTTTCTGAAGCTAGTTTGTTGAGCAGACAAGGGTCCAAACGTAGAGCAGTAACGATCTGATATAAAGTTGAGGCAAATTAAACCTTGAAAGAATTTTACTTTTTCCATATAAGAACTTGTTCTAACAATAGAAAAGAATGAGAAGAAGAAACTGTCATTCTTCCCCAGCGGATACTTTGAACATGGTTCGCATTCGTAAAAAGCAGAACCAAAGAATTTTACTGGAGAATTTTACTGGCTTTAATTTAGTAAAATCAAAACATTTCCCTGCTATGGATCTGCTTTGAGATATAAGCAAAAAACAAAGCAAAGGACTTTTGTAACTTTTGCCTCATCTCCTAGACGTTGGAACTTTTAGTTTATTACAGGTTTATGAAGTGAAACCTTAGATCTCAATTCACGCACACGCTACACCCCGTGTTGGGGGCCTCATTGATGGACAAATCAAAACCCTCCAACAAGGGAAAATGTGACCATTTGTCATAAAGACACTGCCTTGGTATGAATTTAATGAGTTACCTTTAACTTCGTTACATAACACGAAGGCGTTTCCAACGTAACCGCGAATACAACTGCAGGTAGGTATGTGATTCACCACAGTGCACTCAGCATTCTGTCCGCATGTTCCCGGACAAGGATCTACACATTTGCTCCTGATGCAAGTCTTATCCTTGGCACAATCGTCGTTCAAAACACACTCAGGTCGGCATCCAGTGTAAGGATCACCTTGGTAATCGACTAGGCAAGTGCATATACCGAGATTGCAGTGAGCGTTGGGTCCACAGGGTGACGGATTGCACGGGTCTCGTTTTTCTGGTATTTTCGCTAAAATCAATTGGTGAGTTTTGCAGAGATTTACCACTAGATGGCAACTTACGAGGTGGTTTCGGGTAACAATTATTGAATGGATCGCCTGTATACTCATCGGGGCAAGTGCATACAGGTGTGTGATTTATGACAACACACCGCGCGTTAAGCCCGCATGATCCCGGACAAGGGTCCATGCATTTTTCTCGCATGCAAGCACGACTGCTAGCACACTCAGAGTTGACTACACATTCCGGTTTGCAGTTCGGGGGACTTCCTGTGAAACCAGCCAGACACGAGCACGAAGGCGAACCGCCAATATCTCTACATTGTGAATTGGGGCCGCAAGGTGACGGCGCGCAGGGATCTACACGTCTTGGTGGCTCGACAACGGCTAAAATTTGGAGGTTAAAAAAGTCCCGGCTGAACTGTAGTCATCTTACGTTGAAGATAGCATCTGGTAAACGGATCGCCAATGTATCCGCTATTACAGCTACAAATGGGACTGTGGTTGATCGTCTCGCATCTACTGTTAAGGCCGCAAGTACCAGGACAAGGGTCGACACACTTCCGGTTGACGCAAGCTTTGCGTAGATCACACTCCGAACTGACCACACATTCGGGTCGACATCCAGGTGGACTTCCAATATACTCGGGGAGACATGAACAGACGGCTTGAGTGTTTACTTCGCGACATTGGCTGTTCGGGCCACAAGGCGATGGCTCGCATACGTTTGCTGGTCTCGGCTTTTCAACTAAAAATTTTGTGTCAGTCAAAGTAATGGGCGCGCTTAAATATTTACTTGTCGGCTCCACAGGACTGCAGTATCTAAACGGATCGCCTGTATATCCAGAGATACAAAGGCACGAGGGTAAGTGGTTGATTACTTGGCAGAGTGAATTGAGCCCGCAGGTTCCGGGGCAAGGATCTTGACATTTGTTGTTGATGCAGGCGTGGTTGGAACCACAATCTGAATTTAGCACGCATTCCGGTCGACAGCCTTCGTAAGGGTTTCCAATATATTGATCTTTGCAGCTGCACGCTCCGGCACCGTTGTGTTCTCGGCATACCGCGTTGGAGCCACAAGGCGAAGGGATGCAAGGTGTTATCTGATTTCGCGTGGGAAGTTCAGCTAAAAGGACGTTATTATACAAGGTATCGAGGCATGCGAAACTTACGTTCAAGAGTGCACTGAAGGAAGGCGTCTCCTGTGTATCCGTTGATGCATATGCAATTCGGGGTGTGACTAACCACGCGGCATTCTGCGTTAACTCCACACGCGTTCGCGCACGGATCTTGACATTTTTTGTTGATACACGCCAAGTGGCTTGAACATTCAGAACTACTGACACATTCCGGTTTGCAGTTCGGTGGTGTTCCCCGATACTCTGGAAGGCAAGAGCACGAAGGCGAATCGCCAACAGCTTGGCATTGTGAGTATGGTCCGCATGGTGACGGTTGGCAAGGGTTTATTGGTGGAGTTATGGGCTCATCTATAAGTATCGCGACAAATAAGAAATAAACCAAGGCATTGAGAGAGACTTACGAATCAGCACACATCTGGTGAACGGATCTCCACTATAACGCGGTGGGCAACTGCAAATGGGATTGTGATTAACCACTTGGCAAATAGCCGAAATGCCACAAGTTCCCAGACATGGATCCATACACTTTTGGTTAATACAGGCTTGGTTTAAACCACACTCTGCGCTTACAACGCATTCAGGCCGACAGTTAGGTGGGCTGCCACTAAATCCGAGCACGCAAGAACAAACGGCTTGATCATTTATTGCTCGACACTGACTGTTGGGACCGCAAGGTGAAGGACTGCAAGGGTTTAGCACTTGAGGTACTACAAACACAGCGCATGAGAAACAATTTGCATTATCCACCATACTACCTTTGGCTTCAGAGCATACTAAGAAGGCGTTTCCTACAAACCCGGTTCGACACGCGCAAGTAGGAATATGGTTAATAACCGTACACTCAGCGTTTTGTCCGCAGGTTCCGGGGCAAGGATCCGTGCATTTATTCCTAATGCACGTCTTGTCTTTGGAGCAATCAGTATTTAATACACACTCAGGTCTACAACCTCGATACGGATCTCCGAAGTATTCCGGTAAGCAAGTGCAAATTCCTTTGTCGCAATTAGTGTTGGCCCCACAAGGTGAGGGATGGCATGGATCTTCGACTGGTTTTGGAACTAATTATAAGAGACATTGATTAAAAGAATTGAACCGCATGATTGCTTAGTTGGTCTCCTTAAAGTTACTTTCGAGCAAACTTCAGGAACACCAGCGAACAAACCAAAAATGATAAATTAAACTTACTCGGTGGTTGTCTGAAGCAATTATTGAAAGGATCGCCCGAATACCCATCGGGACAAGCGCAAATCGGCGTATGATTGATAACGCTACAACGCGCTTCTACACCGCACGAGCCCGGACACGGATCTCTACATTTCTGTCTAATGCAAGCCTGACTGCTAGGACATTCCGAGTTAATCACGCATTCGGGCCTGCAATTTGGTGGACTTCCAATATATTCGGAGAGGCAGGAGCACGAAGGCGTATCGCCGACGCTTCTGCACTCCGCATTGGCGCCACAAGGTGAAGGAACGCACGGATCCACGAACGCGGGCTTGGGGTCAGGGGTTGGCGCTAAAAGAACGGTTAAAGTTTGATAAATGAGACCAGTAAGAATCTTACAAGGCATTGGGTAGCATCGACTGAACGGATCGCCAGTGTAGTCGAAGTTACAGCTACATATCGGGCTGTGATTGATAACTTCACATTTGGTATTGAGCCCACATGCTCCTTCGCAAGGATCGGCGCACTTCTGATTGATGCAAGCTTTGTTTGGTGGACATTCGCTGCTTACTACACATTCAGGTCGACAACCAGGAGGACTGCCGACATAAGTAGGCAAACACGAGCAAACTGCCTGGCTGTTAATCTCACGACATTGACTGTTTGGTCCGCAAGGTGATGGATTGCAAGGATTAAGAGGTGTTGTCGCTATAAGTGATTATATAAGATATTAGTTATTACTGATGTATAGGTATCTTACGTTCTGGAGGCGCGATATTGCAATAGGCGAAGGGATCGCCAGTGTAGCCTAATCTACAGGTACACGAAGGTAGGTGGTTGACAACTTGGCAATCCGCATTTTGTCCGCAAGTTCCGGGGCAGGGGTCTTGACACTTATTTCTGATGCACGCCCTATTCGAGGGGCAGTCTGAGTTTAGGACGCATTCGGGCCGGCATCCTTCGTACGGGTTTCCAATGTAATCGGGAAGGCATAGGCACGATCCCGCTCCGTTGCGTTCTTTACAAATTGCGTTCGTTCCGCACGGCGTTGGCACGCAGGGAGTTCGTACTTCGATAGGTTTGTCTAAAATACGCATTAAAATTTTTGACAGATTAGGATTTTGCATACGAGAATAATGTTCGTTCTGAAACTTAAAAAAGGTAATTTTGTATTCGAGCAAAATTAAGTTCCTCATGAACAAATTGTGCGACGAAGTTCAGAACGCGGCGCATGCGTAATTAAAACAAAGGTAATACAGGCTCAGTTCATAGAGCGCGCAATTCAAAATTCCCAAAATACTGCTTTTACTTATGCATTGTGCAAAACAATGCCGTTTAAATGTAAATCAGAGAAGTAATATAGGTACAGATCAAATAGCACAAATACAATGCGGAATACCTCAATGGCCGGTCCAACTGGTGATCAAAATAGGTTAGCGATTACCAATCATTTTTATTTCGGCACTAGAACATATTTCTTTTGGTTTTGGTTTTGGCTATACGTGTCTCTGTACGAGCAAACACAACCTGGAATTTTACTGTAGGTATGTCGAAAGTTTATTTGAATTTTCCTGAATTTACCAAGAATTTTCAAACATTTTCAATTCTCTTAAAATTGGTGTGTGCGGGTTTTTCCATTTTTTGGAATTTTCAGAATTTTAAAATTTTTGTTTGATTTTTCAATAGAAACTAAAAAAAATAGAAAAATGTAAGCGCATAAATTTGTCAAAATTTGAATTTACTTTACACATTTTGTATGTCAGCTCCACAAAAAAAAAAGAAAACAATTTTGAATCTTATACACACATGAAGATATTTTAAATTGATCTGAAATTCCAAAATTTTACAATTTTTCAATTTTCTTTCTGAACTTTTCATCCTCTTCGAATGTTTGTTTTTTCGAAGTTTATTTTTCGAATGTTTAAAATTTCAGAATACTTCTGGTTTTCTGAATTATTATTGTTGGACTATTATTGTAATAATCTCAATGTATTTTCCAATTTTGTTGAATAACTAATTTTAGGAGTTATAGCCCTTTCGAGGAAAACAACTCTTATTTTTTGCATAAATTTTCGGAGACTTTTTAATGTTAAGTAATTTCCCGAATTTATTAATTTTTTCTTAATTTTCCACCATAATTAATGTGGCATTTAATTTACCAAGGTACTTGATTTCATTCTTCACTATATCTGCAATTTTCTTACAAATCTGCCTAATTCCTTCTCATGTGGATCTTAGGATCACTTAAACTTTAGAATCTTTTCATACCTAATCCTCTTAGAACGTTCTTTTAGAATTTTTTAGAATGAATTTTTTGAATGTCAAGCACCGCCCAAATTTTCTTAAAATTAGGATCAATGGTTATCTGGGTAATAAGTAGGTAATATAAAGTACAGTATACATATAGCCTATTCCTATCTATTGAATTTTTGATTTTCCAAAATTTTCTGAAAATTGTGTTTCTTTACTTCTAAATATTAAAATTTTTTTTAATTCCGAATTATTCCGATATCGAATTTTTGTATACACTTGTCGGAATTTTTCTAATCTTTATATATTTATCAAACTTTTGTTAATTTAATTTATTTAATTAAAAATCTAATTTCTTAATTTGTGGAATTTTTTCCAATATATTTAAATTTTTATGTACACATAATTATCTCTTTTCTAAAGAAACAATGTCTAATTCTACATTTGGAACTGTTTCCTAATTTCTTGTTTTTTTTTAAAATTTTGATTTTTATGTAATTACACATAATTATCTCTTCTCTTTTCAAATACACAAATTATTGTTAATGATTAAGAATTTATATTTTTTAATTTGCAGAATTTTTCCGAATTTGTTTTTTTTTTAATTTGAATTTTTGTATACACATAATTATCTCTTCTCGGATAGAACGAGTTCTAAATTTTGTACATTTGCTACTTTTATACATTTCTGAATTTTCCAATTTTTTTATTGTTTTATTTTCGGAAATTCAGAATTTCCAATTCGTATTCTTGTACACACGTTTTGGAATTTTTATAATATTTATGAATTTATTTTTTTATTAGTTTATAGAATTTGCATTTTTTAATTTTGTGGCATTTTTTAGAATTTTTTTGAATTTGTATTTTTGTGTCTTCTCAGAAAGAACACTTTCTACTTCTTGTACTTTTAGAATCTGTACCCTTCGGATTGGTAGACGTATTTAGGACCCTTAAAGTAAATTCATATTGTTTGAAAATTCTTCATTTGCACCAAAATTTGAACCTGATGGTAGTTTAGTGAATTATACATATAAGACCCTTAATTAACTACAATCAGGTTTAAATTTTGGTGCAAATGAAGAATTTTCAAACAATATGAATTTTGAAACTGTAATCACTAATCACTTTATGTTTCCATAATTATAGCAGTTATGGGTAATCATACCACACGATAAATTGGTAAGTAGGTAAATTATTTTGATCACCTTTTCACACCTTTTGGGTGATACGAACTAATTTTTCTAAAATCTAAACTGACTTAAGTAACTCATGAAGTTTATTCCTGATTCTGTACACATATTATTTTTTATTTTTATTTTATTTTGCCTTTATTCTTGAGTGGGCGGGGTTTCAGAATTTAAGCTATTTAAATTATATAAAACATAGGCGGCGTGGCTTTATTTTTTGGTAACGACACCGCTGAGTCTGGAGTATTCTATATTCCGTAACCATGATCAGTACCTAGATAGTACAGATCTCAAATTACCTTAACTTTTTATTTATTGGATTTTGAATTGCGCAATCTGTGAATGGGACTGGTATACCTTAATTTTTTCGCAGGTGACTTACTCATTTACAAACTGACCTTAGTTATAGTTTTCTATCGTTGTTATAATAGCATTGAAATAGAGTTATGATAATATACCAAGACACCATGAACTTTTTTGGTTTTTACCTTATGGTAGGTATTACGTTTAAAGCAGTTAAGCGAGCAGTAAAGTAGTGGTAAAATAATGTCTATTCTCTTACTTTCAATTTGATTGCATTGCGTGAAGGGGTCCCCAAGGAATCCGTTCAGACATATGCAGTTAGGCGTATGACTGACAACGCGACATTCCGCGTTTAACCCGCAAATACCAGCGCAGGGATCTTTGCATTTTTGATCGATACAGGCTAAGTGGTTGAGACATTCGTTGTTGGTTATGCACTCGGGTTTGCAATTGGGCGGTGTACCAATGTAATTTGCCAGACAGGAACAAGACGGTGACTCGTTTACGACCTTACACTGGGAGTTTGGACCACATGGTGACGGTTGGCAAGGGTCTGTGGGTAGCCTAACTGGTGGTTCAACTAGAGTGAGTCAGGTGAGTTTCTGTGACATGGGATTGGTTTCACTTACTAATTAGATGACATCTGATAAATGGATCCCCTGAATATTGAGGTGCACAACTGCAGATGGGGTTGTGGTTTACAACCTGGCACAAAGCGTTAACACCGCATGTGCCGGGGCAGGGGTCGATACACTTCTGGTTACTACACGCTTGGTTCGGGAAACACTCAGAGCTGACTACACACTCAGGGCGACAAGTGGGAGGGGTACCTAGGTAACCAGCGACGCATGAGCAAACTGCCTGTCCATTTATCTCTCTGCACTGGCTGTTGGGCCCGCAAGGAGATGGACTACACGGATGAGTTTCGGTTGGTTCTGTTTCAAATTTGTTAATAGCTAGAATCAAACAAGGAGCCAATTTACCTTCAAAACGTTGGCAGAAAGCAAATGCGTTTCCTTTGAAACCAGTTGCGCATACGCAGGTTGGTATGTGATTTATAACGCTACACTCTGCGTTTTGCCCGCAAGTTCCTGGGCATGGATCGACGCATTTGTTTCTAATACATGCCAAGGTCTTGGGGCAATCATTGTTCAAAACGCACTCAGGTCTACATTCACGATACGGATCGCCTTGGTATTCGACCAAACAGGTACAAACACCTTCGCGGCATTCAGCGTTGGGTCCGCAAGGCGACGGGTAACATGGATCGGGTTTCTCAGGAATCTTGGCTATAATTTTGTTATGTTAATTGATAAATCACAAAGTGGAGAAGTTGGCATTACGTGGTGGTTTGGGATAGCAACTACTAAACGGATCTCCAGTGTAACCCTCGTAGCAAACACACGTAGGGGTGTGGTTGATAACGCTGCACGATGCACCAGTACCACAGGAGCCCGGGCAGGGATCTCGACACTTCTCGTTCATACACGCTAAGTTGCTGGGACATTCTGAGTTAATTACGCATTCGGGTCGGCAATTGGGTGGGCTCCCCGTATAGCCCAATTGACAGGAGCAAGACGGCGAGTCTCCAATTTCGCGACACTGCGAGTTGGGTCCACAAGGAGAAGGTACACACGGGTTGCGAGTTGGATAAACCGTGATTTCTACAGCTGCGAATGTCAAGTTGTTAGACAATTTAAATGTTGCTGGAGAGGGACTTACGAGGTACACGGTGGCAGTTGACAAATGGATCGCCGGTATTTCCAGATGTGCAGCTGCAGATGGGGCTGTGATTGATAACTTGACATTTGGCGTTAACGCCACAAGTACCCGGGCAGGGATCGACACATTTCCTATTCAAACATGCCTTGTCTTGTGGACACTCAGTGCTGACTACGCATTCGGGGCGGCAACTGGGTGGATTTCCGATAAATTCAGGGAGGCAAGTGCAAACGGCTTGTTCGTTAACCACGCGACACCTACTGTTAGGCCCGCATGGGGATGGATTACACAAATCTGTAGAGTGTTTGATGTCTAAAATTAAAGTTTAGGCTAATTTAATTCTGAAAGATAGGTGACTCACTGTCTTCCTCTTTTATAACAGTGCAATAGCTGAAAGGATCACCAGTGTATCCTGTTCTGCACGTACACGACGGAAGATGGTTAACCACTTGACAGTCTGCGTTCTGTGAACACGTTCCGGGACAAGGATCAATGCACTTGTTTCTAACGCACGCTCGGTTCGATGGACAATCTGAGTTTCGGGTACATTCCGGCCGGCATCCCTCGTAAGGATTACCCACGTATTCTGGAAGGCAAATACACGCGCCGGCTCCGTTTTGTTCTCTGCACTGAGCGTTAATTCCACACGGTGACGGAGTGCAAGGTGTTCTAATCTCCTGAACATCAGCTAAAAGCAAAGGTTGCCATTTTTGAAAGGAGCGATTATTAAAACTTTTGGGTTTTCTTTGATTGCCTCTTTTCTAAATTTGTGACAGCTAAGAATATTTCTAGTCACTGTAAACACAATCCACGATGAACCGTTTAGAAAATACCGCATCTTAGTTGATGGCATACACTGCCAAATAAAGAACGGAAATGAAAGATCAGTGAATCAGTTTTAACCCAAGAGATAATCAAATAATGTGCCCAAAAGTACGCTGTATGCTCGCTCATAACAAAGATTTCTTACGTGATTGTAGATGGCATTGCACGAAAGGATCTCCGAAATGATTCGGATGACAAACGCATGTCGGGGTATGACTAACGACGCGGCATTCGGCGTTAAGTCCACAACTGCCAGGGCACGGGTCTTGACATTTGGTATTGATGCAAGCCAAATTAAAGGCGCATTCGTTGTTACTAATACATTCCGGTTTGCAATTCGGTGGCGACCCTCGATACTCGGGAAGGCAAGAGCAAGAAGGCGAGTCGCCTGTGATCTTACATTGAGAGTTTGGCCCACAAGGGGACGGCTGACAAGGATTCTTTGGTTTCTCAATTTCTCCTGAAATATCATGGCATTTAGCGTTATAATTAATTTGGAGATAGGTATTACGTATAATGTGGCATCTCGTGAATGGATCTCCGGTGTATTGGAGGGCACAGCTGCATATCGGATTGTGATTTACGACCTGGCAAACGGCATGAATACCGCAAGTGCCGAGGCAAGGATTAACGCATTTTTGATTAACGCAAGCCTCGTTCAGAGAGCACTCCGAGCTGACAACACACTCCGGTCTGCAAGTTGGCGGTGATCCAATGTATCCGGGCACGCAGGAGCAGACAGCCTGATCATTTATCTGCCGACATTGGCTGTTGGGGCCGCATGGAGATGGGTGACAAGGGTTTACATTAACTGTAGGCTCTAGAAAACGGTTATATAGTAGGTAATTTTGGCCTAACTAGGTAGGTACCTGGAATGCGAGTACAGGATGTGAAAGCGTTTCCACTAAAACCAGAAAGACAAGAGCACATCGGAACGTGATTGATAACTGAGCATTCGGCGTTTACTCCACAAGTCCCGGGGCAAGGATCAGCACACTTGCTTCTTATGCAAGCTTTGTCACGTGCACAATCGGTACTCAAAACACATTCGGGTCTGCACCCTCGGTACGGATCCCCTTGGTACTCTGGCAGACATGTGCAAGTTCCTGAATTACACTGAGCGTTTGCACCACAAGGTGATGGGTGACAAGGATCCTCCTCTTCGTGTTTTTTCGCTAAAATTGCCATTACAAGAAACTCAACTACGCTCTGAAAGACTTACGTGGTGGCTGCGGGTGGCAACTACTAAACGGATCACCAGTATAACCTTCAGAGCATGTGCAAATAGGTGTATGATTGATAACGCTACAGTGTGCCGAAACACCGCAAGAACCGAGACACGGGTCTCTACATTTTTCCTTTATACACGCCAAATTGCTGGAACATTCCGCGTTGATCGTACATTCTGGGCGACAATTTGGCGGAGTGCCAATATAATTAGACAGACAAGAGCACGATGGAATGCCCCCTACGTCGCGACATTGCGAGTGTAGCCCGCACGGGGACGGCACGCATGGATTGACTACAATTGGAGTTGTAGGCGTTAAGGGAGCAGCTAAAATCAAAGGGTCATCCACGAGCAGGCAATACAGCAATCATCTTACGCGGAATAGAGTAACATCTGGTGAATGGATCTCCGGTATATCCGGGTGAGCAGCTGCATATCGGACTATGGTTAATAACGGTGCATTTCGATTGCAAACCACAGGTGGCAACACAAGGATCGTCGCATTTTTGATTAATACACGCCTTATTCGATGGACACTCGGAACTTACTGTACATTCTGGTCTACAACCTGGAGGGGTTCCAATGTAAGTAGGTAAACAGGAACATACAGCTTGCTGATTCACTTCCTTGCATTGACTGTTCGGGCCACAAGGAGACGGGGCACAAGGATTTCGTGCTTCTGGTGGAATCGCTAAAACACGACTGTATCACTGCTTACACAACGACATAAGCACTTACTTTCGGCTGATGCACGGTTGCAATACTTAAATGGATCTCCAGTAAAGCCAACAGTGCAGATACACGAAGGGAGATGATTAATTACTTGGCATTCCGCGTTCTGACCACAAGTGCCAGGGCACGGATTTTGGCATTTGCTCCGAATGCAAGCCAAGTTGGATGGACAGTCGGAATTCAAAACACATTCTGGCCGACAGCCTTCGTAGGGATTTCCCACGTAATCATCAAGACAAGAACATGAACCGGCTCCGTTACGTTCCTTACAAATCGCGTTAGATCCGCACGGGGAGGGAACACAAGGCGTGCGCTGCTCGACAGCAACAGGAGTTAACCTAGGCTCGCATCTGGTAAACGGATCACCGGCATAGTCCAAAATGCAAACACAATTCGGTGTATGACTGACAACGCGACATTCTGCATTTGTACCACACGCTCCGGGACAAGGATCCTGGCATCTTTGGTTCATGCAGGCGAAATGGCTGGGACACTCGCTGTTGCTCACACATTCCGGTCGACAATTTGGAGGCGCGCCAATGAACTGCGGTAAACATGAGCAAGAGGGCGAGTCTCCCGAGACTTTGCATTGCGAATATGGACCACAAGGAGAAGGCTGGCACGGGTTAAGGATCGGTGGTTGTTCTTCTTCTAAAAAGGATGTGATAATACAAATTCCACATGTCAAAACACTTACTTAATAGGAGACAGCGAGTAAATGGATCTCCTGAATATTGTGATGGGCAGCTACATATCGGATTGTGGTTTACAACCTGACACGTTGCACCAATTCCACAAGTGCCAGGACAAGGGTCGATACATTTTTGATTGACGCATGCAAAATTCAAAGCGCACTCTGCGCTACTCACACATTCCGGCCTACAATTTGGTGGGCTTCCAATGTAACCCATAACGCACGAACAAACGCCTTGGCCATTAATTTCGCGACACAAACTGTTTGGACCACATGGTGAAGGGCTGCACGGATGAATTGGGGCTGGTTCTAAAAACACTGTCAAACGTATCGCTTTAATCAGTGAGAATTACCTGGAAGTAAGTGGCACGAAACAAACGCACTTCCTGTGTAACCTCGGGGACAACTACACATAGGGATATGATTAACGACAAGACATTCTGCGTTGCTAGCGCAAGTTCCAATGCAAGGATCGACACATTTACTCCTGATACAAGCTTTCGATTTGTCGCAATCTGAATTTAAGACGCATTCAGGTCTACAGCCTTGGTACGGATCACCTTGGTACTCAGAAATGCAAGTACAAACGCCAGAGTGACATTGGGCATTGGAACCGCACGGTGAAGGGTTACATGGATCCTTTTTGGTTGGTTCTACATCTGGAAGTTCAGGTTTTTGAAATTGTACTTTTACTCACGAAACTTACGGGGAGGTTTCGGGTTGCAGCTACTGAACGGATCACCTGTAAAGCCCTCCGGACAAACGCAAATCGGAGTGTGATTAATTACACTACAACGTGCGTTCATTCCGCATAAACCTGGACACGGATCTCTGCATTTCTCTCTAATGCAGGTTTTAACAGTGGGACACTCCGAGTTAATGGTACACTCGGGACGGCAATTAGGCGGGCTGCCTGTGTATTCAGGTAGGCAAGTACACGAAGGTATGTCTCCAACATTGCGGCACTGCGAGTTGGGACCGCAAGGAGAAGGTACGCAGGGATTTAGATCGGCCGGTCGAGTAATCGCAGGTTGTGGAGCTAAAAAGAAGAAAATAACGTACGCGTTGGAGTGTAAGGTCAGCTTACTAGGCGCCTGGTAACAGCGAGTAAATGGATCGCCGCTGTATCTCGCTTCGCAACTACAAATCGGGCTGTGATTGATCACTTGACATTTTGCGTTTAAACCGCAAACGCCCACGCAGGGATCTGTACACTTTTGATTGACGCAGGCCTTGGATGATGCGCACTCTGAGCTGACAACACATTCAGGCCTACAGCCTGGTGGGGAACCTGAATAATTGGGCAAACAAGAACAAACTGGTTGACCGTTGACTTCGCGGCACTGACTATTTGGTCCACAAGGTGAGGGGTGGCAAGTTTGTTTAGGGGTTTCAGCTGAAAAGAAGTCATTATACGAATATGGATGTGATTAAATCGAAGAAATAACTCACGTTTTGGAGGTTCTTCATATTTGCAAAACCGGAATGGATCCCCTGTAAAGCTCGCTCTGCACGTGCAAGCAGGCAGATGATTTATAACTTGACAATCGGCATTCTGGCCACAAACTCCAGGACAGGGATCTTCACACTTATTTTTGATGCACGCTTGATTTGATGGGCAATCCGAATTTAATGTACATTCCGGTCGACAACCTTCGTAAGGATTTCCAATGTACTCTGAGAGGCAGATGCAGGAACCGGCACCGTTTTGCTCCCTGCATTGTGCGTTTGCGCCGCAAGGGTTGGGAACGCAGGGCGATAAATGCTCCTTTGTCGGAGAAATTGCGCGCGGAATGCATTGGGTGAACGGATCTCCGGTGTAGTCATTGATGCATACGCAGTTGGGAGTATGGCTAACCACTCGGCATTCGGCGTTTATACCGCAGATACCGGGGCAGGGGTCAACGCATTTTTGATTTATGCACGCCAGATGTGTAGAGCACTCATTACTACTGACACATTCGGGCCTGCAGTTGGGAGGTTGTCCAATGTAGGTAGGTAGGCAAGAACACGAAGGCGATTCTCCTGAAACTTTGCACTGGGAATGCGGACCGCATGGCGATGGTTTGCATGGATCAACTGGGACCAAAATTGGTTCATCTAAAACGAAAGGCCGTCACATACTTTCCCAGTTAAAGGTTTTATTAGTTACCGAAGAGACATCGAACAAAAGGATCTCCTGTGTACTGTGGTGGGCAACTACATATGGGATTATGATTTACCACCTGGCAAATTGCAGAAGCCCCGCATATGCCTGCGCATGGATCTATACACTTCTGATTCACACACCCTCGATTCAATGCGCAATCCGAGCTGAGGACGCACTCTGGTCTACAAGTTGGTGGAGTACCAATAAAACCGGGTACGCACGAACACACAGCTTGCTCGTTGATTTCTCTGCATTGGCTGTTGGGGCCACAAGGGGTGGGGTTGCAAGGGTGGAGCTTGGTAGGTTCTATCACAGGTGAACAAATAATGAAGGCGTTTCCTGCGTATCCTTTGGTACAGATGCACATTGGAATGTGATTGATCACGTTACACTCGGCGTTTTGACCACAAGTGCCGATACACGGATCTACGCATTTGTTACGCACACACGCCTGTGTTTTCGGACAGTCGGAGTTTAAAACACATTCAGGTCTGCAACCTCTATAAGGATCTCCATGGTACTCATCCAAACAAGTGCATTCGCCATTGTGGCATTGTGCATTTGATCCGCAAGGCGATGGATTACACGCGTCCTTTACTTCAGGTGTCTTAGCTGTGAAAGTTGTATATTTGATAACGTTATTTGTATTAATGAGTCTTACGTGGTGGAGGCTTGGGATAACAATTACTGAAGGGATCTCCTATGTAATCTTCCAGACAACTGCACACGGGAGTGTGGTTAATAACAGTGCACCTCGCACCGATGCCACACGATCCAGGACATGGGTCTCTACATTTCTCTCGAATACAGGCTTTGGTGCTGGGACATTCGGCACTAATGGTACATTCTGGTCTGCAGTTGGGAGCATTACCTACGTAATTAGGTAAACAAGAACAAGCTGGTGATTCTCCAATTGTTCTACATTGAGAGTTCGGTCCGCAAGGTGAAGGGACACATGGATTAACATCAGCTGGTTTTGGAAGAGGTGTTATGGCTAAAAAAATGCTTACTTAGGCAATAAAAATGAATGTTAAGCTCTTACTGGGCGCTGGGAAGCACCGCGTAAATGGATCCCCCGTATATCCAAACTGGCAGCTACAAATGGGACTGTGATTGATCACCTCGCAGTTTGCTTGAAGGCCACAAACTCCCGGGCAAGGATCAGTACACTTTTGGTCAACGCACGCTTTATTTAGGGGACATTCCGAGCTAACCACACACTCTGGACGACACGAAGGTGGATTTCCACGGAAATTTGGCAGGCAAGAACAAACTGCCTGCTCGTTAACTACGCGACATTGACTGTTTGGTCCACAAGGCGATGGTGTACAAGGCTGTTTCGGAGTTTCTATAACTGAAAGGAGGATTAAAACCACAAACCTTGCGACTTAGACATACTTTCTATCTCTGCGATTATGTGGCAATATCTAAATGGATCTCCAGTGTATCCCACGATACAGGTACATGATGGTAAGTGATTGATCACATGGCAATTGGCGCTTTGACCGCACGTTCCCGGACAGGGATCTTGACATTTGCCATTAATACATGCGCGGTTCGATGGACAATCTGAGTTTAACACACACTCAGGTCGACACCCTTCGTATGGATTTCCGATAAATTCTGGCAAGCAAGTACAGGCACCGGCACCATTTCGTTCTTTACACTGAGCGTTTACTCCACAAGGTGAAGGCTGGCAGGGCGTTAATGTCTCTTGGGGAAGTTCTGGAAAATGTCAGTATAGCACTTGCCGAGTGACAGGCGAGCTTACTTGAATTTTCTGTGCAGTAAGTGAAAGGATCTCCGGCATAACCTCCAATACAAACGCAGTTTGGCGTGTGACTCACAACTCTACATTCGGCATTTTGTCCGCACACCCCAACACACGGATCTTTGCACTTCTGATTAATGCAAGCCAAATTGCTAGCACATTCGCTGTTACTGACACACTCCGGCCGACAATTCGGAGGAACTCCGATAAAGTCGGGTAGGCACGAACAGGAAGGCGAATCACCCGCAACTTTACATTCAGAATAAGGTCCGCATGGCGACGGTTGGCAGTGATTGATTTGTGCCACCGGTTGTTCTGTCGCTAGAAAACTGGGTTAGCGTGATCTTTGAAAAGTTGGGGATGTCTTACGTGTTTTGAAACATCGCGAAAATGGATCACCGGAAAGATCGGTGGGACAACTACATATCGGATTATGGTTGAGCACTTGGCAAAGTGCGTTTAATCCACACGTGCCAGGACAAGGATCGATGCATTTCTGATTGACGCACGCTTGGTTTAAGGGACATTCGGTGCTAACGACGCATTCTGGACGGCAAGTGGGAGGGCTTCCAATAAATCCGGGCACGCAAGAGCAAACAGCTTGACTGTTAATCTCGCGACACTGGCTGTTCGGGCCACAGGGTGATGGTAAGCATGGATTTCGTATTTCAACTGAAAGTTTTCGATATGAAGTAGCCCGATGTTACTGTTGTAATTACCTATAAATTTATTGCACGAAACAAATGCGTTGCCGGTGAACTCTTCGGGACAGGAGCACATCGGGACGTGGTTCACCACCGTACAGATGGCGTCTTGACCGCAAGTACCAGGACATGGATCAATGCACTTATTTCGCAAGCACGCCATGTTTCTGCTGCAGTCACTGTTTAATACGCATTCTGGTCTGCATCCACGATATGGGTCCCCTTGGTATTCTGGTAGACAGGTACAAGTACCTTGGTTACATTCGGCGTTGGGGCCACAGGGTGAAGGAGTGCACGGATCAGATTTCACTGGGCCGGCTAAAAAAGTTGGGGTAATTGTATAATAAAAATTAGCTATAGCCGAGGGAATACGTTCTGTATTTAAATACTTTTCGTAAAATGGTTCATTTTTAAAATCAACGAATTTTTGGATGGAATAACTAAATTTTGAGTGACAAGTATTTAAATACCATTTGCATTCAACTGTGGAAAATTATCTTACGTTCAACTGGAGGTTTGGGATAGCAGTTCGAAAACGGATCTCCAGTATATTCGTCTGGACACAAACAGATGGGGATGTGATTGAAAACATTACACTTCGCTCCCAATCCGCAGGAACCCAAACACGGGTCTCTACATTTTTCCTGAATGCACGCCAGGTTGCTGGAACATTCCGAATTTATCGAGCATTCTGGTCTACAGTTCGGCGGGCTTCCAATGTAAGTCGCAAGGCAAGAACACGATGGGGATCCTCCAATGTCTCGACATTCGGAGTTAGGCCCGCACGGCGATGGAGCGCATGGTTCTCTAATTAATGGCGTTTCGGGTAAGCGCGGTGCTGGAAATGGACATTTACTTCGAGCCGGATTGAAATAAAGACTTACGAGGTGCAGGGAAACATCGCGAAAACGGATCGCCAGTATAATCAAAGCTGCAGCTGCACAACGGGCTGTGATTAATTACGTGACATTTGGCGTTAAGTCCACAAACTCCCGGACAAGGGTCGACGCATTTTTGCTGCACACAAGCTTGATGTAGTGGGCATTCGGAGCTTACGACACATTCTGGCCTGCACGCGGGTGGACTTCCAATGTAGCCTGGGGAGCATGAGCAGACAGCCTGTCCGTTTGCTTCCTTACACTGACTATTGGGACCACAAGGAGAAATCTGGCAGACATCGGTGGGGCGTTTATTAACCGCTGAAATTAACAATGTGCTTCATTGTATAAATCGTTTAACGACTTACGTTCAATGAACGGATTACAGTAACGGAACGGATCGCCACTGTAGCCAGGTTGACAAACACAAGACGGAAGATGGTTAATAACTTGGCAATTCGCGTTCTGTCCGCATGTTCCTGGACACGGATCTTTGCATTTACTATTCATGCAAGCTAAATTTGGTGCGCAATCCGAATTTAAAATACATTCAGGTCGACATCCTTCATACGGGTTTCCAATATAATCGGGTAGACAAATGCAGGCACCGGCTCCATTCCGCTCTTTGCATTGCGCATTTGCTCCACAAGGTGAAGGCTCACAGGGAGTTAGTAACTCGGGGACTAAGTGAGTCTCAACGGAGCACTGCACAAATGGATCGCCCTTGAAACCGGATAAGCAGGCACAATTTGGTGCGTGACTGACTACGCGGCACTCCGCGTTAACTCCACAACTTCCCGGGCAAGGATCTCGGCATTTCAGATTTATACACGCGAGGTGGATAGAACACTCGCTGTTGCTGGTACATTCCGGTTTACAGTTTGGAGGCGATCCTGTGTAATCTGGCAGACATGAGCACGAAGGCGAATCGCCAGACATTTTACACTGTGAATTGGGTCCGCATGGAGATGGTTGGCACGACGCTTTTTGAACTGGGATTACTTCTTCTACAAAATAAAACGGTAACGGGCTCAGTTGCCACGGAAGGACATCTTACTTATTTCCTGGCATCGAACGAACGGATCACCTGTATGTTGCAACAGGCAGCTACATATGGGATTGTGGTTCACTACTTGACAGGTCGCTAATATACCGCAAGTGCCTGGGCACGGATCGATACACTTTTGGTTCACGCATGCTTGGTTCAAGGAACACTCACTGCTGACCACGCATTCGGGTCTGCAAGTGGGCGGGGCACCCATAAAACCGGGCACACACGAACATACTGCGAGCTCTTGAACTTCTCGACATTGACTGTTTGGTCCACACGGAGACGGATTGCATGGGTGTTTGATTTCCACTTCTGAAAGGTGAGAGTTCAGCCTGGCTTGCAAATTTACAAAAGCTCATACCTCTACTGGGCGAACACAACACAAAGGCGTTACCTTCAAAGCCTTTTGAACATACACACGTGGGAATGTGGTTGACAACAGAGCACTCGGCGTTTTGTCCGCAAGTGCCGGGACATGGGTCCAGACATTTCTTCCCCATACACGCTTTATCCTTGGCACAATCATCGCTTATCAAACATTCAGGTCTACATTCTCGATATGGGTCGCCATGGTAATCCGGTAAGCAAGTACATAACCCTTTGAGACACTGAGCGTTTGGTCCGCAAGGTGAAGGGTGGCATGGATCTGAGATTTCTGGTACTTTTGGTGCTAGAATTTTCTCGGTTTAGTAATAATGGACGTAATTGGGGACACTTACGGGATGGTGCAGGGTAGCAATTAGTAAATGGATCTCCAACATAACCATCAATACATCTACACGTTGGGCTGTGATTGATTACAGAACAGTGAGCGCCTACTCCACACGAACCGGGACATGGGTCAATGCATTTATTACGAACACAAGCCTTATTGCTTGAGCATTCCGAATTGATGACGCATTCGTGTCTGCAATTTGGTGGACTTCCAATGAAACCTGGTAGGCACGAACATGAACTTAATCCCTCTCGATTTCGGCAATCTGAATTTAACCCACACGGAGATGGTACACACGGATCAGTCACAGTGGGGATGCGGGTAGGTAGAGGTGCTACGTATACAAAAATAAATGAACTGCAACCGGGAAAAAAAGCGCTTACTTGGAAGAGAATAACATCTGCTAAACGGATCTCCAGTGTAATCGAACTTGCAGCTACATACCGGACTGTGATTGATAACTTTGCAGTGCGTATTCAATCCGCATGTTCCCACGCATGGATCAACGCATTTTTGATTAACGCAAGCTTTTGTCGGTGCACACTCTGTGCTCGCAACGCATTCCGGTCTACAACCGGGTGGGCTACCTTCATAATTGGGCAGACAAGAACAAACAGCCTGTTCGTTTATAACGCGGCACTGACTGTTGGGACCACACGGTGATGGACTACACGGATTTGCACGTTCTTTTTTCTGAGCTAAAATAAATTGATAAAATTGAGTATGTACCAAGGCGCTATAGACACAAAAAATAACATTGTTGCAAGTTTCATTGCTTTGTGTACATGGTAAGAATATAGTCCTGGAACAGTCGACGGACAATGGACGGATTACGATAAAATTTTGTAGGTGGATTCTTTATCAAATTAGATCGGAGTTCGTGAATTCGCAATGTAGCCCAAAAAATAAAGAAGGCCCTTTTGACATCTCCGTGAGTTATGAACCGAATTGCATGAAATTCAATTTGCGTATAGCTTTAGCCATATAAAACGCAATTCCAAAAATTGAGTCTAATCGATCAACATTCACAGTGCCCTTTTCCCATCTCGACCATTTATAAACCGAATTGCAAACTTTTTATTTATGAAGCTATTTAAATGAAATTTGATACATAACCACTTGGAATAAAACTAAATTTAACGCCAGTTTCAAAATTTGGTTTTGCCAACTTTCTTATTTATGGAGGCATTTAAATAAAATTTGATACATAGCCACTTGAAGTAAAACCAAATTTAACGCCAGTTTCAAAATTTCGTTTTGCGTATGCGCAGCGACAACTTTCTTATTTATGGAAAGATTTAAATGAAATTTGATACATAGCAAATGTAGCGCCATTTTCCAAATTTGGTTTTGTGTAGGATGTGTAGTGCCAACTTTCTTATTTATGGAAGCAATTAAATGAAATTTCATACATATACACTTTAAATGAAAGCAAAACTAACATCAGGTTTAAAATTTGGTTTTGCACATGCTATAGCCTTACCCAGGAGCTCGTTTGCTATATTTGTTTAATTTATTAAAAAAACATGCTTCATAAACAACGGAGATATAAATCGACTGTTTCGAGACTTTTTACTTACTCTGTATATCTAATGGAGTCCAAATTTTCGGAAATGTTGAGGAAATTTTGCTTAAGCTCCATTTAATACCTATAATCAATAATCGAGGTTTCACATTTTAATAATAATCGCCTAATAATTAAACGACTATTGTTGGTAGGTAATCGATTAATCAAGATATTAGATTACCTATTGATAATAAACGGCGAGTTGTTTGAAAATCACAAAATCAAAATAAACGATGATTTTTAGAAATCGATTATCAATTGCTCGAACTTATAATCGCCAACAACAATGTTATTTTTTCGACACACGCCATATATAAGGGTGTTGTGGGCAAACTTACGTTCAATCACATGACTGCAATATCTAAATGGATCTCCGGTAAATCCGTGGGTGCATGTGCAGGAAGGTAGGTGATTAACCACTTGGCAATTGGCATTTTGGCCGCAAGTTCCCGGACACGGATCTTGACATTTATTTCGAATACAAGCACGATGCGAGGGACAGTCGGAGTTCAACACACATTCCGGGCGACAGCCTTCGTAAGGGTTTCCGATGTAATCGGTGAGACAAGTGCAGGATCCGGCACCGTTGTGTTCTTTACATTGGGCGTTGGGTCCACAAGGCGATGGCACGCATGGGGTCAGATGTTCAGGTTCGATTACAGTCACTTTAGGTTGGCAATGAGAGAATGGGTCACCAGTATAGCCAGCGAGACATGCGCAGTTGGGGGTATGGCTTATTACTCTACATTCGGCATTCAGCCCGCAGGTGTTAGGGCAGGGATCCTTGCATTTTTGATTAATACAAGCCAGTCGAGATTCGCATTCGCTGTTGCTTATGCACTCCGGTTTACAATTTGGAGGTGATCCGCTAAATCCAGCTAGACAAGAGCACGAGGGTAACTCATGTATCACTTTACACTGTGCGTGAGGTCCACAAGGTGACGGGTTGCATGGGTTCACCGGTTTGGTTTCCGCAGCTAAAATGGATAGTTAAAAGGTAACAATCGAAAGGAGTCCACCTACGTCTTATGTAACATCTAGTAAATGGATCACCGATGAAGTCGCGAGGACAGCTGCATATTGGGTTGTGGTTAACCACCTGACAGAGGGCACTAACACCGCAGGTGCCAAGGCATGGATTGCCACACTTTTGATTAACGCAGGCTTCGTTCAATTGGCACTCTGCGCTGACCAAGCATTCAGGACGACACGTTGGTGGGCTACCAAGAAAACCAGGTACACAAGAACAGACACTTTGGCCGTTAATTTCCCGACATTGACTGTTTGGTCCACAAGGTGAAGGATGGCACGAACCTTTCAGTGACGGTGCTAAAAGGAGAACATTAGACCACGCGCGAATGAAATGTGCAGATGCTACTTTTGATGATGTTGCAAAGAACGAAGGCATTTCCCACACGTCCTGGTGGGCAACTACACATAGGTATATGATTTATGACTTGGCATTCGGCGAATTCACCGCAAGTTCCTACACAAGGATCCTGGCATCTGCTTCGAATACATGCTTTATCTTTGGCGCAATCCGCGCTTAGAAGACATTCAGGTCTACAACCCCTGAACGGATCCCCTTGGTGATCAGGCAAGCACGTGCAAACTCCGGAAATACACTGCGTATTTGCACCACACTGTCCGCACGGGTCAGTTGTCTTGGGAGGTACCGCTACAAAACCTTTAGTTAAACTAAACTGGCAACGCTGGTGCGTAGGCTTACTTGGTGAAGGTGGAATCGGATGGCAATTATTGAATGGATCACCTGTAAAACCTGAAAGGCAACTACATACAGCTGTGTGTTTGGTTACGTGACACTGTGCGTTAATTCCACAGGAGCCGGGGCACGGATCGCGGCACTTTTCGCGTATACACGCTTGGTTGCTGAGACAATCCGAGCTTATTGTGCATTCCGGTCTGCAGTTGGGTGGAGCGCCGATGTAACCGCTCACACACGAACAGGATGGAGATTCGTTAATTTCGCGGCATTCTGAGTAAGGTCCGCAAGGAGAAGGTGCGCACGGGTTCATGTGAACCTTTGGAGGGCTTGGAGTGGGTGCTAAAATGTTAATTGTAGCCTTGCTTACGATGGAAGCGGCTTACGTGGTAATAAATAGCATCTAGTGAACGGATCTCCGGTATGTCCAGGGGAACAACTGCATATTGGACTGTGATTTATAACCTCGCATTTGGTACGTAATCCACAAGTGCCAATGCAAGGATTCGAGCATTTTTGGTTGATACACGCGTTAGTCGGTGGACATTCTGAGTTGACCACACATTCTGGACGGCACGTGGGTGGGGTTCCAATGTATCCGGATAGACACGAACAAACGGGTTGCTCGTTCACCTCGCGGCATTGGCTGTTGGGACCACAAGGTGTAGGGGTACAAGGGTGTGACGGTTCAGATTTGGTAGCTATAAAATGTTTTATGTGACTGGTGAAATTGTACGGTAATGATTCTTACGGGTTACGGCTATGGTACAATAACTGAATGGATCTCCTGTGTAACCCGATCTGCAGGTGCACAGGGGTAGGTGGTTTATAACTTGACACTCCGCATGTTCACCACATGTTCCAGAGCACGGGTCTTGACATTTGTTCTTAAGGCACGCACGGTGTGAAGGACAGTCCGAGTTGTATAGGCACTCGGGTCGGCAACTTTCATATGGGTTTCCTATGTAGTCTTGCAGACAGGCACAGGAACCGGCACCATTTTGTTCCTTACAAATTGCATTGGTACCGCAGGGCGACGGGGTACAGGGATGACTGATTTCACGGGGCGGGGAAACTGAAATTGTTTTCATACCTTTAATATTTTCCCATTATTTTACCACTAAACTTTGTTACTGCTTTTTGTAGTTAGGGTTTGCTTGTGGGGGTTTAAGCGTATAAAGCATTAGGGTTATAACCTATCATTTTTTCGATATAAATCGCGCTTAAGCTCATTTTCGATCACCTTATTTTCGTGTTGGGCAAGCCTAATGTATTAATACCTAATTTGAGTTAATGGGGGGTTGCGTGGGCAAGAGCGGGAGGATTTGTTGTATGCTGAAGCCGTTGTTGTTATCGTTGGAGGACTAGCCTTACCTTCAGTTGTCCTCTTAAGCGTAAAGCATTATTACAGCAAAAGCGAGCATGCTACACCATATGTTATACTTATTTAAACTTTTAGTATTGGCATACTTTTATATGTGACGATGTTTACTGTTGAAATGGCTGAGGCATTTTCCACAGAATAAAACCTTCACAGAACAGAAACATAAATGGCGCTAAATTGTCACTGATTACAGCGTTTCCCGTGGTTGTACGGAGAACTATTTATCGCAGACTCAAATATTTTTTTGCAAAACCTGTAATTTTGCTCGTTACAGGAATAGTATTTTACATTATTAGCCAGGTAAGTGGGTTTTTACTGGCGATAGGAGAAGTTAACTGGCGAGCCGTTAGGCGAGCCTGTCATCTCCTAGAGCCAGTAAAAACTATTACCTGGCGTATAATGTACAATATTTTATTTGTTACTCATTTGTAAACGTAAATAATTAGTTCTTAAATTGATCTTGAAGAAATGTCTAAAATATCATGTGATCCATGTAACAGAGACTTCGCATTAATTCTGGCCAATGAAATTACTAGATTACTAACTTGTAAAATTTTTACAAGTCTGCTGTTGCATTTATGTCTACATAATAATTAAAATTTCTTGTAAACCAAATTGTGTAGGGTAAAGTGTATTAAAAAGCCATAAAAATGATCAACACTGCATTTTTTTAGAATATATGCCTTATGTAGTAGGCAACCCATAATACACATGTGTATGTATGTGTCATACTTAAAACAATTTCCCAAAAGTTACTAAATTTAGTAACTTTTTCGGATGTAAATCAGACTTTTCAATTTACTCCTCTTAGTTTAAAAACAGAGTATAAATACACTTTAATTTAACAACTGTGTATTCTTTATCGATATTTATGATTTAGATCGAATTGGGGGAAATTACTTCATGGCTTTAGAAGCTGGTCACCAGATGGCGCTACTATGATTTTAATGCTAAAGTCACTAGATATAGAAAGTACCGCAATCATCCGCCATTTTTGGGCAAATTTGCTGCCAACTTAAAAAAATTGACAAATAAAATCTGAATAGCTGTAATTTTTTATAACCTAACTTCATAGTACTGTCATGTTTTATAAAAATATATAGGTACAGACATCTCCAAACAGATGGAACAATCCCTAACATTAAAGTTACTAGAATCTGGTAACTTTCGCCATTTTTGGGCAAAAATCATGCGTTCTCTCTCTAACACACGAGCCCAATGGATTGCGGTACTTTCTATATTTAGTGAAGTGACTTTATTTAATGCTTTAGTTCACAGCACACCCACTAAGATCCGCCAAAATACCATACAAATTTGTAACATTGCTGTTTCTATTCTGAGAAGGCCGTATTCTGTGGCATTTTCTAATTGACCGAAGATCTATTTGTCATTTGTCAATTAGTGCAATTTGACAGACATATGTTTCAATTAGATCTAATTGAGAGACAAATCTTCCAACTAGCTAACATTAATGGTGCGCTTATTCTATCATTGTCATTAGTTTACTATCACGAGACCATTAAGAAACAGCCAATAGAAACAAAGACATGGTTTCGTTGGTTAGCCACGCACAATAAACATTTGTTTCTATTGGTTATTGGTCTAATGATAGTGAACTTGATAATGATTCTATAAACCCAACATTCGTTATGTTTGACGAGCTATTCGCCCCTAATTGAGGCCTTTTAAATATAGCAATCGCACATTTAAAAGTATGGTACACATTTAAATAACACTTTACACATGCAGTTTTAAGTATGGAGCACACACTCTCGCGGATAGGATCATATATATCTACAACTGATGATAATACCTACACATTTCACAAAATGTGCATTACTAAATTTTTCCTTCGTAATATAATTGCAATATAATGATAGGTGGGTAGCTACCTATTTTTACATTTTTTACTTTCAATAAATATCTGGCACTAGTGGCGCTGGTATTTTAAGATAGTGGGTCGAATTTATGATCTTGAGGTAGTACACAAAAGACCTAAAGATCTTATTACGAAATAAAGTTCTGAAAGGTTTCTATATACACAAGAACATGGATTCCATAATACTTTCAAATAATTAAATGCAATAATGGCGAAATTTATTTGAGGGAACCTGTAACTACGTCGGATTGGCACATAACATTAAACGTTGTACTAGATTATTGAACAAAATGGTGTCGTGGAAACACATTTCGCAATCGACGCCGAGGCTGTGTAGATTTCGGAGCAGTTATCACGAAAGATGCGTACCCTTCTCCTTACATCCATTAATATGGAATAATTGAAAGAAAACTTGGGGGCTTGAAGATTTGATAATTCAAATAGTTCAAAGGCTGAGTAAGAAAATATCCGAAAATCGGAAAATTTTAATACCGTCGTGCAAAACAAAAAATATATCAAAATTGAAAAGTGAAAAACTAAAAAATTCAAAAACTTGAAGGCGCGAAAAACCTCAAGAAGAGTGATTAAAAAACTCAGAGAATTGCGAGGTAGCTGGGAAGCTGGGCGACTGAAAGATCTGAATACATGAAAACGCGAGGTCTTAAAAATCCGAAAACCTAAAATCTGAAGAACTAAAAGTCTCATCAAAGATTGAAAAGGCGAAATACCCATATTAAAGGAGGAAAGCACTTGAAAACGTGGCATTTTCCATTTTCCAGGAAATTTGTCGGATAGGTATTATCGCATGATCAGGACGTTGTGCGTGGGTGCACCATCCTGTTGAAACCAACATATGACGTATACGTATAGCGCTTAAAGCGTAGTAATATGAACGCATAAGGTAAAATGAAATTCAACGCTTGACTGCAGAGTCAACTCCAAGCAGAAAGCATGACGCTAAAGGTTATAAAAATATTAAAAAATTTTGCATCGACCAGGGATCGAACCCGGGCCGCCAACGTGGCGGCAACAACGATTAGACGAACGACGGCTAGCATCTTAGGCCCGGTGCACACGCCGGTTTTTAAACGTACGGTGCCGGTCCGTTCATGCAACGGCACCGTACGTTTAAAAACCCGACATGCGCACCGGCCCTTGATAGACACAGATGGCTGAAAATTTGCGACGTTTAACGCTTTAGGGCTGTCAATTTTGGTTGAAGAACATTAAATAACGTTACTTTGGAGATGCCTACTCGCTCCCCTATGTTTCATCAAAATTTGATAGCGAGTCAAACATCTTACTTCCTGGCGCTATACGACACAATTCTTTCCTGTCAATAATAATTTGTTTGTGTACAACGTTTAATGTTGAGTAACAACCACCTCGTGCCAATTTTGTAGTTGATTCTTGGACTAAAAACGTCCATTGCATATATGTCAATTTATCTAAATAATTGATTGAGTTATCAAATAAATATATACAACGAATATGGCAAACTCGAAACTATCAAAAATCTGCTGGGTCTGCTAATTAAAAAAATATTAAAAATCCTGCGATTCGGTGTGCTTCCAAACTTAATGATAAGTAGATAATATTTCAAAAATCCTACCTGGTGTGATGATGCATCCAGTGAAGGGATCGCCATTATATCCGGAAAGACAGCTGCACACAGGACTATGGTTTATAACACTGCACACAGCGTTCGAACCGCACGAACCCGGACACGGATCGCGACACTTCTGATTAATACACGCGAACTGACTCGGACATTCCGGATTTATGATGCACTCGGGTCGACAATTCGGAGGAGCGCCGGTATAGTTCGGCAAGCACGAACACGCCGGATTTTCGCCGCGCACTTGACACACGGAGTTCGGACCGCACGGCGTCGGTTGGCAGGGGTTGACAGGTTTGGGCTTCTCTTTCACCTCGGGAAGACATCTGGTGAACGGATCACCGCTGTATGCATTGTCGCAGCTGCATATCGGATTGTGGTTTATCACTTGGCACCTTGCGCTAATTCCGCACGTTCCCAAACAGGGATCTTGGCATTTGTTATTTAAGCACGCCTGGGTTAATGGACATTCAGCGCTTACAACGCACTCCGGTCGGCAAGTCGGTGGATTACTAATGTATCCAGCTTGACAGGAGCATACTGCAACATCATTGACCACTTTGCACAAACTATTGGGGCCGCACGGTGAAGGATTGCACGGTTCCACTGATTTTTCGGGTATTCTTGGTACTGGGCGGCATATGGTGAACGGGTCTCCCTGATAGTTAGCTATACAACTGCATGTCGGAATATGGTTAATTACATCGCATTCGGCATTCTGCCCGCAAGTACCTGGACATGGATCAATACATTTATGATTGCTGCACGATTTGCTTGGCGAGCAATCTGTATTCATAGTACATTCCGGTCTACATCCCACATAGGGGTCTCCTTGGTATTCTGACAGACAAGTGCACACACCGTTGCCTGAGCATTGAGCATTCGCACCACAAGGGGATGGATAACAACCGTCAGGTTTGGGAACTTTGGGTTCCTCAGGTTTAGGCGAGCACTGTACGAAGGCATCACCAACATAACCGCTGATACACGTGCAAATTGGTAGATAATTCTGTACTCTGCACTCTGCGTTAAAACCGCAAGAACCAGGGCAAGGATCGCGGCACTTCTCCGTAATACATGCCAAATTCGATGGACAATCTGTATTGACGACGCATTCGGGTCGACAGTTCGGTGGGACCCCGATGTAGTTAGGCAAACAAGAGCAAGAGGGCTGTTCGTTGATTACTCTACATGCCGAATACAGACCACAAGGCGATGGTATACACGGATCGACGTGCTTGGGTGGCGTTATCGGAATGAGCACCTCGTAGCACCTTACAAACGGATCTCCGCTGAGCCTTTCCGGACAGCTGCATATGGGGTTGTGGTTAATCACCTCGCATCTGGCACCGAGCCCGCAAACTCCTTTGCACGGGTTGCTACATTTATATCTATAACACGCCTGATTTTGTGGACATTCCGAACTGACGGTACATTCAGGTTTGCAATGCGGCGGCGAACCTGTGTATTCGGGTAAGCAAGAACACACGCCTTGACCGTTCACGTTGCGACATTGGCTGTACGGTCCACATGGTGAAGGCAAACAAGGATCTTGGAGAGGGCTTTCAGTAGGATCTGCAACAATCAAAATTGTATTAAAGTCTGAAATTATGTACGATAAATATTGCTGTGTTTTTCTAACCCTACCGTGATTATTATTTCATTAATTTAGTAAATTCCACTGATTTGGCAGTAGTTTTAAAATTTCCGTACTGAAAGGAAAGATCGAGTTCACGTGTTCGTATTTTCTTTGCTATCATTTTAGTGTAAATAAATAATGTCATCAGTTTTGACGTTTTAAGAGTAGGTAATTGAGTTTAAATACAAGATAAGGCATACCCGTCACATTTCTTCATTAACTTTAAAAGGAAACAGTATTTGTGAGAGAAAGAGGGAAGTTTTGACATTCACTGCTTTGAATTATAGCACGCTTAAACTTAAAAGAAAGTAATGCGGTTTTCACTGGGTTAATTTTTAATTTAAAATTTAAGGAGGGGTCTGTCCAGCAGATAAGTGCACTCGAACTCGCCGGCGATATTGTACTTCTAGCATATACTCGGTCAATATCGAGCAATCTTTAACAAACAACATTTTATTTGTTTATAAAATTTGAATTTTTTGTAGCTTATAGGGCACAGCAATATCTTAACAAGCACTTTTGAAATTTGTAATGTTCCTAACTGGTTGCTAATTATATAGAACCACGGATTGTTTTTTGAAGCGAAAGTACTTACATATGGGTGTAGGTTCAACTCTGCATCCGGCAAATGGATCTCCAACATATCCGGCGACACAGCTGCACGTGGGCACGTGATTAATCACAGCGCACTCAGCAAACGGACCGCAAATTCCAGGGCACGGATCTTGACACTTATTTCTTATACAAGCCTTAATCGTAGGACAATCTGAGCTAAGCACGCATTCGGGTCGGCAACCTTCGTAAGGATTGCCATGGTAATCGTCAATACATGTACAGGCTCCTGCGCCATTTCTCTGTTCACATTTCGCATTCGCTCCGCACGGCGACGGCTCGCACGGGTTCTGTATTTCGATCTTTTTAACGACACACTGAACGAACGGATTTCCAGTGTAACCATTTGCACACGAGCACGTAACCATGTGAGAGATAACCCGACACTCTGCGTTCTCCCCGCAACTACCGGGACATGGGTCTTTGCACTTGTTGTTAATACAAGCCTGTGTACTTGGACAGTCTGGATTTATAACGCACTCTGGACGACAATTTGGTGGGTTTCCAGTGTAGTCTTGGATACATTGACAGGATGGTATATCACCTACTGCTTTGCAAAGAGAGTTTGGACCACACGGTGATGGTAGACAGGGGTTTATAACTTCAGGTGGATATGTCACCTTAGGCAACTCAGTGCAACTTTGGAATGGATCACCCGTCTGTCCTTCTCCGCAACTGCAAATAGGGCTGTGGTTGATGATTTCGCATCTAGCGCCTAAGCCGCAAGAACCGAGACATGGATCGATGCATTTTTGGTTTATGCAAGCTCTTGTTGGCGAACATTCTGCGCTGACAATGCATTCCGGCTTGCATGACGGAGGCGTTCCCATGTAGCCTTGCAGGCAAGAACACACCCCGTAATCGCCAATATTTTTGCATTGGCTGTTGGGTCCGCATGGTGAGGGATTGCAAGGATCACGATGAGCAACTGGTGTTAGCGGCGTCTTGCGACAGTGTGTGAACGGATCTCCGGTGAACGATTCCGGGCATGAGCACACAGGAATGTGGTTTATAACATCGCAAGTGGCGTCTATTCCGCAAGTGCCAGGGCAAGGATCAACGCATTTATTACGTATACAAGCTTTATTTCGTGGACATTCATTTCCGAGCACACATTCTGGCCTGCATGCCTCGTAGGGATTTCCTTGATAGTCTGAAAGGCATTTGCAAACACCTCCTGGATGGCACTCTGCGTTAGCGCCGCAGGGTGACGGATTGCATGGATCTTCAGGCACTTTCGGTTCGGTGATTACTATAAGAGAACATTGTGTGAAAGGATCTCCGGTGTGTCTCTCTTCGCATGTACAGATTGGCAGGTGATTCAGCACGTGACATTTTGCGTTGTATCCACAGGAACCCACGCAGGGATCTTGACATTTCTTGTTGATACACGCCAGCTGGCTCCCACACTCGGTGTTCAAAACGCATTCGGGTCTACAATTGGGTGGACTGCCAATGTGATTTGGCAAACAAGAGCACGATGGAACATCTCCGTGCATTTGACAGTGCGAGTTTGGTCCGCAGGGTGAAGGGTAGCATGATGGTGGTCTCTCAGTGACAATTACAGGATCGATCGCTGTGAAAAAAGTTTGCAAATTAAACAATACAACACGAACCAAAGAGCTTACGTAAAGGATGGCAATGTGTAAATGGATCTCCAGTATATTTAGCTGGGCAGGCGCAAATTGGGTTATGATTCTTAACTGTGCATTGTGCTCCGATGCCACAAGTATTTGGACAAGGATCCGCGCATTTTTGATTAACACATGCCTTATCCAATGGGCACTCAGAACTAACGACGCACTCTGGACGACATTGTGGAGCGTTACCAATATAGTTTGGAAGGCAAGAGCAGACTGCAAGAGCGTTGACATTTCTGCATTGACTGTTTGGACCACACGGTGAGGGCTGGCAAGGGTTTGTTTGCGGTGGAGCTATAAGTACAAAATTAGTAAAACTCTACGAGGCGCAATGGTCAAATTACGTGTTGGTGGCAGTTGGCGACACTGGAAGAATGGATCACCAGTGAATCCTGGTAAGCAACTACAGGCGGGAATGTGATTTTCAACATGGCATTGAGCTTCAATTCCGCACGTTCCAGGACAAGGATCGACACACTTGTACGAAACGCAAGAAAGCGTAGGAGCGCACTGGCTGTTCGTTTCGCACTCTCTACCACAACCAACCGCTTGATCGTACGGGTTGCCTTCAAATCCAGGCGCACAAATGCAAGAACCGGCCGAATTACGTTCCCTGCACTCAGCGTTTGGTCCGCAAGGTGACGGGAAGCACGGTGAGGTAGGTGGCGTAGGCTCGGTAGCTAAAACATCAATGTTCACACAATTCGTAAATATCACAATTGCGCTTACATGTAAGTGGAACTAAATGACAAGCCGAGAAGGCGTCACCAATGTATCCAGGCAAGCAGGAGCATACCGGGCTGTGATTTACAACCGTACATATCGCGTTTAATCCGCACGAATCTGAACAGGGGTTTACGCATTTTTCGTGTATGCACGCCAGATTATTCGAGCACTCGGAATTGATAGTGCATTCTGCCCTACAGTTTGGCGCGCGACCGACGTAGTTCGGAAGACAAGAGCATGCAGCAGAGTTGCTAACCACCTTACATTGAGAATGTGGTCCGCAAGGTGAAGGATTGCATGGTTCAACTTTCGGAGTGATAACTACTATAGAGGATGATAATCACAAGTGTTACGATTAGTTGCGGTACTTACCTTCGGCCTTCTGGCAACTTACAAACGGATCACCTGTATAGCCGAGCATGCAAGTGCAAATCGGATTGTGATTAACAACTTGACACTTGGCGTTCAGGCCGCACGTTCCGGGACATGGATCTTTGCATTTTTGTTGGACGCACGCTTGATTTTGTGGACATTCCGAGCTGACGACGCACTCCGGTTTACAACTTGGAGGTGTTCCAATGTAGCCTTGATTGCACGAACAGACCGCGTGGTCTTGAATAACACGGCACTGGCTGTTAGGTCCGCACGGAGAAGGATCACATGGATTTTTGGGTACTACAACTGTACAAAAAAGCGTTTAAATTCGTGCTGGCAATGTTTTTCCGCAAATTTGCGTTGGAATGTCAATGTTGTGCACTTAGACCATATAGCACATGGACTGCTATTATCTCTCTTTCAATACAAAATGGGTGGTCACGGACAGAGGGCACCGCAGTCGTGGGTATGTGAATCTCAGGGTAAACTAAAGTCGTGTAAACACCACTCGGATTGCGTAAAGAGATGATATTTATTTGTTTTGATAGTACACATACCACCTAATATTAATCTAAGCGTCAGACCGCGCGCTCGCGGTGGGTAGATATGAGGGAGGTCGAGGAACATGTCAAAAAAAGTTGCAAAAAAACTTATAGTATGCACGATGATTTTTTTTGAGTAGGATATTTAAACACCATATTTGATAATAGTACTCGTCAGACGCTGATTTGGTGGTGGAATGTGCGTTAGTCACACGTGCGAAGTTGTCGGAAAAATGGAAAATTAATCTTAAAGAGTATGCAACTTAAAATTTATATGGGTGATATGATAGTTTATAGTGCATATCACCCAAACCCAACCGACAGACGTCACGATCATGGCGGAAAGGCGAATTCGATTGCTACTATACAGGAGTGGTGTAAAATGTCACAGTATTCGCTCGGCTATCATTAGGTACCTCCATAATGGACCGAACAGGTTTACTAAAGACGCAAGACATTACAGCTGATTTTCAAAGCAATAGAAAAAGGAAGCGTACTGATTCAAGTAGAATCAGTTATTACTCATATACAGCATTATCCGAAAGTATTGATAAGCAATGTTTACGTAACATTTCAAATGGACGAACTGTGAATGAAAATATTGAAAAATTTCTATTGACTATAGGGAACACAGCAAAATACTTTCCTCAGAGTGTTCACAAGATAGAGAAAGATTGGAAAAAGTGAAATACACACAAAAGGTGAAATTTGCAAAACCAATAAATGAATTCTATTGCATTTGTTAGAAAAGGAAATTTAGAGTTCAGAGCCCCAAAAATGTGACGTTATGGTTTACGATGGACTTTTACCAACCGCACGTTAGAAAGCATTGGGGTAAAAAATGACCCCCCCCCCCCCCACTTATCAAGCACCAGGAATCCGAATCCGAAACAAAATCTCAATGATATCGGTCTGTCACACCCCCTGTACTCTCATTTCCCGCTAAACGACTGAACCGATTGGAACCAAATTTGGTACACTCATTCGTAGATATAAAAGGACAGAATCGCGGATGCGCAGATCACAGATGTGCAGGTGGTATCTGTGCTGGCCACAACAAATTTTTTAATCATTCAATTCATTCTTTGAAATATTCGGTAATAATTTCAAAAAAATATTCCGTATGTTTATGAATACTGATGCGAAAATTATCGTAATAGAATTCGATCGTTATTTCACCTTCTGTGTGACAAAGACAGTGAAACTGGAGTAAGCGGATACGATAGTATCGATATTCAAAGTATTCTTCAGAGACAATCGCCGTAATTTTTCGAATAGATCACTCAGCATCTTCACAATACGTTAGTTATTAATACTGTATTTTTATTGGTTTTTCGAAACTGGCTTTATCTTGTGAACATTCTCTTATGAAAGATTGTTGTTGTTTATTACCTACGTTGCTCACATTCAATAGAAATTTTTAAATATGTTCATTCACAGGTCGTCCAATTGAAATTTTATATAAAAACTGCTTGTCTATAGTTTCGGACACTGGATTTATGTTAGTTCTGCTTTATATGAGTAATAAATGATTCTACTTAGTTCTAGTGGTCTAGTCTTTTCATAAACCTGTTCTGTGGTATGGAGGTAATAATCGTCGAAAAAATGCGTTGGTTTTTTTACACTACCCCTCTCTAGCAGCAATCGAATTCATCTTTCCACCATGATCGCGGTGTCTGCCGGTTGGTTTTGGGTGATATGCACTATAAACTATCATATCACCCATATAAATTTCAAGTTGCATACTCTTTAAGATTAACTCTTAAAATTAATTTTCCATTTTTCCGACAACATCGCACGCGTGACTGACGCACATTCCACCACCAAATCAGCGTCTGACAAGTACTATTATCAAATATGGTGTTTAAATATCCTACTTTTTTGCAACTTTTTTTGACATGTTCCTCGACCTCCCTCACATCTACCCACCGCGGTCTGACGCTTAGATTAATATTAGGTGGTATGTGTACTATCATAACAAATAAATATCATCGTGCATACTATGGTACGTTGAAAAGTAACACTACCTCCCGGACTATAGGAATAGGTTTGCTTTTTTGGCATATCTAGGCGAATTAATTGACGTTTGTTAATTTATAGGTTGACAGTCTCAAATCGTGTCTCATCGGACAACTTCGAACAGACTCGTTTACCCTGAAAGTCACATACCCTGGCGATGTCCTTGACCATATTTTAGTTACAATTAGTAGTCCATGTACTATATGGTCTATCGTTGTGCATCAGATTAAAGAAATTCAATTGTTTTTGAATTTTGAAAACAATGTTGTGTTATGTTGAGTGGGATTACATTTTTCTTTCAATTATGAGAACTCCACTGATGATAATGAACATTGGAACATTGGAATGTTCATTATCACAGTAACATATACCATTTACATTTGCCATAGTATCACGGCACAAAATTTTAAGAAAAAATCATCGATTGGACTTTGAAAAATATTACCTTTTTCCATGGGTATGCATGATCTGGTGGGGTCGCCAGTGTAATCTTGTATACAAATGCAAGACGGTGCGTGATTGAACACTTGACATTCTGCATTTAATCCGCACGTTCCGGGGCACGGATCAACGCATTTATTATTAACGCAAGCTTTCGTTTTGTCGCAGTCGGTGTTGATGACACATTCAGGACGGCACCCAGTGTAGGGATCGCCAAAGTACTCGGGTAAGCAACTGCAAGAGCCAACTCCCCTCTGTTCTTTGCACACGGCGTTGGCCCCACACGGCGACGGGTTGCAGGGTGTTCTCGGTTCTTCCGTAGTAGGTGCTATAAACACATAAAAAAATAACTAACCATTCTATTTGTAAGCGTTACGCAATTCTTACTAGGCGGAATTGGTGTACACAATGAGAATGGATCTCCAGTATAACCAGAAACGCACTGGCACACTGGAGCATGCTTAATTACAATGCAGGTCGTAAATGAACCGCATGAACCAGGGCAAGGATCTTTACATTTCTCATTTTGACAAGCTAAATTTCCCGGACATTCTGCATTTATTGTACACTCAGGCCGACAGTTTGGAGCACGACCGATGTAATTCGGTAAGCACGAACATGCTGCTTGATTTCCGATAACCTTACATTGCGAGTTAGGCCCACACGGTGATGGTACACATGGATTTCCAGTATCAATAGGTTTTTCTAAAATATACACAGTACATGCAAAGAACAAGACATGCAAGATAAAATGGAAACTAAAACGTAATGTGTAGCATCAGTGGATTAGCTTCTATATACATATTTGCGGTTTGCAATTATATACATTATTGTGTTTAAATAGGTCTATGAAATATTTACAAAAAGTGCATTGTTTTATGAATACACAACAATGATATAACATCAACCAATGCTGCACAAACACGATCTACATACAATAGATGAAGAAGAAATTGAAATCTTACTTATTTCTGGTACGCATCTAACAAATGGATCGCCTGTAAAATCAGGCGAACAACTACATATAGGGTTATGATTGACAACTTGGCAGCGTGCATTGAGGCCACATGTACCAGGACAAGGATCCTGACATTTAGTCTTAATGCAAGCCTTATCCTGTGGGCAATCAGCACTGATCATACACTGTGGCCGACAAGCTGGCGGTGTTCCTACATAGTCAGTTTGGCAAGAACACACTGCATGTCCATTTATAGCACGACATTGACTGTAAGGGCCACAAGGTGAAGGTTGGCAAGGTTCCTCATGCACAGCTATTTAAAGAAAGTAAAATAAAATACAGTAAAAGCACACAAAGATAGATCTTACTAGGTTGCGGTACGTGACAGGCCGTTAGCGGATTTCCAGAATATCCAGAGATACATGTACAAGAAGGAGCGTGATTATTTACATGGCATTCCGCGTTTATTCCACATGTTCCAGGGCAAGGATCTTTGCATTTATTATTTACACACGCTTTGTCTCGTGGGCAATCTGAGTTCGTGACACATTCTGGTCTACAACCAGTGTATGGATCTCCAAAGTATTCTGATATGCAAGTGCAAGATCCGACTCCGTTTCGTTCTTTACAAATGGCGTTTGCACCACAAGGAGACGGATTGCAAGGATTACGTGTCTCTGTCGGTTTTTTAACTGAAACGAATGTAGTGAGATAGGTAAACATTGTGGGATAAGCTCTTACTGGCAATAATCGTACACCCTGCGAAAGGATCACCGGTATACCCTGATTGGCATGAGCAAACCGAGCGGTGATTTATCACAACGCAACCGGCATTTATGCCACAAGAACCAGGGCATGGATCAATACAACGTTCATTTTGGCAAGCGTGATTCGGAGAGCATTCCGAATTTATGGTACATTCCGGTCTACAGTTTGGAGAGCGTCCTACATAGTTTGGCAGGCAGGAACACGCGGGCGTGTTTCCGACCACGCGGCACTGAGAAAATGGTCCGCATGGGGATGGTATGCAAGGATTGGTACTTGGTACAATTTCTGGTTTCTCTGCAAATGTCGATTTTAGTTCACTTTACAACGAAAGGCACGATCTTACTAGGCTCGGGAATGCATCTAACAAAAGCGTCCCCTGTAAATTCGGGTGGACAACTACAAATGGGGTTGTGATTCACGACTTGGCAACGCGCATTAAGTCCGCAGGTACCAGGACATGGGTCTTGACACTTGCTATTGATGCAAGCTTTCGTTGGTGGACAATCAGCGCTGATCATACATTCTGGCTTGCAAGTGGGAGGTGTTCCTATGTAACCGGTTTGGCAAGAGCACACAGCGTGATCGTTTACAGTACGACATTGACTGTATGGACCGCACGGAGATGGGGAGCAGGGGTTTTCAACCACAACTAAAGTAAAACAATTGTAAAGCACAGAAGTTGAAAGTAACTGACATACTCGGAGTATCCGGATGGCAAGCCACTAACGGATTTCCAGTATAACGTTCCAAGCAATAACAAGACGGTGCGTGGTTGTTCACTCGGCACTCCGCGTTTAATCCACACGTTCCAGGACAAGGATTTACGCATTTGCTATTGACACAAGCTTTATCACGAGAACAATCTGTGTTAATAACACACTCGGGTCGACAGCCACTGTACGGATCTCCAAAGTACTCGGGCAAGCACACACAAGAACCTGCACCATTTCTCTCTTTACAAACGGCATTGCCACCACAAGGTGATGGATGACAAGGAGTGCTCTTCTCTGGGGTAGGTTGTACTAAAATGGGATTTAAAAATCATCTCGAACAAGTGACTTGGTATATTACTTTCAATACGTGCGCATCCATTAAATGCATCGCCTGTATACCCAACCTCGCACTGACACACAGGCGAATGTTTGACAACAATGCAGCTGGCATGAATTCCGCATGAGCCCGGACAAGGATCGATGCATTTCTCGTTAACACAAGCCAAATTTCCGGGACATTCCGCGCTTATTGCGCACTCAGGGCGACAGTTGGGTGCCCGACCTATGTAGTTTGGCAAACATGTGCATGCCGGTTGGTTTCCAACAACTCTGCATTGGGAGTTTAATCCGCAAGGTGAAGGTATGCAGGGATTTTGCCTCGGAACGTCGGGTTTTTCTACAAAATTTACGATGTATCTATACATGGCAAAAGTGTGCTTACTTGGTGCCAACAGACAGCCAACAAACGGATCTCCGGAGTAATCTGGGGGACAGCTACAGATGGGATTGTGATTAATCACTTGGCAACGGGCATGAGCACCGCAAGTGTTGAGACATGGATCTTGACACTTGGCGTTAATGCAAGCTTTATTTTGAGGACAGTCTGCGCTAACTATACATTCTGGTCGACATCTCGGAGGAGTACCCACATAATTCTCCTGGCAAGAGCAAACCGGGTGGCCGTTTGCAACGCGACAATTACTGTACAAGCCGCACGGTGACGGTGAACAAGTATTTTGCTTAGGTGTTTCAGTTGGAGCTATAGAAAAAGGGTTACAATTAAATTGCCCTAACATTAAAAACATCTTACTAGGTGGCGGAGTGTGACACGATCTTAGGGGGTTTCCTGTAAAACCGGGCAGGCAATGACAAGACGGTGCGTGATTATTGACAGTGCATTGAGCATTCAGTCCGCATGTTCCAGGACACGGATCGGTACATTTTTGGTTAACACACGTTTTGTCTCTGGGGCAGTCGGTGTTCGCGACACATTCTGGTCGACATCCCGCGTAAGGATCGCCAAAGTATCCAGGCAGACAAGTGCACGATCCGGCACCTGACCTCTCTTTGCAAATTGCGTTCGATCCACAAGGAGACGGATTGCATGGATGTACGTCAATCGGGGGAACAACTGTAATATATTAAAAAGTGTTCTATTTTTGAAAGAATTTGGGTTATTGTTAGTAATCACTATAAGAGTGATTTTGTGATTTTAATTATTGATTCTGCGTGTGCTCCATAGGAACCAATGCAATTAATCTGTATTAAATGGAGGGGCCAGTTTGTAATTTGGTGCACGGCTTGAGTAATTATTGCATGTGCAATGATATGTGAGCAATGTTATATTGCATTATATAACACGGTGGTTTTGGAAAGCTAAGCAGTGGGGGGGGGGGGGGTTGTATTACCATCGGACAGGTATTTTTTAGTTAAGCGTGGATCTTCACTATCGTTATGTTTGTCTGTTTATTTGGGCGATTTGTATTTACTTGCAAAATTATGGTCATCATTATTATTTGGTATGCTTAAACTGTAGAAGTTCACCGATATCCCTTTCACCCAGACACCAATCAAAAGCGCATGCGTACTGCTATACTACTCATGCATTACCTATTGAAGCCCATTATTAAGAAATTATTTACATTTCACTTGAAAGTAATGAAGTACTATACGGCAGAGATTTTCTTCCTAATTAACATAAAAGTACAATGTTCAAAATCTGTATAAAGCACTTCAATACCATCCTAGCATCGTCATTGAGTTATTTACATTAAGTGTGCGAGAAAGTTCAATATTGTAAGTTAACAGTCCAGGAAGTTCAAAATTGTCAACGCTGCACTTTGTAATAGTATATTACGTCATAAGGTGGTAATAGTGCGTAATACAGGTGAATAGAAAAATGGCCCATGCGGCACGAGGCCATCTCTTACTACAGGAACACAAGTATTATAACATAACAGCGCCAGTACAGGGCATTCCGCATTATTATTATTATTATGCAGTACCGTTGGAATAATTAGTCAGTATAATTCGATCTAGCATAGTGCCGAATGTTTTAGGCCCGAGGATTAACAATATAAATAATTAAACAAATATAGCAAACGAGCTCCTGGGTATGGCTATATCATGTACAAACAAAACTTTAAATCTTATGTTAGTTTTGCTTTTTTAATGTGTATATGTATGAAATTTCATTTAATTGCTCCCATAAATAAGAAAGTTGGCACTGCGCATGCGTAAAACGAAATTTTGAAACTAACGTTAAATTTGGTTTTATTCCAAGTGGCTATGTATCAAATTTCATTTAAATACCTTCATAAATTAGAAAGTTTGCAATTCGGTCTGTAAATGGTCGAGATGCGCAAAGGGCACTGTGAATGCTGATCGATTAGGCTCAACTTTTGGAATTGTGTTTTATATGGCTAAAGCTATGCGCGTATTGAATTTCATGCAATTAGGTTCATACCTAACGGAGATGTCAAAAGGGCCTACTTTATTTTTTGGGCTACATTGCCAATTCACGAACCGATCTACAAATTTGATAAAGAATCCACCTGCAAAATTTCATCGTAATCGGTCCATTCGTTTATGAGTTATCGTGCTAACGGACGGACGGACAGACACCGCAAAATTATAAATTCGCTAGGAGCTCGTTAATAATTTGCGCTCAGGTGCTTCAAATCATATGCTGATGACATTTGGCAGCGTTGTTGATCAACAGAGCATGTACTGTAAAGTCAAGGTGAGACAGCCTATAATGAAGTAATTTTTGTTTAATTTTAAGAATTCCTAGAATGACTATATTCCCGAATTCAAAACGAAGGCATTTCCTGGGCATTCAGGATGCACGCGTACAGCGCATATGCACAACGAACTTTGTTATTATTTGATATTGTCTGTGGATATGATATTTCCATACGAGGAGATAAAAAACCGAAATATGAATTTACAATCAAATGTGCAGCATTGAACCTATGATTCATTTCCATTGACACTTTCTCGCACGAAGGTTGTTGATTAAGTTACGCGAAAATATTTCGCACGTGTCAAGCGATGAAAAATCAAGTAAACACTTACCTTGCTTCAGATTACAGCCAGAAAATGGATCACCTTCATATCCAGAAAGGCAGGTGCAAATCGATTGATGATTTTGCACGTTACAATGGGTGTTGAAGCCGCAGGTACCAACGCAGGGATCTTTGCATTGATTATTAAAGCACGCCAAGTGTAGTGGGCAATCCTGATGTATTAGGCATTCGTGTCGACAATGGGGTGGTGCCCCTAACATTCTGGGCAGACAAGAACAGACAGCTCTGGAGTTTAAGACGCGACATTCGGCGTTGGGTCCACATGGCGACGGTATGCACGGGGTGCCCGGGTCCACTGGTACTTTTACTTCTGTCATAAATTAACGTTAGTTATTACCCCCAACCGAAACAACAACGGTAACTTACCTTTGACGCACTGTGTAAATGGATCGCCGGTGTGTTCAGATGGACAACTGCAAATTGGATTGTGATAAACCGCTTGGCAATGTGCGCCTAATCCGCAAGATCCCGGACATGGATCTTGACACTTTTTGTTGATACATGCTTTGTCTTGATTGCAGTCTGAGCTGACCAAGCATTCAGGTCGACAATTTGGTGGCGCACCGAAGTAGCTCGATTGGCATGAGCAGATAGCGAGACCGTTTGAAATTTTGCAGATGCTGTTCTGTCCACATGGTGTCGGCTCGCATGGGTTTTGTGGTGGGGTTGCTAAATAAACATTGTTAAAAAAACGTCGGTAAACTTTCGGGAAACTTACGTTGTATTGGTTTTAAACGACATGCTGTAAATGGATCTCCAATATGCGATGGTAAGCAAGAACATGTTGGTACGTGATTGACAACTTGACATTCAGTGTTGACTCCACATAAGCCTTGACACGGATCGCGACAATGTTGGTTCAAGCAGGCCAAATGAGGTGGGCATTCGGCGTTTATGGTACATTCCGGTCGACACCCGCCAGAGTATGGGTTTCCAATGTACGGAGGTATACAATTACAGCGCGCTACGCCGTTAACCACCGAGCATTGAGCGTTCCCTCCGCAAGGTGACGGATTGCAAGGATCTTCGGGCTGGCGAATAACTTTCGAGCAACCAATAAAAGCGTCCCCTTCATAGCCCTCGATGCAGTAGCAGAATGGAGTGTGATTTACCACGTTACATTTCGCGTTTATTCCACAGCTCTTCGGGCACGGGTTGACACACTTCTCTTTCAAGCACGCTTTATTTCCGGGACATTCGGAGTTGAGCACGCATTCGGGCCGGCAGAACGGAGGGCTACCAATATAGTTGGTATCGCACGAGCAAACGGGGCGGCCTTCTTTTGGAGAGCACAGCGAATTCGGTCCACACGGTGACGGATCGCATGGATTCAGAGGTTTCTTCGGTTCTGTGATTATTTCCGTATAGCAGTTGATGAATGGATCTCCGCGTAAATTAGACGGGCAGCTACAAATTGGGTTGTGGTTTATGACAGTGCAAAGAGCGTTCAAACCGCACATGCCCGAGCATGGATCGACACATTTTTGATTGACACAAGCTTGCATTTGTGAACACTCAGAGCTGACTATACATTCCGGTTTGCACGCCGGAGGTGTTCCTTTATAATTGGGCAAACAAGAGCAGGTGGCGAATCCGCTTGCAGAAACTAGACATCTACTGAATGGGCCACATGGTGATGGATCGCAAGGATTTGTTGGGAATGGTACCGGTTTGTAAAGCGTACATGAAACGAATGGATCTCCTCGATAATCAGGCGGACAATAGCATACTGGTTGGTGATTGATGACGTTACAGTGAGCATTGACACCACACACTCCGGCACATGGATTCACACACTTTTGATTAACACAAGCTTTCTTAATTGGACAATGAGTGTTTAGCACACATTCTGGCCTACATGCTATCCATGGATCTCCAAAGAAACCAGGCTTACAAACGCATGCTAGCGCGTTATTCTTTTGCTGGCAATGTGCGTTTGCTCCGCAACTTGTGGTCTCACAGGTATCAGACTTGTCTTCTGGCACTAAACATAAATTACAATGTAAAACGTAAAGCGTAAGTGTAAAAACTTTTGGCATACACACTCGGAACTTTACTTACCAATACTTGGCGCAGCACAGTGTTCGAATGGATTTCCATATAAACCGTGGCGGCAACTGCATACAGGCGAATGCATGATAACAGTACAGTCTGCGTTTACACCGCATGACCCAGGACAAGGATCAGCACAGATTGTTCCAAGGCAAGCATTATCGAATGGACAATCGGCGTTAGTTAAACATTCCGGTCTGCAGTGCGGATCATATATGGCGTTGGGTCCAAGGCACGGATTACAAATTGCAACTTGAGTTCCGTAAACATCACATTGAGCGTGGGGGCCACACGGTGAGGGAATGCATGGTATTGTTACGTTCACTGTTGGAGTTGCTGCACAAATAAAAATGAATACATTTCCAAAATCAAAATTAAAACACTTACGCCTGTGGATGCATTGGAAGAACGCATCACCAACATATCCATCTTGACAAATACAGGTAGCGGTGTGATCACGAACTTGACACTTAGCGTATAAGCCACAGACTGCTCCTAGAGCACACGGATTTTTGCAGCGGCGATCTATACACGCCTTCTCTGCTGGACAGTCAGAATTTAATACACACTCGGGATGACATCCAAACTGTGGATCTCCTTTGAATTCGGGCAAACATGTGCACACTGGTCTTCTTCCTATCACTTGACACAAGGTGTTGAGACCACAAGGACTTGGCATGCAAGGATCAGGTGGTAAATAAGTCGGTACGGGATAACAACGTGTTAATGGATTTCCGGTTAAGTCGTGTAAGCAGGTACATACAGGATGGTGTTTCTCTACTCTGCAATTGGCGTTAACACCGCACGATCCAGGACAAGGATCGCGACATCTATGTCCCATGCAAGCTTGCGTGTGGGGGCAGTCTTCGTCAAAGACGCATTCATATCCGTGACAACCTTGGGTTCCCGTTGGGTCGCCAGCAACGCCATCTGGGCATCTACACAGTGAGCGGCCTTCTAATGTCACAATACACTCGGCTCCAGGTCCACATGGATTCGGCAGACACGGGCTGTGAGGTTCAAGTCTGCATCCAGTATAGGCGTCACCAATATAACCCGGTTTACAGTAGCATCGCTCTTGGTTGTTTGTAACGTAACAATCAGCGTTTACGCCGCAAGGTCCCGGTTGGCACAAAATCGTCGGCGGCGCCAATTCTAAGCAGGCACGATAAGGATTCCCTCTGGTACCCTGCGGGCAGATGCACACCGGTTCGTGGTGCGGATCGCATATTGCACCTCGCCCACAAGGATTAGGTTCGCATAAGTTTCTTTGTTCTATACAGCCGCGAATCGTGTTTGGACTCTCCAAGTAGCCGGGTAAACAGGTGCATTTGGCGAAACCGTTTGATAAAACTGTGCATTGCGTGTTAGGGCCGCATGGCGATGGGTTACATGGATGCGTGGGCAGGGCGCAAGGTACGTGAGGCGGAGTCCCTTCATATTCTGGCAGGCAGAAGCACACGGCTTTGTTTCCCACGAGTCGGCAACCTGAGTTGGGACCACACGGGTTTGGATCGCATTTACCGCCGTCCGGTACTAAAAAGATAATTTCAGTCTTAATTATTTTGTTTTAATGTAACAAGGTGGTGGCGGGACAATATTGTTATATTTAACCCTGCAGTAGTCGCTATACTTTTTGGGTCACTAGTGGTCGCTGCGAACTCATGTTCTGCAAGGGTTATGTATGACCCTATAGGGCAGTGGTTCTCAAAGTGGGTGCCGCAAGCACTTCATAAGGGTGCCGGGAAATTTTTAAATATTTACTTAATAAGCTTACAATTACATAAATTAAAAAAGGAATTAAAATAATTATAAAAAATGAATATTCATTTTTTATTGCAATTCTGTTTTTTAGTTTCTTTTATTTATTTCTATTGTTCATAATTCATTAATCAATCATATGCTGGTATTGCATTACATCAGACTTTCTCAATCTTATAACATATTTGGGGTGCATATAGGGTGGTATGTAGAATCGAAAACGTCCTATTTTGGTTTTGATCCGTAACTATCTTCAAAGTTGTTGAGGGTGTCAAAATTTTAAGTCATAACGGCTTGAAACATTTTTTTAAAATTTTTTTCGCATACACTGGCCAAAATGGCTTAAAAAACTCTACAAAAAGGTTCATTACAATTTTTTTGTTCCTTTGCTTTTGAGAAGTTTTGAATTGAAAAGTTAAACTATTTATTTTATTTTTCTAAATTTCATTTTTCTTCTAAAAGTAAGCATCAGAGTGAAAAATGTCAATTACAAAAAAGATGTGTCTTGATGAGGTCTACAAAAAAATCTTGTACACTTTTTGCGTCGGGTTCAAAATAACGGCGCTAGAGGGCATTTTCTAAATGTTATACTATGGCCAATAATAATTGCAATGACTATTAAAAGTAGTTGGAAAGTCAAGTCAGGAGTTTACCTGACAACTAGTTTTAAATGGTGGGGTTAAGTGGATGGGGTTAAGTGGAAGAGCAGACTGTGGCATTGCCGCAGTGCTGAACTTCGCCCTTAATGTACTGCAATAAATCTTTGTTTTCTTTTTTTTTTGAACAATAAAGGCAATATTATTATTATTATTATTAAATGCTTTTGTGTTTAGAAATTGTTTTTGTGAAGACTTCTCATCCTTTATCTCTTTACTAACTGTAAAACAGCAAAAAAATAATACTAGGGGTGTCGCGAATTTTGTTTAATAATTTTAGTATGCCGCCAGACAAAAAAGTTTGAGAAACACTGCTATAGGGTTAAATGAAAGAGCAGACTGCGGTATTGCTGCAGTACTGAACTTCTCCCTTAATTTGAATGTTTTCGAATTAATTACTATAAAAAATTTTCAAAAAATATAGTAAGCGCTTTTTACATTTTTGGGAGTTCATTACAAATAAAGGAATAATGTACATACCAAAACTAAATAAATTAAGTTAAATTAATTAATTAAAAAATAATGTAAAAAATAGATTTATTTTCATTTACCAAGGGGCACTTTTTATACATTCAACACTTATCGAATGGACTGTTAAGCACTGATTCTTTATATGGGTATTGTCTCAGAAGGTAACAAGAGCATGACAACGGTGGGGGTCTAAATAGTCGCGCACTTGTAAAACAATCAATGGTGTGAAGCGAGCGTCCGCTACCGGCCTCAGAGTCTTTATTTCTTACTCTGAGCTACCGGCCACTAGAGGGTTAAAATAATAAGGTAGAATAATTGTGTAAAGTGCTCAACAAAGTTGGAATGCGTCAATGAGTCAACAAAATAAACAGTTTTAGGACTGGAAGCAGGAATTTCAGTGACAAAGAGACATTTGAGTATGTAACTAACCAAGTAAAAAGACTTTCGCGTTAAGGCGAGTAACTTCATCGCATTTTCCATAAATTGATCAGTACTACTTACCCAAAAAGCCATAGCTATGTGCACTGTTTTTCTTTACAAGCGGCATATATGATTAAAATTTCAAGGAAATATCTCCATAAATAAAAAAGTTAGCATTGCGCAGTTCGCGCATGAGCACATTTAATTATGCTATAGGTATGCGATGTTTGTTTTTACTAGAAGCGTCTATGGTTTTACTCTAGAGAGTAGGATCTTCACAAGATATAAAAAAGTTGACATTTTTCAGTCTGCGCATGCGCGCATTTGATTTTTACTATGCGCGATGTGTTTGCCTTTGATAATGACATTATTAGTTTACTACATATAATATGTTTTTCTTTACTGGAAGCATCTATGGTTAAAATTTCAAAGAAATATCTTCGTAAATAAGGAAGTTGGCACTAACTGCGCATGCGCACATCTAATGTTTGCAATATCAGATATGTTTGCCTTTAACAGAAGCATCTGTGATTTCAAAAAGTTATCTCGATAAATAAGGAAGTCGACATTGCCCAGTCTGCGCATGCGCAGTTTAATCGTTAAAATTTTCCTTGGCTCAGGTGCCAGAGCTATACGCTACCGAATGCAAAAAGAACGAACTAAATATCTTGAAAACTGTAGGAACAGTTAAGGTATAGTGTGTTCACTTACCGCACATTTTAAATGGATTTCCCGTCAGGCCTTTCGGACAGTAACAAATCGGACTGCCGTTGTCTATTTCGCAGAGAGCATGCTGACCGCACGGATTCGGATCGCAAAGATTGATCGGTGGTTGGCACGAGAATTTCGCATTACCGGTATAGCCAGGGGGGCATTTACAAGTTGATTTGTGATTCGTCACCTCGCAAATCGCGTTTGAACCGCAGTGGCAGGGTGAGCCGCATTTGCCATTGATACAAGCTTCGTTCGTAGGACATTCGCGATCGGAACGACAACCTTGCACTAAAAGGAAGTCGTTTTAAACATGGATTTGTACTCGAAAAGGTTACCTTTTTCGCAAGATGTGAAGGGATTGCCGACGGTACCGGGCAGGCATACACAAGTGATGGCGTGTTCCTTTGGTATACATTCCGCATTTTCACCGCACGAGTCTTCAAAGCATGGGTTGATACAAATCCTGTTCAATCGATCACACAATTTATCCGGTGGACAATCCTCATTGTACTGACAGACAGATTTGTGGTCGTACACTGTAAAACGACATTTATAGCAATCGAATTAAAAGACGCTTTTCTCACCTGGAATACATCCTACATATCCATTCCCTTGATACCCTTCAGCGCAACTACAATCAGTTCCGTGGTTCGTATTTATACAAATGGCGTGCTCTGTACAAGGATTGTGTATATCACATGGACGTTGACAAGCCCGATTTATACACGCCTCCGTCACTGGACAATCATTGTTCGTAATGCAACTCACTACAGAGAAAAAGTGCAAAAAAAGAGGGAATGAGAACCAATTTACATTTTATATACACGTCAAGTGCTCGCAATGAGTTCCACTGCCATTTTGTAACTAAGAAACGGAATATTTTACAAGGACGCATTGGACTATAGTTATAAAATGACGAAACAATATGCGAATTGCACTCCACTGTTAAAAAATTAGTTAAACAAAATCCAAAATTATTGATAATTAATTTATGTATACTATATTCAAAGACTGTTAATAATGTTATCTTACTAGGTTGTGATTTGAAGCATTTAAGTGAGGGGTTTCCTTCGTATCCCATCGGGCATGTACATATTGGCCTGTGCATTTTAGCCTGACATTTGGCGGAGCTTGCACATGCGTTTGTAAATTCGCACGGATCTTGACAGACCGACATAAAACACGCCTCCGAATCTAGACAATCCATATCTGACTCGCACGGTTGTGGAGCTTTTGGATGGCCGGGTTCTAGTGAATTAGATTGATTAGTAGAACATTAGAGATCAGTATTCCTTAGGTTTTATTGGTTAGACAAGCTTCTAAACTACATCGACTATATACAGTGCTAACACCGTGTCGCTAAAGGCGTGTTTGAAGCATTCCTGTGTTCGCCTATGTGGGTTGTGCAATTACCGTGTTTACAGGTGACTACGTGTTTGAACAGTGTGCAACAATGATTAAAAGTGAAAATACAAACAGAGATCTTGGACCCTGTGTGGCAGAATGAATTGTACATCAAGGACTTTGGCGTCAACTTAATACGAGTAAAAAATTGCTATGCGTGGTGTTTGTCAATGTGTAGAGTGACTCAAAAATTGTTTCTATAGAACAGGATCTGAGTGTACTAAAGGTGGCATACCGCATTCACAAATCTTTACTTACATTACAAAAAAAGTAACCAATATTGTTACTGCATTTCACAATAGTAGACACTTCACGCGGGCCCTACCTACACCAAAGTTAAAATATCAGAAGCGGCATTTAAAAGCAAGTACTTAATTTGAATTAATGATTGTGTATGTATACTGAGTAACCCCAACTACAAACCGCACTAATTGCGATTACGATTACTAACCAATTTTTATACATTGTGCAAATAGCGCCATACCTTCTACTGTGGTGTAACGTGTGCTAGGTGTACGTGTTTGTGCAGACATGCTGTACTCTACCAGTGCAATTGATGTTATATCATCTTTACAGAGACACATGTCTTGTAAATTGATAGACGAGCACGATGTGAGATTCTACAATGTATTTCACAGTGGTTAAAAGCTGAAATTAAAAATCGTAGTACCTACAAATTAATAAAATTAGTTCGTTTATCTCAACTCAGCCATTTACCGAAGCAACTTTTCCATGTTGATCACTTCCTCCAGATTATGTTGTGATTAATAAGGGATTAATGGATGCATGGGATTAGTTTGCCAACAGCATTTATTATAATGGAGCAAACAGACTTACCTTTGATGCAAGCACCGGTAATGGGGTCGCATTTAACACCTGGAGGGCAGTGTTCACACCCAGATAAAATAGGAGGCCGTTCTCCTAAAGAGGTAGGGTTAGTTGTCTATTTATGAAAACTATTCGAAAGAAAATTTTTGTAGTTATAAGTTAAAACAAATGTAACTGTTGTACGTAATAACAAATTGTCTTTCGAAGTGATAGCAGGAATATACTTACGACCGGCAATACAATTACATCCATCACACTCCATATTTCTCCCACAATCCGCATGTGATTGACACTGGCACACTACATACCCAAAAGAAGAATTTTAATAACAATTTAATTTAGAACTTCATTACCTTTGACGCAAATAGGTTGATGATCTTTCACCTGGCAATCTTGCTGCAAGGCGCACGGATTGGAAACCGAGCAAGGATTTTGACATCGGGCACTTATACAAGCTTGTTGCAATGGGCAGTCCAAATGAGAGCGACAAGAAATATCTGAGGAACATTAACAAATGTAAATACTTGGCACAAAGGCGAAAAGACTAAATCAAAACCAAGAAAAACCGAACACATTTTACTGTAAAAAACAATAAAGCGATTAAAGCTAAAAATTCAAAAAGCGAACTACTAACACTAACAAAAACTAATATAAGAAAACAAACTATACAAAAGTTGCCAATCACCCCAGCCACCAAGTTCGCACAGATTATTCCACCACCAGATTTATGTACATATGTACAAATGAAAATACAATAAAATACTATATAACAGACAACAACAGAGACACATAATCAGTTCTCGCCGAGAACTTTTGCTGTAGAGACGATCCATAATCAGTCATGCATAATGGATCTTGAGGTTCCTGTAGTTGGACCTTAACAGCCTCATGCAGTTGTAACGAGGTAGAGGCTGCAAGATATCATGCTTGCATTTTCGTTGAAATCGAAGAGTATGCGAGAGCACAAATCCCAAATAGATATTTACTCATCATTACCTGGTATTACTTTACAATCAACTAGATCTGGTCTTTGATCAAATGGACACAGGCACATAGCGACATGAGACCTGGTTTCACACACATAGCGCCCTAGACAAGGATTATAGACAGAGCAGGGATTCTGGCAGGTGTAGTTAATGCAAGTAGTGTCGAGTGAACAGTCTGTGTCAATGGAGCAGTCGCCACGCATTGTGGAAGATACTGAAGTAGGCAAATCAGTCGAGGGATAAGACATATTATTAATCTCAGTTACTTTTAAAATTGTTACCGCATCTAACGGTATACTGAATCCAGTACGTGATTCAGTAGGTTTAGAATATTTTGGTGTAGTAGTAGGGGTTACAGTAAATGGTACAGATGGCAATTCAGTAACGTTCAAGCTAGTAACGGAATAAGGGTATCCATCGGTTGAAAAGTTTCCTAAACCCAAAGTGGATTCATACACTTTATGAGTTGAATAATGGTCTTCAGTAGTAAATTGAGATGTTACACTAATATCAGAAACTGTAGATTCAGAATATTTGTGGGTGGTATATTCTTTTGATGTGGTTGAGTGTTCCGTTTCGGTAGTGTATTCCGAAGGAATAGTTGTATGTTTTTCAGTGATAGCATGTTCTGGTGTTTGTGTAACCACAGGAATGGTATAACCATCGTGTGGTGCAGTTGTTTCAGAATATTTGCGAGTGGTATATTCTTTTGGAGTGGTTGTGTGTTCTGTTTCGGTAGTGTATTCCGAAGGTATTGTTGTATGTTTTTCAGTGATAGCATGTTCTGGTGTTTGTGTAACGACAGGAATGGTATAACTATCGTGTGGTGCAATTGTTTCAGAATATTTGCGAGTGGTATATTCTTTTGGAGTGGTTGTGTGTTCTGTTTCGGTAGTGTATTCCGAAGGTATTGTTGTATGTTTTTCAGTGATAGCATGTTCTGGTGTTTGTGTAACGACAGGAATGGTATAACCATCGTGTGGTGCAGTTGTTTCAGAATATTTGCGAGTGGTATATTCTTTTGGAGTGGTTGTGTGTTCTGTTTCGGTAGTGTATTCCGAAGGTATTGTTGTATGTTTTTCAGTGATAGCATGTTCTGGTGTTTGTGTAACCACAGGAATGGTATAACCATCGTGTGGTGCAGTTGTTGCAGAATATTTGCGAGTGGTATATTCTTTTGGAGTGGTTGTGTGTTCTGTTTCGGTAGTGTATTCCGAAGGTATTGTTGTATGTTTTTCAGTGCTTACATGCTCTGGTGTCACAGTAACCACAGGAATGGTATAACCCTCGTGTGGTGTAGTTGTTTTAGAATATTTATGAGTGGTATATTCTTTTGGTGAGGTTGTGTGTTCTGTTTCGGTAGTGTATTCCGAAGGTATTGTTGTATGTCCTTCAGTGCTTAAATGCTCTGGTGTCACAGTAACCACAGGAACGGTATAACCCTCGTGTGGTCCAGTTGTTTCAGAATATTTGTGTGTGGTATATTCCTTTTGTGTGGTTGTGTGTTCCGTTTCAGTAGTGTATTCCGAAGTTATAGTTGTATGTTTTTCAGTGCTTACATGCTCTGGTGTCACTGTAACCACAGGAATGGTATAACCTTCGTGTGGTGCAGTTGTTTCAGAATATTTGTGTGTGGTATATTCCTTTTGTGTGGTTGTGTGTTCTGTTTCAGTAGTGTATTCCGAAGGTATTGTTGTATGTTTTTCAGTGCTTACATGCTCTGGTGTCACTGGAACCACAGGAATGGTATAACCCTCGTGTGGTCCAGTTGTTTCAGAATATTTGTGTGTGGTATATTCCTTTTGTGTGGTTGTGTGTTCTGTTTCAGTAGTGTATTCCGAAGGTATTGTTGTATGTTTTTCAGTGCTCACATGCTCTGGTGTCACTGTAACCACAGGAACGGTATAACCTTCGTGTGGTATAGTTGTTTTAGAATATTTGTGAGTGGTATATTCCTTTGGTGTGGTTGTGTGATCTGTTTCGGTAGTGTATTGTGAAGGTATTGTTGTATGTTTTTCAGTGCTAACACGCTCTGGTGTCACTGTAACCACAGGAATGGTATAACCCTCGTGTGGTGCAGTTGTTTCAGAATATTTTCGAGTGGTATATTCTTTTGGTGTGGTTGTGTGTTCTGGTTCAGTAGTGTATTCCGAAGGTATTGTTGTATGTTTTTCAGTGATAGCATGTTCTGGTGTTTGTGTAACCACAGGAATGGTATAACCATCGTGTGGTGCAGTTGTTTCAGAATATTTTCGAGTGGTATATTCTTTTGGTGTGGTTGTGTGTTCTGTTTCGGTAGTGTATTCCGAAGGTATTGTTGTATGTTTTTGAGTGCTTACATGCTCTGGTGTCACTGTAACCACAGGAATGGTATAACCTTCGTGTGGTGCAGTTGTTTCAGAATATTTGTGTGTGGTATATTCCTTTTGTGTGGTTGTGTGTTCTGTTTCAGTAGTGTATTCTGAAGGTATTGTTGTATGTTTTTCAGTGCTTACATGCTCTGGTGTCACAGTAACCACAGGAATGGTATAACCCTCGTATGGTGTAGTTGTTTCGGAATATTTGTGAGTGGTATATTCCTTTGGTGTGGTTGTGTGATCTGTTTCAGTAGTGTATTCCGAAGGTATTGTTGTATGTTTTTCAGTGCTTACATGATCTGGTGTCACTGTAACCACAGGAATGGTATAACCTTCGTGTGGTGTAGTTGTTTCAGAATATTTGTGAGTGGTATATTCCTTTGGTGTGGTTATGTGTTCTGTTTCGGTAGTGTATTCCGAAGGTATAGTTGTATGTTTTTCAGTGATAGCATGTTCTGGTGTCACTGTAACCACAGGAATGGTATAACCTTCGTGTGGTGCAGTTGTTTCAGAATATTTGTGTGTGGTATATTCCTTTTGTGTGGTTGTGTGTTCTGTTTCAGTAGTATATTCCGAAGGTATTGTTGTATGTTTTTCAGTGATAGCATGTTCTGGTGTCACTGTAACCACAGGAATGGTATAACCTTCGTGTGGTGCAGTTGTTTCAGAATATTTGTGTGTGGTATATTCCTTTTGTGTCGTTGTGTGATCTGTTTCAGTAGTGTATTCCGAAGGTATTGTTGTATGTTTTTCAGTGCTTACATGCTCTGGTGTCACTGTAACCACAGGAATGGTATAACCTTCGTGTGGTGCAGTTGTTTCAGAATATTTGTGTGTGGTATATTCCTTTTGTGTGGTTGTGTGTTCTGTTTCAGTAGTGTATTCTGAAGGTATTGTTGTATGTTTTTCAGTGCAGTGCTTACATGCTCTGGTGTCACTGTAACCACAGGAATGGTATAACCTTCGTGTGGTGCAGTTGTTTCAGAATATTTGTGTGTGGTATATTCCTTTTGTGTGGTTGTGTGTTCTGTTTCAGTAGTGTATTCTGAAGGTATTGTTGTATGTTTTTCAGTGCTTACATGCTCTGGTGTCACTGTAACCACAGGAATGGTATAACCTTCGTGTGGTGTAGTTGTTTCAGAATATTTGTGAGTGGTATATTCCTTTGGTGTGGTTATGTGTTCTGTTTCGGTAGTGTATTCCGAAGGTATAGTTGTATGTTTTTCAGTGATAGCATGTTCTGGTGTCACTGTAACCACAGGAATGGTATAACCTTCGTGTGGTGCAGTTGTTTCAGAATATTTGTGAGTGGTATATTCTTTTGGTGTGGTTGTGTGCTCTGTTTCGGTAGTGTATTCCGAAGGTATTGTTGTATGTTTTTCAGTGCTCACATGCTCTGATGTCACTGTGACCACAGGAACGGTATAACCTTCGTGTGTTCCAGTTGTTTCGGAATATTTGTGAGTGGTATATTCCTTTTGTGTGGCTGTGTTTTCCGTTTCTGTTGTGTATTGTGAAGAGATAGTGGTATGTTTTTCAGTGCTAGCGTGCTCTGGTTTCACTGTAACCACAGGAATGGTATAACCTTCGTGCGGTCCAGTTGTTTCAGAATATTTGTGTGTGGTATATTCCTTTTGTGTGGTTGTGTGTTCTGTTTCAGTAGTATATTCCGAAGGTATTGTTGTATGTTTTTGAGTGCTTACATGCTCTGATGTCACTGTGACCACAGGAACGGTATAACCTTCGTGTGGTGCAGTTGTTTCAGAATATTTGTGAGTGGTATATTCCTTTTGTGTGGTTGTGTGTTCTGTTTCAGTAGTATATTCCGAAGGTATTGTTGTATGTTTTTCAGTGCTCTCATGCTCTGGTGTCACTGTAATCACAGGAATGGTATAACCTTCGTGTGGTGTAGTTGTTTCGGAATATTTGTGAGTGGTATATTCCTTTGGTGTGGTTGTTGGTGCTTCAGGTGTGTATTGTGATAAGATAGTGGTATGTTTTTCAGTGCTAGCGTGCTCTGGTGTCACTGTAACCACAGGAATGGTATAACCTTCGTGTGGTCCAGTTGTTTCAGAATATTTGTGTGTGGTATATTCCTTTTGTGTGGTTGTGTGTTCTGTTTCAGTAGTATATTCCGAAGGTATTGTTGTATGTTTTTCAGTACTTATATGCTCTGGTGTCACTGTAACCACCGGAATGGTATAACCTTCGTGTGGTGCAGTTGTTTCAGAATATTTGTGAGTGGTATTTTCTTTTTGTGTGGTTGTGTGTTCTGTTTCAGTAGTATATTCCGAAGGTATTGTTATATGTTTTTCAGTGCTAGCATGCTCTGGTGTCACTGTAACCACCGGAATGGTATAACCTTCGTGTGGTGCAGTTGTTTCAGAATATTTGTGAGTGGTATTTTCTTTTTGTGTGGTTGTGTGTTCTGTTTTAGTAGTATATTCCGAAGGTATTGTTGTATGTTTTTCAGTACTTATATGCTCTGGTGTCACTGTAACCACGGGAATGGTATAACCTTCGTGTGGTGCAGTTGTTTCAGAATATTGGTGAGTGGTATTTTCTTTTTGTGTGGTTGTGTGTTCTGTTTCAGTAGTATATTCCGAAGGTATTGTTATATGTTTTTCAGTGCCAACATGCTCTGGTGTCACTGTAACCACCGGAATGGTATAACCTTCGTGTGGTGCAGTTGTTTCGGAATATTTGTGAGTGGTAAATTCCTTTGGTGTGGTTGTCGGTGCTTCAGGTGTGTATTGTGATAAGATAGTGGTATGTTTTTCAGTGCTTACATGCTCTGGTGTCACTGTAACTACAGGAATGGTATAACCTTCATGTGGTGCAGTTGTTTCGGAATATTTGTGAGTGGTATATTCCTTTGGTGTGGTTGTCGGTGCTTCAGGTGTGTATTGTGATAAGATAGTGGTATGTTTTTCAGTGCTTACATGCTCTGGTGTCACTGTAACTACAGGAATGGTATAACCTTCATGTGGTGCAGTTGTTTCAGAATATTTGTGTGTGGTATATTCCTTTTGTGTGGTTGTGTGTTCTGTTTCAGTAGTATATTCCGAAGGTATTGTTGTATGTTTTTCAGTACTTATATGCTCTGGTGTCACTGTAACCACCGGAATGGTATAACCTTCGTGTGGTGCAGTTGTTTCAGAATATTTGTGAGTGGTATTTTCTTTTTGTGTGGTTGTGTGTTCTGTTTTAGTAGTATATTCCGAAGGTATTGTTGTATGTTTTTCAGTACTTATATGCTCTGGTGTCACTGTAACCACGGGAATGGTATAACCTTCGTGTGGTGCAGTTGTTTCAGAATATTGGTGAGTGGTATTTTCTTTTTGTGTGGTTGTGTGTTCTGTTTCAGTAGTATATTCCGAAGGTATTGTTATATGTTTTTCAGTGCCAACATGCTCTGGTGTCACTGTAACCACCGGAATGGTATAACCTTCGTGTGGTGCAGTTGTTTCGGAATATTTGTGAGTGGTAAATTCCTTTGGTGTGGTTGTCGGTGCTTCAGGTGTGTATTGTGATAAGATAGTGGTATGTTTTTCAGTGCTTACATGCTCTGGTGTCACTGTAACTACAGGAATGGTATAACCTTCATGTGGTGCAGTTGTTTCGGAATATTTGTGAGTGGTATATTCCTTTGGTGTGGTTGTCGGTGCTTCAGGTGTGTATTGTGATAAGATAGTGGTATGTTTTTCAGTGCTTACATGCTCTGGTGTCACTGTGACCACAGGAACGGTATAACCTTCGTGTGTTCCAGTTGTTTCGGAATATTTGTGAGTAGTATATTCTTTTGGTGTAGTTGTGTGTTCCGTTTCGGTAGTGTATTCGGAGAGAACAGGCTTATGTTTTTCAGTGCTAACGTTTTCTGGTGTCACTGTAACCATGGGAATGGTATAACCTTGTGGTACAGTCGTTTCAGTGGTATTATCTAGTTTTGTAGCGGGTGCGAATGTGTCGGGCGTTGTTGGGAATGTAGTGTCCGTCGTCTGTGTGTGTTGTATTGTAATTGTAGATCCCATAGTAGTACTGAAGTCAACGTCAATATCTTTTTTCGTAGGTTCACTGCTAGTTTGATTGGTTAGTATAGAAAGTGTGGTTTGATCAGGAAAATAAGGGGACATTGTAGTGGGTGTGTTGGTGTATATTAAGGGAAAACATTCTATTGATGCATTTCCTTCGTATCCAGGTGGACAAAAACAAATTGCGTTATGTGCCTGTGCTTGACAGATTGCTGCTTTGCCACACTTGTTTGTGCAAATGTCTACACATAAGCCTTTAATGCAGGATTGTGTTTGCTTACAGTCATCATCCTTCGCGCAGGTTTCATCTGTTGTATTGCCAGCTGTGAATTATATACATACAAAAAAAAGTTTTAAAATGTTTGTGTAGGTACTATTAGTAAGTAGTCTATCATGTTAATCTAATTTAGGTTTCATTAGTGATTATGAAAGATTTCTAATAAAGGGGATAGATAATTAATTTACATTTTTTAACATATAGAAGTGCCAAACATATTTTTTGTTTTGACTTTAATTTGTAAGTACGTCGTAGCAGAAAATGGGTCTATAATGCATACTTCAACCAAAAGCAATTTCACATTTTATTTTTGCTTCTTTGTAGTTTATAAGATTTTGGGTAATCCAAATTAAATGTTTACCTTTAAGACATCCGTGTTTAGAATCTGATATAAATCCTGGAGGACAAAATTTGCAGATTGGTCTGTGATCCTCTACAACACATGGAGTGTCTGGAGGGCAATTTGCTGTTGCACATGGATCTTCGCAACGTAAGGCTCGGCAGGCTTGAGACGAAGGACAACCGTTGTCTCGCAAACATATTGATATAGAGGGACTGCAGTCTTTCATACAAATACAAATTGGACGATGGTTTAACACATCGCATGCCTTTTCAGGAGGGCATGGAGCTTTTTTAAGTGCAGTGCAGGGACTTTGACAGCGCCCTTCAATACAAGCTAGGTTTGATGCACACTGGGTGTCGTGCAAGCATTCTGTACTGTCAGGGGCGCAGGCTATTTCGCCATATTCGTTTACGACAAAACCATTTTTGCAAACGCAGGTCGCTCGGTGCTGATGAACTTCGCATTTTTTATTACCTTTGCATTTAAACGAAGGTACCTTGCAAGGGCTATAGCATTCTCCTGATCTACTATTGCATGCCAAAGTTGTTGGACAATCTGTGTTAGCGGTACAGAATACAGTTGTAGGCGGTGTTGGAGTGTTGTCACATTTTGGATCCGGATAACACGCCGTATTAGCCATACCAACGTGACAATGTGGACAAGAACATCGTGGTCGGTGCTGTACCGTTTGGCACAAAGCGTTTAGACCACACGCGCCCCTTAAACTGCAGGGATCTATGCACTGGTCGTTGATGCAGGCTTTTTCGTTAGGGCACTCCGAGTCGCTATTACATTCCGCATCTATGAAGACATCAGGGATGCGCAGAAAAGAAAGCCATTGTAAGAACCGTGAAAGGAAATATCTCACAATACAAAACAATACATGCTAATGTAATGAAGATAGTCAGAGAATGAGAGAGATGAAAGAGGCTATCTCAACAAAGTTTGAACAAAGCTGCAATATTTACAAGCAACAACATTAAGTCAATTCAAGAGGTATACTAATATACAGGTTAATGTGAGAATGCTCCTTTCATAGTTCCCAATCTGACTTATATTCAAGGTGCAGTTCAATAAAATGCATTATTGTACTGCAGCTGTACACATTAGCTATACTACGAATGTGTGCATGGAATGTGTGAATGTGATCTCAAATGGAGTGTCAGAGTGATTGTAAAAGACAGATTGGAACCCTGAAGTGTACATTCCACATAAGTAATAATGAGTTGCGTGAAGTTGAAACAGATGTGCTTTGAAACGATGGCTTAATGCCTCATTTATACCAGACGATGTTTGGCATGAATTTGACATCAAACTAATTGTAGTGTGCTCCACACAACTTCATACACCTTACTTATATTGCATGTGTAATGTGTAATAAATGATTATGTACAAATCCAACAGTCCTATGAACATTCAGTGCAACATTTGTACATTGTGTTGTTACAACTAACATTGTTCGTTGATATAAAAATAAAGCAATCAGTTGTATACAATGTATGTGAGTGTTAGGTGATAAATGATTAAAAGGGGACTCACCCCTGTAGCATTCAACTTCAGGTTGACCTGAGGTTCCAGGTGGGCATCGACAGACAAAGTCTGCCTGCTCTCTTATACATTCCGCATTCTTACCACATCCTTCAGTTCGACAATCGACATGTCCAGGTTTTAATGAACCTAAGACACACAGTGAACTTAACGCCTAAAGTAAATATTGAGAGACTTACATTCAATGGTGGGATCTCCTAATGGATATTCTGGCGGACAATAACACTGAGGCTTCGCTCTGACAACCTTACACTTAGCATTCACTCCACAAAGTTGATCTTTGCATAAGTTCACTCGACCCTCTCCACAAATGCATTTCTTGTAGGGGTCACCAGTACAGTCCACTGGGCAAATGCACTCAATTCCTCCATTCACTTCTTTACACTTAGCGTTCTCCCCACAGGAATTCTTCGAACATACCTCAATCACGTTTTGCTTACATTCTATCTTTGCATTTCCTACATAACCAGGTGGGCATGAACACTGTGCTCTCCTGCGTTCAACCTTGCATTGAGCATTGACACCACAAGCGCCTCTCTCCAAACATGGATTTTTACATGCACCATCGCGACCGCACTTTTTATTTATTTCACAATCACTGTCAATTCGACATTCATAGGGCGTACAAGACTTGCTGGGTTCTCCTTGGTATCCGTCCGGACACAAACATATCGTACGATGTTCAGATACTTTGCAAACGGCGTTACGTCCACACGCATTTTTGGTTTTGCATGGATTTTCACATCGCCCATTGATACAAGATTCGTCATTAGCGCATTCGGCGCTTACTTTACAGCCGGCAAAGCAAACTCCGTTTCTGCAGGTGTGGCCCGCAGCGCAAGGATTCGAATTAGAACATTTCGCTCTGCATCGCCCGGATTTGCATATTTCTCCGCACGAACAGGCGCTGTTATTTCGACAACTCTTCGTACAATACCCTGCCTCGTCACATTCGCACGTTCCATCGCATTGCACCATAGACAGTGTACAAGAGACCAAAGGATTACCCAAATAGTTTGTCGGGCAACTACACTGAGGAACGTGATTAACCACGCTGCAGTCGGCGCAGATACCACAAGAGCTGTAACCTTTGCACGGATCTAAAATATCGGCTAAGTTATAGCTGCGAGAAAATCGACAAATAAACTTACTTTGGCATTTATTGTTTATGCAAGCTTCTTGTTTTTGGCAAGTGTGATCACTTCGACAACCCAAGTCGCAGAGGCGATTTTCACAAATTTGATTCGTCCCGCATGAGGCGTCCGAATTGCACACTACTTTACAAACGCCTTTCACACATTTTTCATCGGATAAACAGTTTTGATCCCTACAAAAAATAAACCTTTTAATTATCCTATCTTTTTCAACCAGCATGCGGTTATATTTCGTCTGATGGCAGAATGAAAATTTTGGAAATCTTAATTAAGATGGGCAAGGGCGGTCTCCATTTATGTAATTAACATTCATAATTAAATTTTATCATTTGTCGTTGGTCTATGCAATGGCACGAAAATTATTGTCATACGAGAAAGCAATCAATGTTATTTTTGTTTACATTTTTATTTTTATTTAACGTAGAAATTTCCGAGAATGTTGTATTGGTCTTTATCTGTAAAATATTTAATTTAATTGACAGGTGGATGTGATTTATCGCCTTTTCTGTGTAGTTAAAAGAGATGAATTTTTATTTTTTCTAGTATTAATGTCTGATAAGAATTTGTTTAGTAAAATTATTCGACCTCTATCATTTTGGTTTTTTAACGTAAATTGAGGAGATATTTTCTGTTGTTAACTGTGTATAATTGGTTGTTATATGTAATTTGGATTTTCGGAAGAAAGGTATCGCCTTAAATAGGATTTGCACAGGAAAAGCGTCGCTTTTTGCTTCACTTAACGCAGAACCACGTTTCTTTGAAAATTTAAATCAGCCTTAAGCCAAGTTCAAGGCAGTATTACGTTTATTTTAAGTTTGAAGATAGAAGAAGTTCCCTTTGCGTAGCTGGAAGCCGAGTTCGCGGCTAATTATTATTCTACGTGTCAAATTTATTCGTGCTAGAGGATTGTCGTAAAGTTTTGACCATCTAATAAGGTACTTAAAAAAAAAGAGGTTGTCGGCGCCCCCATGAGTGTGTTTTCAACGTGACATGTAATGTAAGTAATTAAGTTTAATTTTATGTCTTCGTGTAATAATTGTTTGTTTTTGTGTCATTTTCCTTGTGTGTGTTAGAATTAAATCGCACTTATGTAACTTTCACTTAATTTCCGTGTGTTTCCTTCTAATGACTTCATTTCTAATTCAACTGTTTCGATTGGATGCTTGCCCAAAGTCCATTTTAATTATTCAAAATTTTGCTGTTCAGTTTGGAGTTTAAGGCATTTGGTCTGACCCAATATATAATAGAAGTTAACAGTTTAACTGAGAGCAGAGTCGAATCTCTCTTCTGTATTGGGAAGGAGTTTTGTGCTGGGATAATAAGTAAGGTAAAGAGCTAGCTAGGTTTTTGTTTTGGTGTTTTGTGTACAGTCTTCTGGCCTGACTTTAAATAAGTGCAGTATAAAACGTTTCACTCTGTATTCAGTTTTTGATATATTTAACTATTTCCAATAAGTTCCAAAATTGAAAATATAATTACAAATATTTGACGCCAATCAACAATTGAACCGATAAACGGTCAGGGATACGCAGACTGCTGCAATAGATCTAATGTGGGGCTCTAGGGGGAAACACGTACCACTTTTGGTGTACACAAAAAATTCAAATTCAAATTAATTCACGTTAATTCAAAATAATTCACGCAAAATGCTTATTCAAGTTAATGCACGTAAATTCAAATTAATTCACGTTCATTCAAATTAATTTACGTTAATCAAATTGAATCACGTTAATTCTAATTAATTCACGTTGTAACGGTTTCACTTAATTTTATGTAAAGTTAAATTTTTTTGCCGCTTTAATTCAAATTTATTACCAAAAGGATAAACAAAGTCAAGGTAACAGGATGATGAGGGTCATATCTGATAGCAAAAGGGTATCGGTTCAAATGTATCCGCCATTACATTAAGACAACAAAACCGTTTTCATTTACCCGGTAGCAACGTTAGTTCAAATTAACACAGAGGGGTGTACACCAAACATTCAAAGTTGTTTCCATCTAGAATTTTTCCAAGGCAAATTTTTACCAGGACTAGAGTTTGCGAGTAAAATATTTCAACGGCGGATTTTTTCTGGGGACACATTTTTTACACAAGCATACCAGGGAAAAATTTTCCAAGAGCAATTTTATCTATCTTAAATTTTCAAGACGACAATTTTTCCATAGAGAATTTCCCCAGGGCGAATTTTTTGGAGACGAGATTTTATGTAAGTGTCAAATATTCCAAGGCCTATTTTGTTAGAGGCTAAATTTTCCGTATGCGAATTTTCTGGAAATGAATTTTTCCACAACAAATATTCACAAGACGAATTTTGAGGAGACAATTTTTGTGGGTCAAATATTTCGAGGGCGATTTTTTTACGTTTCTGGGGACAAGTTTTCCACGCAAGTTTGCGGGGCGAGTTTTTTAAGCGAGCATTCCAGGGCAACCCAAATTTTTCTTTGACGATTTTTTGAGGACCAAATAATCGAAAGATGATTTTTTTCAACATTTTCTGTAGATGAATTTCGTTTTCTGGACGATTCGTTTCAAGGGCAATTTTGGGAGCCTACATTTTCCGTAGGTAAATTTCTCGGAAGAGAATTTATCCATAGCGAATTTTCCCAGAACAATTTTCCTTATTGTTTTTGGGAGTCAAATATTCCAAGGACGATTTTACTCGGTAGCCGAATTTTTTAGGCAAGAAGATTTCCAGGAAGAACCCTCCCGAAAATTTGAAATTCTCACGCAAATATTACGGGAGGAAAATACGTAGAGGCGAATTATCCCTGTATGAATTGACGGGTTGAATCTTGCACGGAACCATTTTAAAAAGGCTATTTTTTCATAGCGAATTTGTCTCGTATATTTTTTTCGGAGGACAAGTCTTTAGGGGTCAAATATTCCAGGGGCGATTTTTAGAGCGCATCAAGTTTTCTGGAATTATTCACACAAGTATTCTAGCGAAGGTAGATTTTTACCAGCCTTTTTTAATGAGAGCGATTTTTCCTAGCGAATTTTCAGGATCTAAGGGCGATTTTTTACGGGAATCGGCGATTTTCGGGACACGAATTTTCCAGGGCAAATTTTGTCAGGACGCGTTTGTGGGTCAAATATTCCAACAGAAATTTTTTCGAGACTAAATTTTCTGGGGGCAAATTTTTCACGCATGTATTCCAGGGAAAAGTTTTTCAAGAACGATTTTTTCGTGTTTACATTTTCAGGACAGGCATTTTCCAGGGCGAGACGTGTTTTTAATGTCAAATATTACAAGGGCGATTTTTTCGAGGCTAAATTTCCAGGACACAAAAATTTGTTATACAATTATTCCAGGAAAGAATTTTCGGGTGCGCGTATCCCCAAGGCGACTTTTTCAGGTCTACATTTTCCGGAAGCGGATTTTTCCATAGGGAATTTTCCCAGAAGAAATTTTCCGGGAACAAGTCTTTGAAGATCAAACACAATAGTGATTTTTTCGAGGCTACACTTTCAGGATGAGAATTTTTCTATAGCGAATATCTCCAGTGAGAAACTTTTCCGGGCAGAAGCTTTTAGGGATGAAACATTCCAAGGGCGATTTTTTAAGCGCAACCAAATTTTCTGAAGCGAATTTTCTGGAGATTTATAAGGGCAATTTTTTCAGGAATCGATGATTTTTTAGAAACGAATTTTTCTTAAGAGGAACAAGTATTTACGCTAATTCACATTAATTCGTATTCATTCAAATTAATTAACGTTAATTCAATTAATTCACGATAATTCAAATTAATTTACGTTAATACAAATTAAATCACATTATTGTAATTAATTCAGGCTAATTTAAATTAATTCATGTTAATTCAAATTAATTCAAAGGGGTGTACACCAAAAATTCAAAGTTGTTTCCCCCTAGGTGGGACACTGGGGCTTGTCGTAATATTGGTGAAAAATTAAATAAGAAGGGCACATCATGACGTCTATTCTTGGTAGTGATAATTTGCATTCGAGCTTGCTTTCCTAAATACGTCCAAACAGCGAAATATTGGAATATAGGAACCGAGTTCCAAGTTTAAGGATACTACGAATACGATAAATGTAAGGCCCACTGTGGGTTGTAGTTACTATTATTTCAGATATTGGTACCTATCAAAAATTGCGACGACACATGGTAACGGATACGAATCATTCTGGGTCGAGATCATACCGTGTTGGGAAGTTTTGCGTAATAAAATGAAATTATATGTACACATCCGATATACACTTATAGTCAATAGTGATAATCATAAAGACTATAATAAAAGATAAAGCTCATTTAAAGTCACAATTATTTATACTAAGGTAGGATATATCCGCCCTCCATCCTTTTGGGATCGAGATGCATTTTGAATACCTACTGATAATCTGCTTTCATCAGTACTTCCTCATTGTTTCCAAAGAGGGAAATATCAGAATAAGGTAATCAAACAATATTTCAGGTATTTGGCGGATATCAAAGATCATGCATAAACAGTACAGGATATACATCTTTTCAGAAGAGCTCATTTGGAAAATCATTGCTAGGTACAGTTCCCAACCCAATTATTGAAAGAATTCAGGTACAATATCAAAATAAATGGGACTTGACGAGCCTACTATAGGTAACAAAAACTTAATTTTGAGTTGAATTATTGTCTCAAATATTTCACGTTTATCGAAAATAGTGACTGTATACAGTAACGGATATGAATCCTCACAAATCTGAATTGCTTTATGATTGACGCCAATGCAAGCTAATTGAAACAGTTGTCAAAATACTCACGTGCGACACATTTTCTGACACAATCCACCATAGCAAACGTTTCCAAAGTTGCATTCCGAATCCGAAGAGCAACCTATCAAAGGTCGCTGGCACGATTCCAATGCGTTTCCTACCAGCGGTTGAGGACAGGTGCACACTTTTTGGTGATTAACAATTTTGCATTCAGCATTTGTCCCGCACGATGTAGGCGAAGAGCAAACGTCGATGCACTTGTTATTGCTACAGCTTCGGTCTGATGCGCAACCGTTATCGCTTCTGCAGCCAATTAAGCAAATCAGGTTTTCGCAAATTTCGCTCGTTCTGCAATCGTCGTCGCGTCTGCATAGAGCTTTGCATATGCCGGCCTGTACGTCGCAGCGTTCATTACTTAAACAGCCCTTGTCGGAAGAACATACAGTTTTACACTGTTTATCCATGCAAGTGGTTCCGTAGGGACATCCTCGATTTTCGGTGCACGGTTGAGCAGGCGAACGAACGCACGCCACCTTTGCGGTGGGATTAGGAACGAATCCGGTTCCGCACGAACATGTTGCCCTGTGATTCGAGACTGTACACAAAGCATTTGGTCCACATGGAGATTCAGAGCACGGGTTAACACATCGATTGCTTCGACATGATTCACTTCCACTGCAATCGTCATCAGAATGACATCCCAAGACACACTTGTTATGTAAGCAAATGTGACCTAAGAAACAATCGTTGTCGACGCGACATGTCAAAATACAGATACCCTTCAGACACTTTTCGTTAAATGCGCATTCGTTATCATTTGTACAACGCGAACGACAGGTTTTATCTTGGCAGATGAGTCCGGTCGCACAATCTTGATTGGTATCGCATGCAGTTGGTGCTAAAATTAAACATTTTAATGGAGAAAATGAAAAATTGAGAGGAACATACTTCTAATGCATTCGACATTCTCATTTCCCATAAACCCTTCGGGGCAAGAGCACTGCCTCGCGTGGTTAATGACTTTACAGAGTGCATTAATGCCGCATGCTGACTTTGATTCGCAAGGATTTAAGCATTGGCCTTGAATACATTTCGCAGTTGAATCGCATTCTGTATCCACTTGGCAGGGTGCTTAAATATGAAATTAAACAAGCTGGATATACAAAGTAAAAACTTACGCCTACAAATCTCGCCGTAACAGTAGGTGTTCAAGGGACAGTCGGATGTGGTATGGCAAGATACTGGTTTGGGTGTGCAACCAGTTTTGATATCTGCCGGGTTTCCAATATACCCGTTCAGGCACGTGCAATGACCAACGTGATCTACAGCCACACATTCGGCGTTCGCTCCACAGATTGTGTGTTGGCAAACATCTCTGCATTTATGAATTCCGTTCGCTTTAACGCATTCGGCTCCGCTGGGACAGTCGGAATTGACATTACACTCCACTGCAGTGCGACATCCTTCGTTGTAAGGATCACCAACTGTTCCTGATGGGCATAGGCATCTAAATGATCCTCTAGAGTTATGGCATGATGCTCCAGGTCCACAAGGTGTATCGGCGCAGAAATCGATTAAATGGCAACTTTTGTATGCGTCACCAGTGTAACCTGGTTGGCAGTAGCAAAGCTGTTTGTGCTTTTCTGCGGAGCAAAGTGCATTGCGCCCGCAAGGGTTCCGGGCCAAACACGCAATTTTGCACATGTGTTGTTCACAAAATTTGTCATTACTGCACTGGCTATCAGTTTCACATTCCACTTTACGACAACCAACTTTATCATCCTTTGCATTCCCATAATGCCCAGGTTGACAACTGCATACTGCTTGATGATTTTGAGATGTACATTCTGCATTTCTACCACATATATAGCCACTACATGCATCGACACATTCAGCTTGGCCCCAAGAGTTCCGTATACACTTTTCACTCAAAGAGCAATCACCATCCGAGTGACACCTAAACTCCTGCATACATATATTGTTTGAACAAAACTGAAATTCTGGGCACGACGAATTTGATTTGCAAGTTGGTTGGCAAATTCCTTGAATACATAACTGATCTTGGATACACTCGCGAGAAGTTGCGCATATTGCTGAAATGAGTTGACGTATTTAAAGAACAATTTAAATATAAAGTACTTACAGGTGCAGACACCGGCGGCGCACTTACTACCACCAGGACACTGACCATCATCGGCACAGTACAAAATTGGAACGCAACCCAAGTGAGGATCACCGGAGAATCCGGCGCGACAGTTACAAACGCCCACGTGATTCGCTGACACACAGTCGGCATGTTGGCCACAGACCTTAACCAAAGAGCAAGGATCGACGCATTTCGAATCGACGCACGCTTTCGCCGTTGGACAATCGTTACTATCGAGACACTCAATCGCCGAGCATTCGACGTGCGGGTCGCCTCTCGTTTGCACGGGACATCTGCAGACGGCCGCGTGCAGTTCCGCCACACACTCGGCGTTCCGGCCGCAAACTCCTGGACGATCGCACGGATTTCTGCAACGATTCTCAAGGCAGGTGGCGGACGACGGACAATCGCCATCGGAGAGGCAATCGCCAGGTTTGCGACATCCCGTCACGAACGGATCGCCGACCAAGCCATCCGGGCAGACGCACGTAAAGCCTCCCGGCGAATTTTGACAGCTACAATTAAGACAGTTAAATGTGAATCGGCGCGAGTATGCATACTTACGTAGCAGATCGGTGACACGGATTATTGGTTAGACATTCGTCGATATCAACGCATAGTCCATTGCTTAGCGTGAATCCTTGCAAACATGAGCACAGTCCCATGTGATTTTCGACGTAACAACTTCCTTTGCCGCAATCGGTAACATCACACGGATCTACGAGTAAAACAAAATACACATATAGCACTTATTTATTATATAAGTATAGACAGCCCAATTCTGTAACTTAAAATAACCTTAGCAACTTGCTAATAGCGGAGGTAATTGCTAGATGAGCAACATTTGTTCAAAGTGGTATTCTGTATTGACAAACTTAGCAATATTGTCTAAAATTTTAACAATTCAATTGCTTTACCCTAGCAATAGGTAAAGTGCTGTTGTTAAGTCTTAGCAAGTGTATTTCACCCGTTCAAATATGGCAGGTTGATGGTTTGAATACGAATTTTTAAACGCTGTTAATTCATGTAGTTTTTTAATATCATTTGGAGCAGTTTTTTCATGAACTAACATGGCATTTTTAGCGTATTTTCCAAAGAAGTTGGGTGCGCTATTGCAGCCACTTTCTCTGTCCGTCTGTCCGACGCCTTAACTACTCCTAGAGTTCCAAGATATTTAGTTCGTTCTTTTTGCATTCAGTAGCGTATAGCTCTGGCATCTGAGCCAAGGAAAATCTTGACGATTAAACTGCGCAATGTTAATTTTCCTATTTATAGAGATATTTTTTTGAAATTTTAAACATAGATGTCTCTAGTAAAGATAAGTATACTAAGTATACCCGTAGCCAAGATATATCCCGTAGCCTACCGATAGGTTATGGTATACCGGATATTGAAAACATCAGTGTGTTTGCGCAACTGTCAAATTTCATTTCTTATTTATAGAGAAATTGTAATAACAGATAGGAAAGATAATCGTATTTGGCACCTGAACCAAGAAATATCATAACAATTAGACTGCGCATGTGCATTATGTCCATTCTGTGAACTTTTGGGAACTACTGATTAATGCATGGAAAATGCGCTAAAGTTACTTGCCTTAGGGCGAAAACTTTTTTACTTGTTTTCTAAATTGTCCACACTTATGGAATGCTGCTCCTATGTTGTTCTAGTGCCACGTTGTTTGGTATCTGTATTTTCCATGGCGAGAAAATACAAATTACAAGTCGCACGGCACTTGTAAAGCCACAACGCGTTTAATCGAGGCCTACGATACTTACAGGCCGGAGCGCTCGAAAAAGTCACGTGACGTTAGGAGTCATATGAAATACATTACGGCTTATGGAAAATCCGTGCGCGGCTCCACTATTTATTTTTTTACTCCGGATCCGTTCAACATAGAGCCACGAATTTCAATGGGAGCTTGTCAATAGTACACACAATCAAATTATGGTGTACGTTAATTTTTAATAACACTAAAAATAATTAATTTTTGGGTTTAAAGTATTGAAGATAAAACGATGTTAGTAAATCCGTGTTTTTCAATCTTTACATCGTCATATTTCTTTTTCTAGGAACTATATCATTATAATCCTTTCGGTGTCTTAAACTAGAATGATATGCGCCTCCAATTATGCGTATATAATGCCTGGTATTAGTATAGTTTTAACAGGCCCTACAAAATCGCGCATTTATAATTCGCGCAGAGCAAAATTCGCCATGCGAGAAACTTTTTTGTTATTGCTATAATTGTATCACATATATCGAATGAATTGTGGCCAAAGGACACAAAAATGTTCTTCAGAAGGAATTTTTAAGAAATGGTCTCTTGTTTCCTTTTTTTCAGCAGCTGAAATAAATAGCACGATTTCAAGAATAAGTGAACGCGCAAAGGTATTATTATGTTTCAAATAATTGTTAGTAATCGATTTTCAAATAAATTGTGTTTGTGAGATTTAAATTTACATTAAACTTATAAAATTAAAAATATTAGTATCGTAGGCTTTCATCTTCGTTCTATGAATAAATAAAAATAACCTTTTGAATAAAGAAGTTTTAAAAAATAACTTTTTCTATCCAACTTACAGCAGTTTTAGTAAAAAGTACAGCTTGTAGAGAATAGGCAGTGCCGGACTGGCGCAGGCCGCTAGGCCGCTAAAGCGGGGTTTTAAAATATGACTGTGTCTATATTCTTGAAATATATTATTAATTTTATATTTGTAGGGTTTATTGAAATCTGAGCAACATAATATCATATGAAAATTGGTAAGAAATAACTTCCTTTGCACGCGCCGATCATGGTACCTATTCCTAGGGCTGGACTGGGTTGGTAAGCGCCCCGGGCGCGTAATGATCAAAAAGCACCCACACTCAAGACACCCCCCTCCGAAAAAAATACAAGGAAATTTGCATTTTTATTTCAAACAACTTGCACTTTCCAGAAGCAAAACGCAAATGGTGGTTCCGCTCGGGCGTTTCTCGCTACTCCACATTGCGGAGCCTCGGTTAGCCGTGTTAGTGAGCCCCCGCGGTGGAAGCCCCACTTCGCCGGCCTACGAGAGCCCCGTCCGCTTGAGCGGCTTAGCGGCCTGGACCAGTCCGGCACTGCCTATTTAAGGTGTACTTTTTACTAAAACTGCTGTAAGTTGGATAGAAAAAGTTATTTTTTAAAACTTCCTTATTCAGAAGGTTATTTTTATTTATTCATAGAACGAAGATGAAAGCCTACGATACTTACCAGGCCTCACAGGCGGACAAGAGAAATTTCCCATTTCACTTTCATACGAGCAGTATAACTAAAATACTTTATGTACTGCAAAATTCATATTAACGAAGATATAAGATATACTCCATACTTTTGACTGATAATATTTTTAATTTTATAAGTTTAATGTAAATTTCTCACAAACACAATTTATTTGAAAATCGATTACTAACAATTATTTGAAACAAGAACATTTTTGTGTCCTTTGGCCACAATTCCATTCGATATATGTTATACAATTATAGCAATAACAAAAAAGTTTCTCGCATGGTGAATTTTGCTCTGTGCGGATAATAAATGCGCGATTTTGTAGGGCTTGTTAAAACTATACTAATACCAGATAAGGCTTTACATGCGCATAATTGGAGGCGCATATCATTCTAGTTTAAGACACCGAAAGGATTAAAATGATATAGTTCCTAAAAAAAGAAATATGACGATGTAAAGATAGAAAAATACGGATTTACTAACATCGTTTTATCTTCAATACTTTAAACCTAAAAATTAATTATTTTTAGTGTTATTAAAAATTAACGAACATCATAATTTGATTGTGTGTACTATTGACAAGCTCTTATTGAAATTTCGTAGCTCTATGTTGAACGGATCCGGAGTAAAAAAATAAATAGTGGAGCCGCGCAAGTATTTTCCATAAGCCGTAATGTATTTCATGACTCCTAAAGTCACGTGGTGTTTACACGACTTTAGTTTACCGTGAGATTCACATACCCACGACTACAGTGCCCTCTATCCGTGACCACCCATTTTGTATTGAAAGCATAGGGCTAATAGCAGTCCATGTACGATATGATCTAAGGCAATTGTCGTAACACAGCTAATATTTTTGAGATGAATAGGCAAATGTCAATGAATGCAAATGTATGAAAAATAATAAAAAGTCATTCAAAATAAAGTTGTAAGGTTTTTGAAGAATTCGTTGGTTGTTATAATACCAACAGGTTTTCCTTGTGTTTACTAACACTTATTCAACGTGTGTGAGTATTGGCAACGCAATATTTTCCTGACCAGAATCGAAACGGTGAATTTGATCTTCGGCGGGATAGTACAGCAATCTTGCTATAGTTAGCAATATTGCAAACTTGTTAGTTACAGAATTGGACTGAATATTTCTTGATAAAAACTAAATTTGGCTCGATAATGACTCGTTGTTATTGTGTAGTATTGAGTAGAGATTGCAAGTTGAGTTTGAGTCAGATAATCTATTCAACCAAGTATATAAAAACAGTACTTACTCATGCATTTGTTACTGTTGATATCACAATATTTGTCACTGGGACAATAGGTACTGCTGACGCATTCCACCTTAAAACAACCCAAATGAGTGTCCAATGGATCTCCCAAATAACCAGTCGGACAGGAGCACGCGGCACTATGATCGAATACATTGCAAAGTGCATTGTGGCCACATTTTAACACTGCACACGGATTAGTGCATCGACCTTCGTGGCAGGCTAACGAGTTGCCGCATTCAGAATCTCGACGACATTGGTTTGGTAGCGAACAACCAGGCGCAATGAAGGGATCGCCAATGTATCCTTCGGGGCAACTGCACCTATACGATCCCGGTGTGTTCACACATATAGCGCTTGAGGGACAAGATCTGTTGTTGCATTCATTTACGTCAATGCACTGATTATTCTCGTTGATAAATCCGTTAGCGCATTGGCAATTACCGCGTACACAAATGTGATTCGGAGTACAGTCGGTATGTGTTGCGCAACCTATTTTGCATACACCCTTCTTGCAAACTTCTCCAGGTAAACAGTTGCTGTCGCCGAAGCACACTTTCACACAATTATTGTCCATGCAACGTTCTCCTACAGCACACATGGAAGCTTCTGAGCAGGGCATTGAGCACTGATTTGCAATGCACATATGCGCCGCAGGGCAGTCATTTGTAGCCGCACAGAGAATGAAAGATCTAACACAGCCTTCCTCTGGTGTAGGATTTCCTTGAAATCCAGCTGGGCATTTGCATGTTGTCGAATGTTGAACGCAAGAGCAAAGGGCATTCGGTCCGCACACTCCTTCCTGTTCGCACGGATTTTGACATTTGTTGTTAATACAAGCTTGATCGTGTGGACAATTTTTGTTACTGCGACATCCCAACAGGCACATTCCATTGACGCAAGCTTGATTATCTCGACATTGGCTGTGTCCGACACAAGGTATCATACACATCTTTTGCAGGCAGCGTTCTCCGTAAAGACAGTCCTCGTTACTTCTGCAAACCGCTTTACATTGACCGTTGAAGCAAACTTCACTGCCACAGTCATGATCGCTACTACAACTCGTCGAGATCCTTATGCAGCCACTTTTCGGACCTTGAGGACCAGGCAAAAACGAAGGCGGACATGTGCACAACGGCGCGCGGTTTATCACTTGGCAAAGAGCGTTAGGTCCGCATACCAATTCATCGCAAGGGTTCACGCATTTACCGGCGTGACAGACGGATTGTACTGGACAATCGACGTTACCGTTTGGACAATCTCCTTCAGGACGACAACCGGACAAAATCGGATCTCCTATCGTATTTTGTGGACATTTGCAGACAGGTCCATTCGATGTCGATTCGCATACGGCCGACGCGTGACAGGGATTCGGTTTACAAACTTCTAATAACTTGCATTCGACTTCTGGTATGGGATTGGCACGATATCCCGGTGGACACTGGCAGGTTGCTTTGTGATTTTCTGATATGCATACGGCGTTTAGGCCGCAAGATTCTTCCTCGCAGACATCGGTGCATGTGTGGGTTAACCTGTTGCAAAGCTGCTGAGGTGGACAGTCAAGGTTGTAAACGCAAGGGACGGTTCTACATCCGGTGCTTAGATTGGTGGGGTCGCCGACGTAAGGTCCGGGCGGGCATTGGCACTGAGGTACGTGGTTATTAACGATACAAACGGCGTGAGGACCACAGGTAAGGCTGTCGCAGGCTGACTGACAAACAAGCGCGTCAGACTCGTGATGTTTTCTACAGATTTGATGTTCGGCACATTGTGCGTCTGAGCCACACTCGTTTTGTATTGCAGGTTGACATCCACTGCGATCTCGTGGGTTTCCGGTAAAACCTGGCAAACACTGGCAATGTCCCTTATGCGACTGCGCAATGCAAATCGAGTTAGGTGGACAGGTAAATTGCGAGCACACCTGAACACATTTAGGAACACCCAAAGCGTCTGGAACACATCTCGCAACTTGCTGGCAGTCATTGTCAACAATACAATCGGGCACCGAAGGTTTTTCACAAACTGATGAAATTGGGTTCCACTTGTAATCCGATTTGCAGACACAAGTTGGATGTTTGAATTGGTCCAGTTGGCAGTACTCGTGAAGTCCACATGCTACCGTTGCACAAGGATCCACGCATTTGTTAATCCCACTCATATCAATATCGCAGATCGATCCTGAAGGACAATCTACATCGTGATCACATTCTCTTGGTGGTTTGCGCTCTTCCAACTGGCAACCTAGGAGTAAATCACTCGGGTTGCCCTTATACTCAGGCGCACAAATACAGGTGGATCTGTGATTTGCGCTGACGCAAAGCGCGTTCGGGCCGCACTGTACTTTGCTACACGCATCCACACATTTTCTAACACCTTTCCCAAGCTGGAAGCATATTTCTAAGTCGGAACACTCGGCATCGTTATGGCATTGTCTCCGCAATTTACAGCCGGAAATCAAATCGTTAGCATTTCCAACAAAACCAGGGGGACAAATGCAGCGTCCCGCATCGCATAAAGCTTTAGGTCCACATCTGATATCCTCGCATACGTTCCTACATCGTCCATTATCGCATAAAAATCCTGCTGGGCAAAGAACATCGTTACTGCAACGGCACGACCCGGCATCCAGACATATTCCTCCATCCATTTTTGAGCACAGCACGAATGGATTACCCATAAAACCTTCTTTGCATCTGCAATCGTAACTTCCAATAGTGTTGATGCAGACCGCGTGGTCGCCACAAGCATTGTTGATACACTCGTCTATATCGTGGCATTGAACGTAAGGATTTCCTTTAAAGGCGGGAGGGCAGTAGCATTCGACGCTATTAAAGGTTTCTTTACATTTGGCGCCAATACCGCATTTGGCAGTCGCGCAGGTTGCTGCCAAACTGTTACATTCGGTATAAGGATTTCCAGTGGTACCCGGATCACAGACGCATTGGTTTATAACGAAGTACTCGCAGTGGGCGTTCTTCCCACAACCGGGCGCGCACTTCGGTTTTTCGATCGCTAAAATATTCGTTGACGAATTTGTTAAGAAAATCTTGCAGTTGTACTTACGTGGTACGCAAATGAGATCGGGGTTGCCAATGAAAGATGGTCTACACACGCATTTATTTGTGGCAACGTCGCAATGGGCGTCAATTCCACAAACGACACCTTCGCAGGTCTCCTTGCAGCGACCGCCAATGCACACGCTCGGGTGTGCGCAAGGATTTGCTGCGGAGCAGACGTCCGTCGTACAGTCACCGCCTGGGAATGGATTTCCGCTCAAACCTTCGATACACTTGCAAGTTGGACCGGAGTTGGTTACAATGCACTGTGCACCAGATGCGCAAAGATACCCATCGCATACTGTAATAATAGATTAAGTTAAATCATTAGATAGTGGATTTGTGATCATAATTGAAGTTTCAGTAAAACTAGATACTTACACGAAACACATTCGCCATCCTCGTTTTTAGTAAATCCGACTGAACATCTGCACCAAGCTGCATGATTCTCAGGTTCGCAGTAAGCGTTAGGTCCACAGAGTAGTGAACCGCACGGACTGATACAAGTACCATCGACGCAGGCAAGTGTACTAGCGCAATCGTTATTAGTGGTACATTCGGCTTTGCTGCTACCATTCAGATCGAGAATACACCCCGATTTATAAGGATCACCAACCATTCCCTTCGGACAAACGCATTTGTAGCCCCCTTTTTCGTTTAAGCAGTGAGCAGCATAGGCGCATGGGTTACTCAGGCATTCATCTACATCGACACAACCTTGGAGAGCATCGCCTTTAAAGCCGTTCAGGCACATACACCTTGGGGGATCACTCGGCGTGCATTTTGCATTGATTCCACAAGGGAATCTCTCACATGGATTTCTACAGGAACCATCTTGTCTATCGCTAAAGAACGGCGGCGGGCAAATGCACTCTCCGGGTTGTACGCACTTCTCGTTTGCTGAACAGTCATTATCGTTAATACATCTCTTGTGCGCTGGTGAGCAGTGACCATTATACGCATCACCGTCATATCCAGGAGGACAATGGCATTCGTAGGAGCCTTGAGTATTCACGCATTCCGCCCCGTAACCACACGCGTCAGTTAGGGTGCACTCGTTTAGATCTTCGCACGAACCGTCAGTCATAGTTTGATAGCCTTTAGGACACGCACAGTAGCTAACACCTCCTGTGATTGTTATACATTCTGCGCCTGCTGGGCAAGGTTCACCTTTTGAACACCCAGCCAGCACGCAATTGCCATCCATTAGTTTGTAAGGTGGTTGACACCGACATTCAGGCGTATTGCATTCTAAAAGCAATGCATTAATTAAGGTCTGAAATAAATCAATAGCACATACCTATGCACTCAGAGAAGGGATTTCCATTATATCCAGGTGGACATTGACAATCATAGCTTCCCGGTAAATTTTTACAAATCGCACTTAACCCACACGCAGGTTTATCTCTCAGTTCTGTGCATTCATTGATGTCTCTACATCCTCCAGTATTTTTGTCTCTAACGTAACCTTGCACGCAAATACAAGCGCTTTGGCCTAAATAATCATCGGTTATGCACTGTTCTCCACTAGGGCAAGGATTTGCAGCCGAGCAAGTCATGGGTTGTTCCGACTTTGAACATCCGGATCTGTACGGGTCTCCCGATGTACCTCCCGGGCACTCACATGAAAAACCACCCGGTTCATTTTTACAAATTCCTCCCAGCGCACACGGGTTTCCAATACATTCGTCAATGTCTACACATCCTGCGTGAGTGCTAGTATAACCAGCGCTACAAATACATTTGGCCTCGTGGTTTAGAAGCATACAATGCTGATTGGGACCACAAAAAACTGATTCGCAAGGATCTAGGGTTTAATTATGTAAGACATAGTCGTAAGGGCTTTGTTTATACATACGTCTACAGTCGTTGCCAACGTTCGGTTCAGGACAAATACAACGCTTTTGAGGGTCACAAATTCCATTTCCCGGACAATCTTCCTTCGCCTTACATTTCACAATTTCGCTACACTGCGTATACGGGTCGGGATCGGGCACCGATCCGTCAGGACATACGCAAGTGTACGATCCGGGGCTGTTCTTACAGATGGCACCAACGCCGCATGCATTTGGTTTCGAACATTCGTCGATATCAAGACATTGCATTTGCGCGTTTCCCGTGTAACCTTCGGGACAGTAGCAGGAGAAGCTTCCGGGTGAATTTTCGCATACCGCGTTAAGGCCACATTTCCCATTCGGACCGTAGTTTTTCTCACATTCGTTTATATCTGGAAGGTTAAAGTTAGGTTGTCACTTTGTGAAATTAATTGTGGGAGAACTCCATTGTAGATTTTTTCCCATCGACACAATAACTACTAAGGCACTCAATTGAAATTTTTGATAAGCTTAAACATGAAATAGGTACTGCTGGCTAACAAAATGATTGTTGATTTCTGCAATTATGTCATCCAGGAAGGTTTGGAGACTAAATAGGCCAGTAAATGAACGTGGAATACGGCGATACTGTGTAATTTTCCGCGTCTCCACCGAATGGCATGAAAATGTGGATTTAGGTTCTACTTACCCTCCACTATTTTTTAGGGGAAAAACTACCCCTATTAGAAAAAAATCGTATAATTGTAAATTAAAGCGGGTAATAGATTCAAATCATCTTTTAAAGGAGTGAATAAATATCAATTAACATGAAACAACATAACTTAAGATTTTATCACAGTTTAACCCCTAAATCTTACCTCTAAAATAGTTATAATTAAAACAATGTCATAGAATACTTTGACTCCACTGATTTGCATGGAAATTTGGATTTATGTTATTCTTACCCTCCACTTCAAAATTGGACTTGTGCCGTTGGTTGCTGTTTATTTTTTATATTCAATTAAATTTAGATTTCTTTAATATTTTTATTTTCTACCAATTTCTACCCTTGCGAAGAAATTCGAATAGTTGTAGTAATTTTTTTTCTTCATTGATACTGTATATACAGTAATTTTTTAATTACAATTTTACGAATTTATTTTATTTCAATTAAAAAAACAACCCTTATTGTTTGACATACGTCCTAGATCTCTAGATTTTCAATAACAAATAGACAACAATAACATTTATTTTTAAATTATTCAAATTAATTTTTTTTAACCCTTATTTTTAAAAGGGTTGTAATGAGTCACTAATGTCGAGTGTATGCAAACTTTGGCCATATCTTAACCAATTTTTGTTTTACAGAAAAACAAAAAAAAAAGCAAAATGTTCAGAAAAGCAAAAGCTACACTACTACTTTTTATTCTTGTGCATTTTTCGTATCACTAATACTTTTGAAGTTATTTTGAAAAAAAAAGTAATTTTTCAAAATTTCAAAATTTTTTTTTACTTCAAAACTACATTTTTTTAATTTTTAAAATAAGCACTTTGCACCGGTCAAACTTACAGATCATATAAACATTACATAAATAAAGTAAACTGTAAAGCGGTAACGCTTAATTACAATTGGGGTGCTAATTAGGGGGTGATTTCCTTGATTTTTTTTACCAAAAAAAAAGACCAACTTTATTTTGAGCGTAACTCACTTAGTTTTGATGCTAACTTTTCTAAAAAACAAAAAGAAAGGTTTTTTCAAACACTTTAAAAAAAGTATTCATAAGTTTTTCCCGAAAAGTGCCTCATTTTTTGGTTATTTCACGTTGAAGTACTCGATTTGGAATTTGACGAATGAGAACCTACCTTTCATGAGCTACAACTCTGCTTCTACTGGGTCTACAGACTTCATATATAGACCATTTTGTTTGTTTTTTTATAAGCTATATTTTTGCTAAGAATACTTTTTTCGATACAATACTTACTTTTAGAGTTATTTGCGAAAAACTGTCTGAAAGCGTGTTTTTTTTTGTTGAAAAATGAACATTTTCACTCGCAAATAACTCGAATACTATTGACTTAGTGAAAAAACTCTATACAGGGTGGTGACTTGCGTAACGCATCATAGGGATTGCAATGTAAAATTCATAACATGCGATTATTGGCTCCCCAAATTATTTTAGAGCAAAAATGTATTAAGATTTTTTGTAGAAAAAATTTTTTTACACCAATCAACCGTATTAGTTTTCAATTTTTTTCATGTAAAGACGGAAAATTGGAAAAAAAAACCCGCATCTTTTTCAATAATCTACGATGCCATGGAATTTTCTAAAACAAAAAGATACTTATCCAGTTATCAATTAGCAGCAGTTCGAAATGGATTTTATGATCGACTGGGTTACTGTATTGCAGTTAATGGTGACTTACTCGAACATTTATTGTAAATTGTTATATCAGGAAACCGCGTTTAGTAATTTGGTCTTTCTTTATGTCGAATTCGCTGTTCTAAATATAATACTTTTTGATAAAATTTGATTTGTTTTATAGCAGACATTCCATGGCATGACGGATATTGGCGTAATTTTTGTATTATAAAATTCCATGGCATCACAGACTATTGAAAAAGATGTGGGTTTTATTTTCCAATTTTCCGTCTTTTTTATGCAAAAAATTGAAAACTAACACGGTTGATTGACGTAAAAAATTTTTTTCTACAAAAAATCTTAATACATTTTTGCTTTAAAATAATTTGGGGAGCCAATAATCGCATATTATGAATTTTACATTGAAATCCCAATGATGCGTGACGCAAGTCACCACCCTGTATAACAAAAGTTGCTTAGAATTACTCAATTTATCAATTTATTTTGAACGTATCTTTTTCCCCCCCAAGAAGGAGTGGCATTCACCCCCCAAGTAAAAGCAACCCTGGGCTCAAGTTCACCTTTGAAGTAGAGGGTAAGAGGAACCTAAATCCAAATTTTCAAATAAATCCGGCGAGGCGCGAAAAATTACACGCCAAAACGGTCATTTACTGGTCTAAAAATAAAGGCCTAATTTCTATTGAAATGTTTAAAAAGACAGCGACAGGTAGGCTAGTTGGTTTTAATAACGAGAGAAGAAGCTACAGCGGGGCATTTTCTGATCCAAGGGGCGCAGAAATACGTACAGCAGGTTTAAATTATGCAAATGACCCACAACAATTACAAAAACATATGTTTGAAATATTTTGAAAATCTCTGTGTGTGATAAAGGTTCATTTCACGCGACAAGGTTTCCATTATATGTATTTAGATGCCAGATCTTAGATAACAAAATAAAAATATTATAACTTGTTTATACTCTATGCCCTATACGTTCAAGATTGGCCAACCAAATCGGCTTTAGAGCGTCGCCTGCCCAAATGAGAATAATTTTCAGATACTGTACTAAAGATCCATTAGCCACAAGCGCCAAGTACTCTAGCAACGGCTATGTCTGATGTAGTCAAATAAAAGTCACTTACCAATACAACCAGCTGCTATATCACTAGGATTAAAAGTCCAACCATCTTCACAAATACAGTATGCTTCTTGTCCGTCCGGTTTACAAAAAGCGTGCTGACCACATTTTACGTCCTCACAAGGTGCCTTACATTGTATCCTAGGTGGCGCACCGATGTATCCACTTTCACATTCGCAATGAAAGCTACCGGGTGTATTTGTGCACATCGAAAAAGTACCGCATGGATGCGCTTCACATTCGTTAATATCAACGCAGGTCGCGCCTTGCGGAACGAACCCTTTTTGACAAAAACACTGACTGTCTACACATTCGGCGTTATTAGTGCAGTCAAAATTCGATTTGCATAAAATATTCACATCAAACTAAAATTACGAATAAAACAGAATTGCAAGCGCTCGATCACTTTTACCTGTTCGCAAGCAACTTGGGGCGATGGGTTCCCCCGATATCCCTGAGGGCAAATGCAGTTATAGCCCGGAGCTGCATTCTCGCAAATGGCAAAGTTTCCGCACGGTTTCTCCAAAGCAACGCACTCATCAATATCCACGCATCCTTTAAATGGATCTCCGGTATAGTCCTCCTTACACGAACAGAGGAATCCGCCGATTGTGTCTTTACACACTGCATTCTTTCCACAAGGATTCGTGTCACATTCATTTATATCTACAGAAATGTGGTTACAATGGGATGTTTTCAAAAAATCAAACATAAAACCTAAAGAAAATACTGCAAGAAACAGAACAGTAAAGACAAGATAAGATATAAAATTTGCAAGATATGAGCGCTGAAAGTGAAACTAAATCATTATCACAAAGAAAAAAGAAACAAGAACAACATCTGTACAAAAACATAATTTGTTGCACAAGAAAGCCATAGGTAAGTAAATAGATGAAAATGGAGTTATAAGCGTAAGCGAAATTTTAATAAAAGCACTAACTTTCGCAATATAGCTGCCCTTGGCCAATAAAACCAGGAGGGCAGATACATTTGTATGATCCCAGTAGATTAATGCATTTAGCGTTTATCCCACATGAGTTAGGCCGACCACATTCGTTGATATCCAGGCATTCTTCGTGAGCTGAGCCGGTATATCCCTCCGGACATAAGCAACTGAAGCTCCCGTTAGTGTTGACGCATTTCGCGTTTTGTGCGCATGGATTTGAGTCACACTCGTTAATATCTAACGACAGCATTAGTGCACGGTTACATATATCGGCGGTAAGCAAATCGTGTGTGTATATGAAGAGTGATTTTCAACAACGGGCTGTGTTGGTTAAAAACTGTTATTCACACTAATTACGATTAGTTACAAAAAATATATTTTTGTACGACAACAGAAAATCAGTCTTCACGATTGTTTCGTTTTAGATATATACATTTGTCCACAAAATTTGAATGGTACTCACCTGAGCAGATTACCAACGGATCTCCTGCATATCCTTTGGGACAGGTACAGCTGAAGGTGCCCTCCAGATTCGTACATTTAGCATTCTTCCCGCACGGGTGTCTCGCGCATTCATCAACGTCATCGCAACCTGTAGTGTAAGCATCTCCTTGGTAACCGGGTGGACAACTGCACTGTTTGCTACCATCCAAATTTGTACAGACAGCACCAGGTCCGCAAGCATTCTCATCTTCACATTCGTCGACATCAGTGCACTACAATTACAAATTAACCCCCAACTCTAGGTACCTAGACGTCGACTTACTCCATCGTACGGATTTCCGCGGGAGCCCAGCGGGCACGTACACGTATAGTTTCCGGGCAAATTTTGGCAAAGGGCATTTCTTCCACACGCTCCCGGCTTTGCACATTCGTCGATATCTAAAGCGGCACATTAAACGATGCAACAGTTTTACGAAAACTGCCTTACCTAAACATGCAATTTCACCATCGCCATGATATCCAGGCAAACATTTGCAGACGAAATGGGCGGGAACGTTGCAGCATTCAGCATTAGCGACACATCTTGATGCAAGTCTTGGATCATCACATTCGTTTATGTCTAGAAATAGTTTTTTTATTAAGTCGGTATGTACCGGCCTACACATTTTGTAGTAGTCTCCACATCAATCGCCATGAATTAGATGGTACTTACGTCACGAATATTATTCTAACACAAAGAGAAATATGGACTGATCGCACAATGTGAAGTGAGATGCGAAGGAGGCTAATTTGAGTTTTTTCTTACTTCACGACACAATTTTGAACAACTGGCTCATGCATATCAACTGCATTCGACATAATATTACACAACTCGCATGGGAAGCTGTGTGATCTTATAAACATTTTAATCATGCAGGGAGTGTAAAGAAAAATATATATTCAAAGCAAGAGAAACCTCCACAATCCTAGAAATCCTTCCACAAGTCTTCTGCATAACTAAAGTTATCACCGTGACTAATAAGAAACGTTAAGGCATGAGAGATGGAGCTGAGACTCATACAAAATTTTGAATTTTCCAATGTAGTGGCTACGGAGGAAAATCGAAAAAACTATTATTGTATTACAAAAATTTCTTTATAGTAGGTATAATCGACTTTGTGTTTTTATTTTCGTCTGTGGAGTGAATTTGTTGTACTTTATTTGTTGCTAAGTATTTTTTAAAAAGTTTGTCACGTGTGTTTATGAGCCTAGTAAATTTTGATTCTCTTGTACTTTAGGCAAGCCGAGTTGTTTAGCTGTAAAACAAAAATTTAAAAAGTGTTTGTGAAAACAGATAAATGACAACATAAACTATGCATATGGTTGATATAACGGGTGATCAAAAATAAGGTGCTGTGGAGTCGCCTTTGGAAGTTCAAATTAAATACGATTTCCAATGGAAACAAAAATTCCAAAGGTGACGAAATAGTCGACAGCAACTCATTTTTGATCGCATAGTACAAAAAATGGAGAAATTCGTGATGCTATCATTGTAGCATGTATTTCTTATGAACATGTTCTGACGGGCCTTAAGGAATACACGGTGCAATAATTGACCCTCGAATTGACCGCACCGTGACCGGACCATAATCTGACTGTGATGTGACCGATAATGTTAATCTGGCTTTAAGGTACATCCGAGGGTACATCATATATTGATTTTGTTTATTATTTATTTATCCTGGAGGAGGATAGTCTTTGTTATGATGACTGACAAGTGGCAAACGCCAAACGTCATCCAACATGCGACTTGATATATCAAGGTCTAAGAACCTCGTTAAGGACATCAATTTTCTGTTACTTCCAACTTGCGTGTATTAAAGAGAGATAACCTAGATATGACGCAACTGCCAGTTCCCATTATACAGACCTTAGCTAGGTAGGTGTCTGTTGGGTGGTACATATTTTGACCGCATATCATTGCACGCAGCAATATAAAATTGCAAAACTGTTAAGTATTTATTTATTTCAATGATTTGTTTACCTTTACTTTTTACCTCGCTTTTTACCAAAAAGAAAGACAAAAAGACAGTGTGATGTACGTCAAATTTTTTTCATAAAAATTCGTAAATTTAAAATGTTACGATGGAAGGCTCTGCCACACAGAGAGCGGTCTGCGATATTTGTATTCTGTTAAACGCGGGCAGTCGCGCGGCCAGAACACTCTCTGTTTTACAGGTACAATGCATTTACCTACATATAAGACAGATATCGCCTCGGATATCGCAGACCGCGCTCTGTGTGGCAGAGTCCTTAAAGTTCTGTCCACTCAAGTTGATGCAATCTCGAGGGGTAAATCACTGGAATAATTTGATGTACACAGTTTGAGCAATATATGTAATAGTACAAGGACTGAGTACCATTTGATTGTTCACAGGTTGATATGAAGGAGTCTCTTATGTTCTATGGATATACTCTACGCCTTGGCCTTCTAGCTATGGTATTGGATTGGTTATTTGGTGGGTTTATACATCATTAATTCCCTAAGCTCAGGATGGTTTCGTTGGTTAGCAACGCGCAATAATCCTTTGTTTCGTTTGGCTATTTCTTAATGATTGTTAATAGTGAACTGATATAGGTAATCTTGTATAAACCCACCATTTTTTACTCTTATGTTGGTAGTACTAAAAATTTTCACAAAAAACCAGATGTTGCCAACATTAAAAATTTACATTTCCTTGGGTAGGGTACTATATAATTTAAAAATTAGAAAAAATATTCTCGCACAACAGAATAGCACCGTTTGAGGCAGCCGTGAGAGAAATCTTTCGGCTGATTTAATGGATTACTCACCACTTGGAAAGTTTCCAGGGCAAATCAACTATGTCCCAAGATTAGATGTAACCTATCCTCAAAGGTCACTCAGATTAAAGGTACAATTGAGACTACAAATGAAATTACCTTGGAACACTTACACTTGGCTACTGTTTAGAGTCATATCCCCGGAGATTACACGAATAAATGCGCGTCTGTCTGTTCAACAGTTTATTAAACTCTACATAAAAAACTAGCATATAATTCCAATATTAATAAAAAAAATAAGAATATCACTTAATTTGAGGATTGATCGCGCATCATAATGTTATGTCGCTGCAGTATGCGTAGGACGGTATCTTTGAGAGTCTGAGGTTTGCAGTACTCCTCGAGCCAGCTGAATACGCCGGCGGAAAGTTCCGAAAAGTTATTTACGGAGACCGTACGAAACGTCATAAACAGCTGCTCCATTATCAGTTGAAAGACGGAAAATTTAACTTCGTCCGATACGCGAGTCTCGGTATGGCTAGGCTGCGACTGCTGCGCTTTGACGATTTGTTCGTAGTTCGTTTGCATGATGCGTAAGGCGACGACTTCCTTTCGTAACGCGTTCCGTTCGTCCTCCTGCTTCTTTTTCTGCTGCTGCAAGTACTGGATGTAGTCGATCGATTTCTGTAGTACGGTCGCCTTGCTCAGTTTGTAACCGGAGACGTCGGTTTGTTGACATGTTGGCACCAATTCTTGTAAAGTATCGTAGCCTTTCTTAATGGCATCTCTACGTTTTTGTTCGGCTTGAGTGTGTGCCTCGCGACGACGCTCCTTGTAACTCAACGGCGAATTTTTACAATCCGGCTCCTCTTCGTCGTCCGTATTGTGGGAGGCCATCGATTTGAACGTGTAAACTAAACACAAGTTGCTTTGACGTTGTATTAATACGACTGTTTTTCCTCATACCTTTCGCTTAGAAGTTGTCCAATGCGAGGTCACATTACATTCAGAAACCAGTTTAACTAAAACCCACTCTTTTGCACTTAATTATACTAAAAGTAATGAAATTTTTAAATAACGACTTCAAACGCACCTTCACACAACACAACACGAAACAGCTGATTTGGTTCTCAAATCTCAGTGCAGCCAACCTAACGAAATTTTCCCACAATGAATGCGCCGCCAATTCCAATTTGAAATTGAGACACGAACTGAATTGTTAATTCTTAACAAACTTTCCTCCATAGAAAATTATCTAGTCACGATGGTCAATGAATGCCTTACACGTTACTATTATAATAGCCCGGCCTAACTGTTCATTATCGAACGAAGAGAAAAAAATTAAGAATCACTCGCTTTAAAACGGAAATTTGCCAGTTAGCTTCTTTTGAATTACTGTTAATTTTACTAACGGATTTGGCAGACGTTCTAATGTGGTTTAATGTGTAAATAATAATAACTTTCTACCCAACGGTATAATACACCACGAATTTGTATAAAGGATAAATTATAATAGCGCCAAGCGAACACGACCAAACAAAGGTTTCTTTCTCGAGTCGTAATGACCATGAAACTCTATTTTAAACAGTTTTGATGGTGTTAAGCCTAAAATTTTAATTTTCGGTATAATATTCCATTCCTATTATTCCCAATTCAATAATTTTTGCCCTCTATCGGGGACCGAGCAGACATTATTACATCGGTGAATGCAGTTTCCGTATTAAGTGCGGATTTGGGAAAGGAATGTGGGAGCCACCCACACCACATAACTTGTGGATGGATGGAGGTACCTAATTGCGTTGGGGATGTTTTGGACGTTTCATACTGATGCCTGTGCTAATGGTCTGTTTCATACCCTTAACGATTCATACATAGTTATAATTCATTTTTGGACGTTGGGAAAATTTCATACCCAAAATCATATCCACGGACCACGACGATTTATACCTACACAAGACTGTTCATTTTACGACGGATCATTTGTATTGAACGAGACAGTTAATTATCGTTTTGTCAAAGAATTAGCCCCTTCCGTATTTACATCATATTTGGGAATACCCTGTATAGAGAGATCATCCTCTATTATAGGTATTATTCTTATCTCGATATTATTACAAGTGTTCGAATATGCATCCAGTTATTTTTTGAAAGAATTTTGTTTGACTAGAATCAGATAACTTTGTAACGATACGAAAATTAGAATTAGGGTATAATAATATACAGGGTGGTAACTTGCGTAACGCATCATAGGGATTTCAGTGTAAAATTGATAACATGCGATTATTGGCAAATTATTTTAGAGCAAAAATGTATTAAAGTTTTTTGTAGAAAAAATTTTTTTACGCCAATCAACCGTATTAGTTTTCATTTTTTTTCCTAAAAAGACGGAAAATTGGAAAAATAAAACCCGCATCTTTTTCAATAATCTGCGATGCCATGGAATTTTCTAAAACAAAAAGTAACCCTTCTGTTATTTTTGATATCACATTTACTTATTGCTTGTAATAGAAAATTCGTTTATAAAATTTATTAAATAAAATAAAAAATGTATTCATTATTCGAGAAAATTGAAATGGTGAAATCGTTTTACGCGGGAAATTGTGCTTCTAGAACACATTGCTCCAGCTGCTGCAGAAGTTGAACGAGGCAACCAAGAACTTTGGTTTCAAATAGATGGCTGTTCTGCATACAACAGTCGTGGCGTGTGAGAATTTTTATCGACAAGTTTTAATAATAAAGTTATGAAAAATTTTTCCGGGTAAACTTTTGAAAATGTTAAGAGTTAAGAATTAAAATTCAAGAAGAATGTCACAAGATATCCAGTTATCAATTAGCAGCAGTTCGAAATGGATTTTATGATCGACTTGGTTACTGTCGTGCAGTTAATGGTGACTTATTCGAACATTTATTGTAAATTGTTATATTAGGAAACCGTTTTTAGTAATTTGGTCTTTCTTTATGTTGAATTCGCTGTTCTAAATGTAATACTTTTTGATAGAGTTTGATTTGTTTTATAGCAGACATTCCATGGCAAGACGGATATTGGCGTAGTTTTTGTATTATAAAATTCCATGGCATCACAGATTATTATTGGAAAAGATGCGGGTTTTATTTTTCCAATTTTCTTTCGTTTTGAAAAAAATTGAAAACTAATACGGTTGATTGGCGTAAAAAAATTTTCTACAAAAAACATTAATTCATTTTTGCTCTAAAATAATTTGCCAATAATCGCATGTTATGAATTTTACATTGAAATCCCTATGATGCGTTACGCAAGTCACCACCCTGTATGTCAATTTAATGTTTAGATTTTATACAAAACGACTGTGCGGAAATAAACGTAAAATCGGCTGGTAAACCTATAATAGCGCTACTATCACTTTTGTAATGAAATTTTAAAAAAATTGACCAATTTTGGACTTTCCCCGTGTCTCTAAAGCCATCAGCGAATATTATCAAATTTTCATTTTACTATTTTAAGTTTGATCCAAAAGAAGCATATGAGAGAAGAAGCACAGACTACCCTATAAAAATTTCAAAAATTGACACAGAATTCGAATTTAAAATTTTCTATCAAAGTTTACTCTTTAACACACACTGTATATTTTGTTTTTAGTGCAAGCAATGTGAAAGAAAAAATTATGATAGATGATGTGCGAGCATTTTTTTTTAAACTTGCGGATTTTGCCACTTTTTTGTGAAACTTTTAATACCACAATCCGAATCAATATACCTACGTTTCTTTCTGAGATACAGGGTGAACATGAAAAGTTGGCCTTTTTGGGATGCTATCATATCTTACTACCTATGTAAGACAGAACAAAAGTAAAACTGTTTATTAACGAGCTCCTAGCGAGTTTATAATTTTGCTGTGTCTGTCCGTCTGTCCGTTAGCACGATATCTCGATAACGAATGGCCCGATTAGGATGAAATTCTGTAGGTCGATTCTTTATCAAATTTGTAGATCGGAATTGGCACTGTAGCCCAAAAAATAAAGAAGCCCCTTTTGGAGTTATGAACCGAATTGCATGAAATTCAATATGCGGATAGTTTTAGCCATATACATATAACGCAATTCCAAAAGTTGAAGCTAATCGATCAACATTCACAGTGCCCTTTTGCAGAGCTGGGTACTGCTCGCGAGCGTTCCGCTCGAAAAAACGCTCCAAGCGGAAAAAGCACTTGCGAGTGGTCCGCTCGCGAGCACTTTTCGGAGCGGCCGCTTGGTGCTCGATACTTGAGCGTTTACTTAAAGTGTTCGGCGCTCGAGCGCTATTCTTTCGTGACCTCTTTTTCCGCTCCCGAGCGCTTTTCGGCTCCTGAGCGTTTTTGCTCGTGAGCGCTTTTAACCGCCATCAAGCGCTGAAGGATTAAGCACCGCTCGCGAGCGTTTTTTCCGCTCGAGATAAACCGCTCGAGCACTTTTAGGAGTGCTCGGAACTCGCAAGCAACAACCCGATGCTCGCGAGCATTTTTGAGACAATTAGACCGCTCGTCGCTCGAGCGGTTTTTTAGAACGCTCGACCCAGATCTGCCCTTTTGGCATCTTACCCATTTATAAACCGAATGGCAAACTTTCCTATTTAAGTATTTATGAAAGCATTAAAATGAAATTTGATACATAGCCACTTGGAATAAAAGCAAACGTAACGCCATTTGCAAATTTGATTTTGCGCATGCTCAGTACCAAGTTTCTTATTTATTTATTATTATTATTATTGTATTATTAATCTTGAATGTTATTACGGTACCATTTTTTTGTCCATGGGGCGTATAGTTAATTATGTCATGAATGTTTGCGAATAAGCACAGAATTGGTTAATTTAATAATTTCATTTGAATTTGTATTTCTGTAGTGCTATTTTTCCTTTTAGAATTCTATGTAGCCGCGTATTGTTTATTTAGAGTTGTAAAACGTGAAATTGGGTGGTAAAATGTAGGCAAATCTGGTAGTTTGCAATAAGAGTTTTTATTATCGGACGAGATTTAATTAACGCACGTGTTTTTTTTATCGCTGTTAAAAGAGATAACGGAAGGTGTATGTAATTGGCGATGTGCGCATTTGTTCGGCGTAAGCGGGGACGCGTTCTGATTGGCGCTTTATCTGAAAAAAAACTGGAAGGGGAAGATTGGTTTTATTATGGAAGTGGTGTTTCGTTAAATACGGCAAGCAGAATGCTGCGAAGTAGCTGATTCGCGACTGTTGGAAAGCGTATGTTTCGTTACGCGATTTTTATTCAAGCGTTCCGCCCTATTTGATTAACTGAAGACGCAGTTCGTCATTTTCATAATATTTTTGTACAGAAGAAAGTTGACTGAAGTGGTAACGGAAGCACGGTTTCTGCATCAGGCCTTCTATCAAGGTTCTCTTATTATCAAATTTAAGAATTTGTACCGTCTAAATAGCCACGGACAATACGCCATTTTATTTATCGAGATAATGTTGTTTGTCATGAAGATTTGTATTATAAAGAAAAGTTCAGAAGCTGTCAGCGTTTGTGTATGGATTTAAGTGCGCCTTGCTTATCGCAAACCGTTGAACGACCAGATTAATAGGATTATTCAAAGAGAAAAAACTGTAGGTAAGTAATTCCTGCGCGCAGGATATTTTGTCTGAACAAGCTTTGCGAGTTTCTTTTTCTTCTGTTTAAACGTTCTTTTCATGTGTGTTCGGAATAAAATTTTGTGATTATCAATCAATTAATTCGAACCCATTGTGCTCAAGGATTGTGTTAGGTGTTGAAAAATTGTGTAGTTTTCAGAAGGTGATCGAGGAGAAATTATAAGAAGTTAGTTTCAATTTGTTTTGAGCTAGCTGGACAGGTGTTTTGAGGGTGTTGTGGTTCACCGCAGACCATTGCACACAGCAATATTTTTTGATACCATCTTAATGTCATTGTAAAATTTAACCAATTTTTGCCCCGTATCACACCGTTTAACACATGCTGCACAATATTGCACATGTACCTATAAAGTTTTACCACCACGCTGAGGGCGCATGTTAGACTAACAGTTTTTTTCATGATTCATGATTATTAGGTACTGGATTCTTATCCAAAACTTGGGTCACAGGTCATTATATAGGTAGTCCAGTTGCTCTAAGTACCTAACTAACAGTTACGTATTTAAGACGTATATGGCAATTTGCTTCTGTGTTGACGGAAAGGAATGCCAAATTTGTGCGAGTAGAAATCGTGCATTTGATAAAATCAGTTTGCTTCCTCGTCCCTTTTACGGCTGTCTTAGATGTGAGTAAAATCCTTGAGGGACCCAGGGGCCAGGACACATTATACGGTACAGTTCTTCTTGACCTCGGCTATAGGTTCTTTCGGCCAATTGTAAAGACTTTGTATTTTAAAGCATACTCTCATAATTGCTATATACGGAGGAATCAAATTGCTCGATTGTGCACAGATTAAAATTATGCATGTTAGATTACTGATGGAATTCCACATGTACTTACTATAGGGCGGTCAATCAATTTCATTATCCTGATCAAAATGTGATTATTACGTACGTAGGTACGTGAAATGTTTCCCGTCATAAATCAAACGCTAAGTTCATTGTCCTCGTTGATTGAAAACCAGACCTAATGCTGTGATGCTCACGAGATAGGCAATTTATCGGCTGATATTTTTACGCAAAAGCTAAGGCGATTGATGCGAAGATTAGTTACACGCCGCACTTACCTTCACAGTGGAAACCGTCTCCTTGGTACCCAGGAAAGCACGTACATTGAAAGCTTCCCAAGGTGTTGGTGCAGTGCGCGAAGACGTCGCAAGGTCTATATTTACATTCGTTTTCGTCTAAAAATGAATCATTTGGTTGATTAATTGAAGATCTAGTTCATTGAAGGTTTGATGAATAAAAAGTCACGTGTATAGTTTTTTTGGTGCGTGCAACGATTAGGTACATCACGTTACAACACGCCAGTCGTGCGTTAGGTGCGAAGTAAATAAACGTCGTTTAACACATTTTGAATTAGCCATCACGTACAAAAAAAAAACTTACCTGGAACTTCGCAACTGCAGCCGCCATAACCGTCGTTGCAATGGCAGTTGTTGTCGAGACAAACACCATTTTGACAAACGGTCCCATCGTCCTTTCGGCAGTCATCTGTAAATCAAACCACAGTTTAAACGAGGAAATTGCAGAATACTTCTGATGCAAGAAACGAAGAAGGTAATTTCGCAGAAATGCATGGCATGGAATACCAGAGGGCAAGCACGAAACGATCTGAACTTGTGCACACATACATCCAATTTAATTTGTATTGAAGCACCTACACTTTAGAGAACGTTAGGAAGATTATGGTGATTACCATTCTTTTTTGTGACAAGAAAAATACCTCGGCACGTTTGATTAACACGATTACTACGGGTGGTCAGCCAATTGGTTGCATAGTGTTATTAAGACGTTTGCTTGAAATTCAGTGGGGCCCTTCGTACTTTGTTAATTAACAGAAATCCACCATTGTCAATTATTCGTATTTGTTTATCATAGACAATTTATCGATACCTTGCAATTATCCTAACATCCTTTACAATTAATTATTGTAATTAACAGCGAGAAGGATATCTTAGACGTTCACAACTTATACATAAAACATTAAAGGCATTTCTGTGTTCTACGTGCGAGCGTACTATTTTCTGAAAGATATGGGTAAGATTACCTGCACGTGCAATTTTGTAGGTAGGTTAGAAAGTTGCTTTGTGAAATTTGGGTAACGCTAACAATAAGCGAAATGCTGACGTAAATTTCTGTTATTCAACTTTGAACCGTGAGGTTAGGTTCCGTAAAAAAAGAGCAATTATGAGAATAATTAAGGATGTTACGCTCTTTGCTAAGGAATAATGGAACTGCTAGACCTTCTAGAATTGCAAAAAAGTCAAATAATGGATTTCATGCTACATATTTTGGTAGATTCGTTTTATATGTGACTAGCTACATGCGCAAACAAGGTAGTATTCGTTATAAGTTATAACGTTACTAAATGAAGAAGTTTAGTGTTAGAAAACCGTCTAACACAAATCATCGAGGAGATGAAAGGCCTAGGCAATTACTGAGTAGCATCGTAACAGTGCTTATTGAAGTGGAATAACTGCCCCAAATACTTGAGCAGCTGAAGGGCAAAATAGTAGCTGGGTTGAGTTCGAAACAGACGGCCCTGTCGGTCATGGATCTTCAGAAGTATAGAGTGGGTTCGGTTCACGAACACCAATGGTTGAAACTACACTCGCTTAAAAATCACAGCAAAAAAGAAGCTCAGTTTGTAACACCGCTACGTTTCGGGGGCGGATCTCCAGATTTACGTTTCTACCTTCGATTTGCGATTTCTACGTGATTATCGAGATTCATTAAGCATTTCGTAAGGACCCGACACAGTGCATTTTGCTGTTCAGGAACCTGCTTCGCCTAAATTGTTATTTACTTGGGCGAATCATCTGGTCAGTTTGCGTACTTTATATCTTGTCCTTTTGAGATAATGACGTTGCTTATCGAGAAAGTTCTTTGATTTCAAGACGCATGAAGATGCAAGTGCACGATTCTTTTTCCCATATGTTAGTCATGGAAGAGGACTCCTCAAGCGTTCCTTATTTATTGGCGTTGCATTTGAACTTGGCGGAAGTAGGAGTGCGATGGTTTAGTTGAAGTGGTGTTCTGTTAAATCCGGAAATAATGAAAAAAAACGAGGGTGGTGAGAAAAAGGCGACTGTCTCGCCATATGCTGTTCACCTCGCGACGGGAAAAAGAGCATGTACGTCTCTGTACGCTAATTTTGCCAAGTAATTGAACATATTTTGGTAATTTGAAGACGCAGTTTCGTGGCAATCAGAATAATCTGTGCAGAAACAGTTGAAGTAAATTCTTGTGCTAAGTTTAATGCGGTTTGTTCGATTACGGAAGAAAACTACGTCGATTATAACGAGACCTTTTTTTAAAAGGCTCTCTTGTTAACAAAAGTTAAATGTATCCCGATCGAACAGTTACTGAAAAAATGTGTCGTTGTGTTCAGTCTGTAACATTTTTTTAGTTAATGAACCTACTCCCATTTAAGTACAAATTTGTGTCGGTGCCTTAGAGGTAAGATTTAAATTTTCAATATGGCTATGCCAAGATCATTGTAATATTGAAGTAATGTTAGCTGTGAAAGTGATCACTTAGGGACTTATATGTTCCTTTAATTACGCAATCGAATCCGTAGCGTTCCTATTAATTTTTTTACATAACCAAATCACCAAATTATAAAAAAAAGCTTAGTATCTTGGTATATGTAAAACAGCAAAAGAACCATTGGTAAAGTTTGAGTTTTATTATTGACCAGATTGGATAGTAGCTTTTCTCGTATGAGTCACAACTTTACCATACGTAATAAACGCAACTTCACAAAGTACGATTCCTCTAGTACGTCTAAGCCTAAGTGAAATAACGTTAAGTTTCCAGGTATGTTTTGCATTAAGTACCAGTTAACCAATGGCCAGCCTTCTAGATATTTCCGTAGAAGATTTGTAGGTCTAAATTTAAAATACGAGACTATGTCGTCTCTCGACTATTTAGACTCAAAAGTAGGGCCAGGATCTGATAAGTTCCTGGACGCCTAGGTAATTTCTTTTGTTAAGATTCTTGACTCCTGTATAACCTATTATTAACCTAATTTGGCACGGTTTTGATTATCTCATGATTTTCAGGTTAAGCTTCAAAGCTGGGTGCCTAAGAGATCAGGTTAGTTACTAACCGCTAGATGACGCAAAACTTTTTTTATTTTTAATGTATACAAAGGCATTCTGTCTATTAAATAAGTTTAACTGAAACATGAAAAATCGGCACTGAGTATGCAAGTTAGAAGCTTAGACTACCCTAGTTTTGATACTTGAGCTTCAACATTTCGTTATGTTCTGAACAGGGTTTATATTTCTTAGGTTTATGGTCATAGGGTTTTCAAATCTAATGAAGAATAGGTATGTTAAGTGAATTAGTCTTGTATAAAAAAACTCTAAATGACCATTCATGATTGGTATTGTTATGTAAACAACGTCATGCTAAACGTTTTGCTTGGGCTCGGCCCCTGTAATAATAATGCGTTACCCTGTATTATGCGGGATATATCAATTTTTTAAAGTGTACATTTGGTTTCTGGTTTTGAATTAAACACGGAGTTCGTTCTTTTTATTTAAATTTGAAGTCCAACGTCGTCTTGTATACTAAATTTTAAATCTTTAAGTTATGTTTAATTTGATCGCCTTGAAATTTGTTTATTGTGATTTGTTTATTTAATAAGTGTAATGTTTCAAGACAAACACGTGTTATCGCCGATAAAAAAGCAACAGGTGTGCAGTTTATTTCGAAGCTGACGTTAATCAAATTTGGTTTTGATTGGTTATTTATTTACGAAATCTTAAAGAAGATTTTTAAGGTAGAAGAGAGAAGATGCTTTAAATACCACAACATAACAAACTTATTATTACTAGATGCCTAGGTTGTTAGGCGCTAATTTGAAATGCTCATCTAGGAGACACTTCCAGAACCTAGGCCAGAACAGATTAGGGCTAAATTCAAATAGCCCTAGATCAATTTTCTGAGAAAGATTATATTTCTGTATATTTCTCATTATGTTAATAGATTTTCTAGGACAGTTATTACTAATACCATAACGCTAATATGCAGTGCTAATTATACAAATGGAGACATTATTTTATAACTGTTGACTATTGTTTAAATAAATAATATCTCTTTGTTTTATTAATCTTATTTAAAATGTACACACACGTTTGGCATACGTACCTACATCAAATTACGATAATAATCTAAAGTAAAAGTTGTTCCGTAGGTAATCAAAGTAATCGCATTAGAAATATGATGTACGATTTCAGAGTACGGGAAGTGACCACTAATTGTTTTAATATCGTTTGGACAATGAAACCACAACCGTGTCTAATATTTTTTAGGGAAACATGAATTCGTTGTGCCCCTTTTGTTATACTTCGTTGCGTGCAAAATTGTAAACATTCTTTGTAAGTACGCAGGAAAAATAAGGCATTAACGCCGTATTAAAAGTTGAACGTATTTTGCAGGTGCTCAATCTTTACTCCACGCCAATTTGGGTTTCGGTCTGGTACGTGCGCTGCCGAGGGAATTATCTTGTTTCGAACAATGCTCGTGAGCCACGCGAAAACAATTTTTGTATGTCACGACACTGATAAATTATCGACAATGTAATATGGTAAGGTAATGAAATCCCACTCAAATGGTGAGCCTCAAGGAAGCAATTTGGGACTACTGTTATTTTAAGCAACGTGCAATTGACAATGAGGCTTTTTAACGAGGTGTGCGAATTCGACGTTCACCAATCATATCATCCTAGGTTTCTTCTACTATGATAAATGGTTTATTCGCAGCAGTTTGACGTATATTTTCGTTAAGATCACGTCCGTGGTTGTAAAAGAACTGGTATTCGGGAAGGAGGAGACTCGTAAGATCCTAATGGATCAATTTGATCTTTCTTTAAATGGCTTTGAGAAATAGTCAATTTCCGGCAAAAGTGAGAATGATCGTAATAAGACTGTAAAGACAACGATGGTACGGCCCGTCGAAAAGGTTTGTGTATCAATTGCTGGACCTTGTTTAGGGTGCCACGAACACCCTTTCCTGGTTTGCTAGAAAGAAGGCTTCCACAAAACAACATCGGTCAAAACAGTAATATAGGCGTCATGCGTTCTTTTCCGAGCAAACTTAAAATGGTAAAATAAAAAGATATTCGCTCCCTTAAGAGAAAGGGGGAAAACCAAAATATTTGTCAATTTGAGAATGGCCATATATTTTTTTAGTTAAAAGAGTTACAAAAAATATGTATTACATAAGTTTCTTAATAATAATTGTCGAATAATTTACCGTTTGCACAGTAAGTAAGATAAAAAGTTATACGACCTAACCTCTTTTTTAGTGCGTTTTTGAAAAAAGTAGCGCTTAGGTATATATTCACTTTGGCTGTTCGGTTGGTCGGCTGCAAAGGTTTTTTAAGTATAACTCTCGAAAAAATTATCGTAGAATGGTCGTGTTTGGAGCATTAGCTTTCTGCCACAATCATTTGCATGCATATTATATTTCAAACTGTAGCATGAAATAAGTTTGCTAATAAAACCTCGATCCGTCGCACAAAGACGCCCTTAGGTAGCTCGACACGTTGAGTACTTTCCAACTTGTTTTAATAGAACGCCCTGCGTATTTTACGCTAAAAACGCAGCACATTAAATTCTATTGTTAAAAATATAACAAGAAAAAATTTAAAAAAATGAATAATTAGTTCAAAATTGAAAAAAAATTTTTGAAATTTTGTTTGAATTTTTTGAATCATGGAAACCTTTTTTAATTCTTTTGTTAATCTTTTTAACCTTTTCTGAATGTCCTTGCATCACATTTTTCTTTTTTGCATATCATACCTAGTGTGTTATATTTTTGAAGAGAGAATTCTGTTTAGAATAAAATATACAAAAAATGATAACATTTTTACCTGACCATGTATACTTACTTTGAAAACAGCAGATTATTCAACAATTCATGAAACTTTTTTAGTAAACATTTCTTTCAACTGAGAAAATATAGGGTCATTCTGAAATTGACAATTTTTTTATTTTACTTCATATCTCGGCGAACTAAAAAAACTTCAAGGTTTTAAAACAAGCACATGACGCCCATGTTACTTTTTTGATAAAACAGATGAAACGTTGATTCTAATTTCTAATGTATGGGCTGGGGGGGGGGGGATTCCACACTGTGCTGCTAGGAATCTTATTTCTCGTCTGCGTACCGAAAAGAAATTATCTGCAAGTCGTTTGCCGACGATTAGAACACATAACTTACTAGACTTACTTGTTTTCGCGATTCTTCGGCACACGATCTAGTTGTTGTCCTACACTTATCTCGGTGCATTACATCAAAAATTCTTCAGACTTTACATGTATTTTGCATTTCAAGCCAGTGAGTCATTTCAACGAATTGACTACGGAAGAAGATGCATTCAAGAAGACATTGAGGAAGCCCAAAAGTTACTATCAAAAACAGATGACGTTCACTTTGGAAACGACGAAGCTTTTTTTCATTATAGTAGCAAGTGACTCACGGACCGGATTTTAGGAAAGTTATAGCATTAAAACAGTGTTTCCGCGGTGAAAAACTTTCGTCAAGGTTCCATAAACAAGAGAGGGATAATAAAATAAAATAAAATAAAATATCGATTAAGGCAGTATCGATGCCAAATTCCAGATAATTAATTACTTTTTTATTATACCTGAATCACAATCTCCGTTTTAAACACTCAAATGCGAGCGAAAAAAGGCCTTTAAAACACACGTGCTTTAAAGTTGCTAAGTAACGATACTTCAAGTATGACTTTTGAAACTGTCATCTGGATGAAATAAAAAATCCTCTTAGGTCGCTTTCTGTAAATGCAGAACATTTCTTTGGCTTTTGTACCCATCCTTTGGTTGAAGCTTTCACAAACGCGCGTAATTTAGGGCATGCTTCCAAATCTGTTCCACTTTTTAATCGCAACATTGCTTGGAAGTTTTGAATGAATGCACCAAAATATAGAAGATTTAAATACCTTTGACATTTCCTTCATGTATGCAAGCATTATCGATTCATTTAAGACTGTATTCGTAAGTAACTTCCTATTCATCCATGGAAACAACTTTTCATATTCTTTATAATAGGCTTTACTGGAGCTGGATTTTACACCTACCAACGTTTGTTTAGATTTTACAACAAGCGATTTAATGGGCGGTGTATTATCTTTTTCAACGGAAATCGTTTAATTCACAAAGACGATGATTTTTATAAGCAAACGTCAAGTGACATTTCCATGGCAATCGTGAAATTACGAACACCCAGCCCACTTAATTAGACATGTATTCGAGTATAACGTCAATATGACTTCATTGTATTACCTATTTTTAAATTATACTGCAGGTATAATAAAAAATACTATAAGATACACGTGTATAATTGGTCTTTAAAGCACTTGCAACGTTAAAGGCACTCCGCTTTGCGTCGTGCCCTTAAACTCGTTGCGCGTGCTTTAAAGACTTGATTATACACTTGTATCTTAATATACTATTCTGACACGTTCCCTATTCATATTTTGACGTTACAAATCTGTACGGTGGTATTTTCCTGTCAACTTCCCTAAATAAACCAAACGAAACAAATAAAACCCCGTAACTTCCAATTAATCTGAAATATTGTTAACAAAACTGGCAGAAAAACTGTAACGAGCGTTAATTGTCATTCAATGTAAAATTAATTAAGGCTTTTGTAAGTAAAGAAAATTTGTACATATAAAGGACTACATTGTATCTTTACGGATATGCTTATTATAAGATTGTATTCAGCAAAATACGCACGTTGTATATGTGATATGATGGTTCTGTAGATATAGAAGGCTGCCGGTGCAAAAGTGGAGTGGGCCCTTGCTGCGTTGAAATCACATGTTGATTGTAACTGAGTAGTTTAAGCAGAGGTTCATTTAATTTAGAACCAAGTTATAAAGTAGAAATCATTATTATGAGGAATCCACTTCACGCCAGTTTGTAGATGTATTTTTGTGCGTGTGTGAAAGAAAATTAGTATTGGATTTAAGATTATTGTCATTATAAGCTAATTAAAGCTTCATTTAATTAATTTGTTTCGATCGATCACATGTGCGTGGTGCATTGTTCGCAGGCCCTGATTGCCTCTTTTCCATTTCGGCATCACGCGTTGATTGTCCAATAAATTTGTTTTCGTATGTAAATGAGCAGTTTTGTGCTTATTCGAGCCTAAATGACGATCCAGGATAAAAGTAATCACGCAAAGTCAGTACCCCGACTCCCGAGTCAAGAATGCTATATGATATACGATTACGATACGGATACACGGATATAGCACTAATACAATAGTTATTTATGTATTAAGGGCATAATAGTGATGTTTATATTCTCGAGGGCAACGAGTTAAAAAGCTCGAGGGCCTATGGCCCGAGAGCTTTTTAGTCGCCCGATAGTATAAACATCAGTTTATGCCCGTGGTACATACACAATTTTATGTTTTACAAATAGTTTTCTCCGTCAAAATTCGTTTACAAGATAATTCATTATGTTTGATCGAGTATGCGTGGTTCGAATTTGTTAATGTGATTGAAACCATCCAAACGTCAAACGTAATTTTAAATAACTCAATTCATCATGAATGAGGAAGAAGTTCCAGAAACTATACGAAATAAGGCCAATCTTGTGATTTAGTAGGTATTGACAATTAATAATTGACGTTTCTAATTTTCAATGAACTGCAAATATTTGTTTGTTTTGTCATTAAGTATAAATGAGTTACTATGGTGATACTTAATGCCCTAGGCCCTAGGGCATAAAGTGGTACTTTATGCCCGCGTATCACAGATATAAAATGTGCTATGATAGGTTAGTAAGACATAAAATCGTTTACAACTTGGCAAGCTATAACAATTCTGACAGCCAGGTCCGTTGGTGACGTCACATTAGGGTGGGAATATGACTTAACGCGGGCAACATTATAAATTGTACACAAAGATCTGTGGACCCGGCGTCATTGATTGGTAAATCAATTTCAGACAAGTTTTGTATAGATTTTTTACACTTGCTATATGTTGCATTGTTCCGGAATACATATACGTATGTCCGAAATTGATTCGCAAATCAATGACGCAGGGGCACCGACTACAATTACACGATTATACGAGTCTAGCATCCTTCGCCCAGGGTTACGCTAGGTCTAGGTGTCTGAATAAAATTGTAATTCAATTTGTTGGAATTGCAGAGATGTGCTCAAGGCTGCTGGGTGTTCCAAAGAATTTAATTAAAGTCGTTATCGAGATCTTCGTCGGGGCTGGGAGAATTATAAATTTTAGTGTTAAGTACACTGATTCCTGAATCAATTTGAGAACATTTTTTTTTATCGATTTCGCACACTGGATAGATGTGACAGCGCTTTAGCGTATGTCTGAAATTGATTCACATATCAAAGACGCGGGGTCACAGACTCCTGATTTCAAGTGTAGAAATTTTGTTCAGAGTTCGAGCCTAGAGCTAGCTGGACAGGTGTAAATATGGGTGTTTTAGTAACCGGTTGCCATTTCACGTGGAATGTTTATGCTCGAACCCGGATTCGAACCAGGGACTCCAAAGCTTCCACTCAACAGCGAAGTTGGGAAAATCGTCCCCCTCGACTGAGAGACTCGACGATTATTGGCCATTGCGACTGTCGATCCCCCCGCTCTAACTGTGCCTGTGAATTTTTATTCGCGATTTTTTCTCAAAAAAAATTTTCTATTTGTACCACGATGTACTATATTTGAAATTCTTCTTAAATGTTTGGTGATCAGAATTCCATGAAGCTGATAAGAACACAGGACAACCTAGAATCATTCCTCTTCTGGTCTGATGCAACATTATGTAAAAAACTTTGAAAGAACACCAACAAAAGAAGTCAGTGGTTGAAATAAAATATGGATTCCTAAATTTTTGATACCCATAATTCATCACGTACACGGGGAACCTGACAATTAATTTGTACCTAAAATTGTTAAGAATATCAAGTATCAGATCTATCTAATTTGTATTTTTTATTCGTGGGCTGCTTCTAACGGTACCGTCAAGCAATTATGGTAAAATCAAGTAAATACATTTTTAATGATACCTACGCGTTTTCTGTCGACTTCCTAGATATTTACAAAAACCTTTCCATAACATTGATTTGATAAAAACTAATAAATGCAGGTTTTCGCATTTTTCACTTTTTTGCTCTAACAGTAATTTTCGTTCAAACCACTCAGCCCATTAATTTACACGTGGTCTTAGACGTAGGTATAGATCTACAAAACGTGAATAAAAACGTAGTCGCCATTATTGGTTTGCTTTAATCGAAGGCGATCTCCTTTTTGTTAAAGCTGCATTTCTGAATCTATTACCTACTGGTCACAAAGAAGACTGCGATTTGTTACAAACTCGTTTCATGCATTATTTATTACAAACGGCGAAACTTATCAAGTACCCACTCACCTGTACATTTCAGTTCCTTGCGTAATTCGTCGGTTCCCATAAAACAATTCGGCGAACCGTCGCATAGTTTCGATAATTCGAATAATTGCAGTACGTCGGTCGATTCGTTCACCTGACATCCAAAATATCCGTCTTCCAGGTTCAGAAAAAATATCTCTCGTTTTATACCAAAACCAATTCCGCCAAAAGATTCGGCAGTCTGAAAGGGAAACGAAAAAAACATTAGTTTGGCATTCTATTGTTTAGTACCACGAACTTTTTTTGTCGAGCACAAAAGCTCCTCTCGTCAAAGCGAGAGCTTAATAGACTTTTTGCACGGTGTATAAAAATTAATCTCGTGACGTGGATTTAAGATATTAAACAGAGATAAGCACGTAAGTACAACAGTAATTTGATCTGCATGACACAGCTCGAGAAAGGTAGGTAGCCTAGGAGAAGGATACGTTTGGCCCATTTTGCACAGACGGCCGAAAAAGGTTGGGAGTGGTCGAAACCTTGGATTAGTACCTACTTTTGCATTTTCTTAATTAATATCTAACTACTAAATATGCATAGTGTTGTTTATAATGTAATAGAAAATAGTACACGGTTGCTGTAATATACACAACCTTGACGCAGCCTTGTTTAGAAAACGTCGCGCAAAATTAAGGAAGTTATATAAACGGTTATCCTGTGCCTGTCCATCTCCAAATGTAATTTAGGTAAATTGTCTACGCCCGGTTTTTCCATTATTTATCATCAGCTCTTGCTCTTGCAGTAAGTTATGGCTTACGTGCTGTTTTCTCATCTTGGGAAAAATGGATAAAATGTACAAAAAAACCACTCAATCAAGATTGCAAGCGTACTGCCATTAAAACTTCAATGTCTGGATGCTTTACAACCACCTGTACTAATGTTATTTAAATACGATACGATAAATACTGGCAGCAACAGCAACCACTATAACCACATGCAATTTGTTCGGATAAGCTCTGAACCTGGGAGGACTACGGTAAAAAAAACCGTGCGCTATTATTTAATAGGTAATATAAAATGGAAGATACTGCACGATTCCAGTCGGAGATAATTATATAAATAAACGACTAGAGGATATTGCGAAACCGAAGTCAATTGAGTGATACAACAATAAGAAGAAAATTGCCGATGGTAACCGTTTACGTTTTACAGGTAACTTAATACGTTTATATTAATTACATTCAATACCATCGACGATCTTCAAAGCATTTAATGTTTAATTACGAAACAGGGAAGCGAGATTGTTAACGTGTGTTTTAGTAACTATGTTTAGAGTTACGATCAGGTTTTTTTCCTCATCCTCCGTCCGTCCTTTGCCAATATCGTCCTTTGTCCTTGTTAACGTGCCTGACGTGCACCTACAATTAGCGTTAAGAAACTTATGTAGCTGTCTATAAGCTTCCTCTTCCATTATCTTTGCTAAACTATAAATTATGCTTTAACAGCAATTTATGTGCTTGTGTGAGAAATTCCTTTGACCGTAAATGATATAGATAAAGTGAGGGCGTCGCAAGGTTTAAACCGGGGGCCGTCGCTATTAACTTAGATCGTTTGATGCACCAACAAAAAAAATTAGTTCACCTCCCAAGGAATTTCTGTATGAAAAGGAGAAACAGAAGCGGATATAAAATCACAAAGCGAAACTTGGAGTTAACCAACCGTTATCGCAAGGTCCTTTCAGTTTCCGTAACGACTGTATTATTCATTTGGTACAGTTAGAATTTCGTTTAATGCAAGTGGTATGCGCCCTTCAATATTGTATCAAATTCAGTACCTACCTAGGCAAACATATCTTTTGCTTTAGGCAATCACCGATTGTGTCATGTGAGATAACTGCAATAGTTTTTCTGGTTCTGGTACACAAACTGGCATTAATCGACAAAACAATCTGATTAGTTTGACATTAAATTGTATGAATAATCAACAAATTTTAATTGTTATAATCGATAATCAAATAATCGCTCTGATTGATGATAATCAGATATAAAGACAAACGATTTTCAGTAATCTCTAAACAAAAACTGTGTCTGATACGACTTGTTAATTAACTTTAAGCTTTAAGCATTGAATAAAGAATATGAATGCTTTAAGTAAGAATTGAGTTAAACAACTGAAATTAAATGCTTCACTCAACTGTTAACTGTGCTAAAAAAGATGAAATAAGAATCATTGTTTCGATTCTTCGGAATTGTCCGATTTCTTCACATTCTTTGTTTGTTAACATTCTTCGAATTTGACTTTTTCGGATTATTCCCTTTCTTCGGATCCATTATTGTCTTCAAATTCAATTTTTTTATATTCTTCATTGCAGTTTTCTTAGATTCTTCTGATGTATCATTCAGATTCTTCAGATGCCTCAGTTTCAACGAAACTTATCGATTCTTCAAATCCTCGAGATCCATATAGGACCTTTTAAGATTTTTTCCTTTCTATTCAATTCTCTCGATTATTCAATCGCCTCTAATTCTTTTTATTCGCCAAATTCTTCCTATCCTTCAAGTCATTGCAATGCTATAGATTCTAAGTGTTTTGTTCTTGCGAGTTTTTTCGATCTTTCACAATCTGTAAATTTTTCCGATCCATAAGATTTTTATCTTTAATTTTTAATAAGAGTCTTATTTTCTGGACGATTTTTGACGCACATTCTTCGTATCGTCCGGCTCTTCAAACTTATTCGATCCTCTCATTGTTTGGAGTCTCCGACTTGCCGACTCACAGAACATTAGTTTCTTCAGATTCTAGAGATGCTCGGGCTCCTTCGTTTAGTTTATAGAGCTTATTTCGAATCCTTCGGTTACTTCGGATGGTTTGCATTATTCACGTCATTTTCCCGGTTCTGTTTCATCATTGCATCACACTTTAGATTCTTGAGATTTTTTCAAAATCTTGCATTTGCTCGGACCTTTTTCGCTTTCTTTTGTTTTAAGTATTCGAATTCTTTATTTTTTCCATTTGATCGGGTTATTGGGATACTTCCCCTTCCATCATATGTTTTAGTTCCTTCGTGATATTCTTGATTCTTCCATTTCGTAGAATTCTACCGATTTTCGAAACTATAAGATGTTCTTCAAATGCATCACACTCACGTTTCTTCAAATTCTTCCGAATTTTTAAATCGATAAAATCCTTTCGATTTTACAAAACCTCCAGGTCTATAAGATTTTTCAGGTTCCTTCATTTCTTAATTCTGGATCCATCAAATTCTTCCGATTCTTCAAATTATTCAGATCCATAAAATTCTTCAGAACCTTAAGTTTGACCGATCATCAGTTTAGTTGAATTCTTTCTGTTTTTTAATTTCTTCTGATTCTTCCGATTTTTCAGATTGTTCAAATAAATACGATGCTTCAGATTATTCCGATTCCCGAATAAATCGGCTTCATCAAATGCTTCAGGTATGCACAGCAATACAGTTCAATTAATCGAGAATCAAATATTCATTTTTTTGATTATTTAAAAATCGGTAATAATTAACTATAGATAAATAAATGCACGCAGTTTATAATAGCTGAATAACTCGATCCATAAACGATTAATTTCCGGAGATGCTCTCTCAAACTGTCGTCGATGTCGTTTTTGCACATCTTTCAACATTCCAACACGCAAAGGAAACGTCTATATTTGAGGGAAAAAACCTTCATTCGATGAGAAGTACAAAAACCATTATCTACTTACGTTGAAATACGACCTTTGTAAAGATCAATTTTTAGAATACCTGCCTCTTACATTGTTTATTAATATACAATGAAATAGGTGTAAACACGTGTGTTTTTTGTTGCACGTAATTATTAACCAGAATCCATGCTTTAATTGGTTTTTTAAAAAACTTAATAGTACCTACAGGGTGTCTCGCATTCGACACCTGTATAGGGTTTGTAATTGTTAGTACTATCAAAAAAGTAATTTAAACGTCATGTGCTCTTGTTGGGTCATACAGTCATAGTTAAAATGGTAAAACGAAAATTTGATTTTCGCACATTTAAAGAGATACGAGGGAAAATTTAAAAAATGTCAATTGCACAATCTATATTTTAATCTAAAAATATAGCATATTAATTTTTTTTAGTATAGGTAACACAAGATGGATGATATTCAAAAAAGATTCAAAGGATTCAAAACATTCAAAAAAGATCTCAAAAATTTTTTTGAATTTGTATAAATTGTTTTTAATCTTTTTGATTAATTTTTTGAAAATTTTCTTTATTGTGAGTCATATTTTTGTCAGAAAATGTAATATGTTCGTTTTTAGGTTAAAATTTACAGGGTATTTCATGTAAAAAAGTGAGGTTAGATCAGGTAACTTTTTGACTTCACCCAGTATAGCTATTTTGAAAACGCCAGACTATTCAACAATCATTATACAGAAACTGTTTTATAAAATATGTTTCTGTATATCTTTTAATCAACAAAACATAGGGTCATTCTGACATTGTTTTTGATTTTCGCCCGTAAAGAGCACATGATATTTGATGATGATAAATTGATAACAATTAATTAAAACAGAAACACTGTTTTCATTATTGACAATTTTCAAGATGTTTTTGTCTTTACTCTTTGAGTATTCGAATTAACCGATACACAACAAGGAATAGATTAATTTCGATTACTAATCGCAAAAGACTGTCTCTTATATATTTAAAAAAATGAGATAGCATAATTCTTGCTGGTGTTTGTATATGGTATGGCAGATGTTAATCTTGATCCATTTGCCGTACATTCGATCATCATTACTTTCATGTATTGACTTATTAAAATAACTAATTAAAAAACAAGTCGAAATACCACCAACCATGCTATGAGTACCTAATTTATAAAATTATAGTAAATTCCGAGTTGCGGGAATTAGAAAAAAATTAAATTGATACTTCCATTGCATTCTACGTAATTGAAACTTGTTCAGGTAATGTCGATGCACTTGTACAGGTTGTTTTATAAATCAAATATGATTTAAATTCCTGGCTTTTTGTTTGCGAACGAAAGATGCCTTCACGATCATCATAATAGCACTTTCGGTACGTCAACAGACACCTCTCAATTTCTATTTGCGGACAAATATTGCTAGAAATTTATGCGTGAAAAGTTGATGGAATAACTGCGAATATGACGTGGGACATGAGGGATTACTTGTACCGGACCGTATATGGAAAGACACTTGGTCAGTTGCGAAGGACGTTCATACCAAAT